ACAACTAAAGGTTCAGATACCCGTCTCTATGTCTATAAAAAGTAATCAGCATGTCAAGCCTATGCGCGCAGCCTTGTGAATAGTGATAGTAACCGTGTGATCATTATTGAAGTCCGTTATCCTTGTAAGATATGAAGTATTATACCGAATTCATCGGCCATCAATCGGCCTTCCAACGGATATTGGAATTCGAGTACTATGCATCAGTAAGCACTTGTAAACCCCCCAATAATGGAAGTTAATATATCCGCTGTTGGTGGATCTTCGCAAGCTACCCATTTTGCGAGAAGTATGTAGAACGATAAACATGCAGGTACAAATATATCAAAGTACGTATATACCTAGGTACTTGGGTGGGACCATAGCACAGCCAGCTTCAGATGACGGAAAAACCCAGCTAGCTAAATAACCAGTATCCACTACCTAGTTACAGAGATTAGTTTAACGTTCGACCTAAACCTACCGTTCTCCGTTAGTTGTCAACGCAATGCAGTGTAGTGGAGGCTGAAGTCACGTCGTTGGTATCATCGTAACTAAAAGGCGCATCCTTTGAGTATCTAACCACTAATTAGTATTTACAATCTATTTCGGTTTCAGTGATTACTGCGCTTGCCATATTTAACAAGTGCCGATGACTAAGTTTAGTTTGGGGGCCTCTTTTGAAGTTACTCCTGGCCTGGCCGAAGTCTAAGTCTGAAAGACGACCCATAGAGATACTCATGCGGTCTCCAAAGAGAGGAGATACCTGCTAGAGGTCACTCCAAGTAAACATCTGCTCAATGTATCCAATATGTCGTAACTCTCTAGTATCTACATAGTAATTCCTTCTCACAGCCCGGAGTCAAAACTTTACATACTGAATGACAGATAGATCCAAACAAGGACCCTATATAATGCAAGCCACTACCTCTAAAACGATCGACAGAACAAGTGTCCTGTTCCTGTCCCGTACTATCAAACAAGCTAACCACGAAATAGTAATAGTATGTATGCATTTTCATCGGAGACCGACCTTGTCGCACTAAGTAACGGCCCGATTGGTGTCTACTTCTTCCAACTTTGGGGCGAGAAAAAAAAAAAAAAAAAAAAGGAACAAGGAAAGAAAAGAGTATATTTTGATTTATTGTTAGCGTTGTAACTCGAAGGCCTGCTCATATGGGGGCTAGGTTCTGCTCTGCTGCTACGTCGGTCAGGTCAGGGGCGTTAGACTTAGGGCTTGCCGGGTGTAAACGGTTTTAGCCAAAGGCTTGTCTGCATGGCAAATGGCGACGTAGCATCCGCTCAGATAATCCATGAGAGAATCCAGCGTTTTTGGCCGATAGACGATGATGTACGAAGAGAGAGTGGGAAATATATATTAGCATCATGTAGTATCCTGCCATGTGCCGACTTATCCAGACTTTCTCCCACCGCTATAATCATTAATATAGAATATAGATATATTCCGTAGACAGCAATACTAAGATAGCCGCCTGGTGGCTGACCGCTAGCCATGCACGTACGTCGTAGATCCGCAGCCCCTTTGACTAACATTAAACATGCTAAGTTAAGTTAGTTAACTTTGTTAGTTAATGTTAAGCATCGGTTTATCATGCCATGCCAGCCTTTTCTGGTTGATCAGCGAGATTCCGGGGAAGTGAGGAACTAGGCATATAATCAAGTGCTACGTTTTACTACTACTTGGAAATACCACCGATAATGAAGGTATGATAGGTACTTGGCATCGTCCTTGGCGAATATTTTTTTTTTGTCCATTTTTTTTATATTTTTTTTCCCTTAGGCTATTCTCTCCTATCTGCCTATCTGTGTACATGTTATCAGGGTGCGAGTCATGTTCGTTCTGCTATCATCGCTCCAGCATTCGGCTTAGACGTACGTGGTCGGATATACATGTAGATTCCCATGTTTTGGCTTTGATATCCTAAACCCCTCCTTGGACAGTTTATAGTACTCAATATGAGTATATGAGTCCAGTAATAATTTCTACTTGATTACATCGTGTGCTTGATGAGTACAAATATAGCGGTCCATGTATACTCCGTACATTCATGTTGTTTCCAACACCATGACAATACACAAAGTCCCCCCTTAATCAATACTTGAGAAAACTGTCCTTGGGAATTTATACTACATCTATCGTACAAAGCTTCTTAATATCTCCACAACATGATTTAAGATTTCGTAGTCGAATTACGTACCTCAGCCTTGTCCGACTCTAATTGCAAGGAATTTCTAGACTCCCTGTACCCCAATGCATAAGAAACAATCCATATACAGATCACCCATCGACAAGATTCCCAAACTTCATACTCTTCCACTACAATGTCAAGGTTATATCGTAAGTAAAGGGGATATTTACTAACCCACATCCCATAATTAGCCCAGACACCCTTTTCAGGGGTGAGTAGTTATCTGAACAACAGCAAGAACTACCTAATACGTAGCATCCCCGACCAAATTCTATCAACTATCGCAATGTAACATCTGACAACCTAGCTGAATTATCCCTTTCCCGAAAAGATGTGCATAGTGATGATCGTTTCTATATCGAACTTGGAGAATAGATAGATAGCTGGGAAAAGGGAGGTTAATCAGTGATCGCTGCTTCTCTGAGCTTATAGCACAGCCAGGCTGTATAGTACTATAATACGTACCACCGGTACTGGAACGAGTATTACGGTTTTGTGGGTTTACTCCTTTTCTCTGGGGATTTTCTGAGGTCGATGACTAGCTGCGTAAGGCAACTACTCCGTAAGAAGTAATACCAGCGAGCGTTTTGTCCTGGAGATATCACTAAATATGCACCTAGGTGCTAGGCTAGTTATGAGAATAAACACATATTGGCCAAAAAGATACAAGCTTTTATAATCCCAACCCCTATTCGTTCGAACTACAACGTTGCTTGACGGGACAGGGAGTGGCTCGACAGGTAGATAGTAGGGTTGGGCTTTTTGGCTCTAGCCATGACACCTTTGGTGTTGAATGTACATGATAGTCATGGTTACACCATTTACCTAGATAGTACTAGGTGCGTGCTGGCTATATATTCGATTAGGTGCCAAACTAGAATGGCTATCTAGGTGACTTTGTTTGCTATACATGACTATGGCGATATGTCTAGACGTCCTTCTTAGTACATATATATGACTATAGTACGAACTTATATTCCCGCTAAGCCACAGGAGAAGCTGATATTTCTCATATCGTGGAGGTAGTACTCCGCGGCATAATATAGACATGGATGGCGAGCGAGAGGGCACCTGATCTAAGCTTGAAAGTCGAATCCCTAACCACACACAACTATAAATACAAACACACACACATATATATACATCTCTGTCCGTGAACTTTTGTGCAGGCTTAGGAAAATTTGACCAATTTTTCCAATTAGGCGCTTGATTTACCGGGCGAATTTCTTGCAAGTCTAGGGATAATCTAGATATACATTGCTGGATTTAAAAGGTCAGACACAATGGACAAACGTTTTTTATACATGAGCCTGAACTAGGTTTTCATATGTTGTCCATTCATGTATTCACAGACTGTCTGTTTACTGTCACCTTTAGAAGCTATTGGTCTAGTTTCAGAATGCTGGTTACTTACTTTGTTGTTAGCTATAAAGAAGGCAGACTAATAGACATCTTCTCTCGGCCTGCATTCTAGCTACATCCTCATTCAAACCGAAAGTATGCAGGGAAGTAAGTATATTCCATAATGAATTCGAACTAGACTATCAAACCTGTTGCATTCCTAAACTATGTTTTTAGAGCACATCGATATATCTAGGTGCTTCATCCCTTGTACGTCTGATTCTCTTGAGCGCACGAACTCATGCTTCCCAGCTATATAATAGCAAGAAACTAAATGGAACCAAAAGCAGAAATATCAAGAGGATAAAAGCTTCGATATCGAATAAGGCCGGTTATCTAGTTCTGGAAACCAACTAGGCAAGCATCTTAGTAGAATATAAAACAACAATCTAAAGATCAGCGATCTTCCAGAAATCTCATGAAGCACTTTACTAAGATTGCGTAAATATAACGTTACCTTTAGAACGAATCCAACCCGGGGTCACCTAGGTAGAAGTATGCCCTTGATAATATTACGACTACTGAACCAAAGTCCAAATCTGAGAACCAGCGACTAGTTGAGAACTGAAAGTGATAGATCATCCAGAAAGCACTAACGACTAGAATAAATCCGCAATTGACATACCAGCAAATTCGTCCCAAATATCGCAATCAGCGACCTATAACCATTCAAGAGATCTTTATCGCCATTGGCAATTGAAGCCTCTGTACGCTAGTCGCGTTAAAATAACCTAAAGGGATCAGAAATTTGAAAAGAGCAAATTTTAAAAGATAAAATTTGCATACTATTACTGGGTTAGCTTCTACTAGCACAAACTCAAAGTTCAGTTCTGCTGAACACCGCTACTCCGCACCCGCCATGCCAAAACAAAAACACTTTTATAATGGCATGCAATCTTCCCAATAGGTATACCTCATGCGCAGCGAGTGCCGAACATACCGTTATGAGGGACGGCAGCTAGCTTTAATGAATGCCCTGTCTCTCCTACACCCGTACAGGGTGAGGCCAGCTACACTTGGGCCAAACAAGGAACAAGATTCATATTCATCCAGTCCCAATCTCGAGCGCATGAAGCAGGGATGGACCAATAGCTCATGTACTCAAAAAATTTGGCCTGCGGTAAGCTTTGTCTCTTGCTAATTCTAAAAGGGCTACAATATCTGTCCTATGAAATACACCGCAGTATTTCTCTATTCTGCAGGTAATCTATATTTTCTGTCATACATTTCTCTGCCTCACACCCTGGTACCTAATACTTCTGCAGTTGTCAGGCAAGTAGAGAGCCTTTCCATCTGACAAGATATTCCGATCCAGCCACTCGTGTCTATTGTGTTGTACCCTTTTCTTCAGTACAGTCACCTGCACCAGGGGAAAGTGTAAATGTATATATAAGCTGGCCTCAGTCGCGGTCACTTAGATCTCGGTGCTGCAACGTCAAAGTCGAAACGGTCGGGGATTCTGAGTCCTGCATCCAAATGACCTTGCATTTCTAGCAACGACACGCCATCCCGAAAGAGCCACGGGTCTCTTGTCTCTCGTTGCCAAGCCTCCATATCTTTCCTCATCTGTGAAAGGACATCTGCATACGCCGCGTCACCCGCAACGTTATTCACCTCTCTTGGATCCTTTTCCATGTCGAAGAGTTCTTCGGCAGGGCGGTTAATGTATGACTCTAGCGTGCGCCATCCAATCTTGACCGGTCCGTCAACGTTCCTCATGCCCTCCCATGACAACGAAGCATAGAGATCTGTTGAGAAAGGGAAGTCCAGTTTCCAGGCAATGTTGCGGTGGTACTTGTACCTGGTCGTCCGGATGAAGCGAGTCGGGTAGTAATTTGTGATTTCGTGGAAAGTGTGCGAACCAAACACCTTGGCCCATTCGTCATCAAGCAATGTCTTCGTCATGATCGGTAGAAAGGATTTACCGCACCGTGTAGGAGACTTGTTCTCTGTGTCTGATGATGGCTGGTATCCGGCCCAGTCTAGGATGGTTGGCAGAATATCGATATAGGACACCATGTTCGGATTAAGATCTGGTGTCATGACTCCGGGCTGACGGACAATAAATGGCAAGCGTACGCCGGCATCATATAAGGTTGTTTTGGAATTTAAAAAGGGTGGTCCATTGTCACTCATGAACATGACAAGAGTGTCCTGGTCATGTCCGCTTTGCTTCAAGTGTTGCATGATCAAACCAAAGCCTCTATCAACTCGGGCAATAGATCGATAATACTCTGCAAGTTCTTCGCGGACCTCTGGAATGTCACTTAAGAAAGTCGGCACAGCAACATTATTACTATCATACAGCGGATCCTCCGCTGATACGGCCTCATCTCCATTGCCGAATCCTCCACGAGTATGGTCACGATGCGGGTCCATGTATCCCACTGTGAGGAAGAATGGCCGCCCGTCTTCTGAAGCACTCTTGAAAAACGCTTCAGCCCGCCCAGCTACCCAGTTGACATCACGCGTTGGGCTTTCATCAACTATCTCCCATGGGTAGATGGACATAGGCCCAACATGAATCTTGCCGATTATGCCTGTCAGATAGCCGTGGTCTCGCAAGAGCTTCGGTGCTGTTTCCACATGATCAAACGTCATAAAATGGTGTGTATAGTGACTCAGCCCGTACTGTCCATTCTGATGTGTGTGCAGTCCGGTATAGATGACAGAGCGGCTGCCACTGCAGGATGCGGTGCTTGCAAAAGCGTTGTCGAAGACAGTCCCTTGTTCGGCAAGACTATCTATATTTGGCGTGCGGATGGTCGTGTCTCCATAACATCCCAGGGTTTTCCCAAGATCATCTGCAATGACGAGCAGGACATTCCGTTTGGCAGGCATCGCTATCTATGCCCATGGCACGACTTCGTTTTCTATGAAGGGACTGTGACTGTCAGGTGGTAGAAATCGTCGTGCCGGAAGTGGATGAATTGATCAACTGGCTCATGACGAGAAGAAGTCTCCTGCAGCATTCTCCATGGAGGGACCGACCGATCATGTGACAATTGCACAATTCAGCCGACTCAAGTCGACATAAGGGCGACAAACAGTCAAACTTTTGACGTGCCTGATCGGGGAGATTTGACAGCCTGAAATTCCTCCGCAGTCAGAAATGTCGAACGTTGGGAAAGTATGTACCTTGCTTGGCGCGGCCAATCGATAAGCGCGAAAATCTACCCGCTCGCCTACCAAAAACTTTCCGCGCCAAAGTCTCTTCTTCAGTACTCAAATGTTTCAAAGTATCGAGGGCCCAAAGCCTTCGTGAGCTTCTCTTCGTGATGCTCTCGTCAGTTCCAATATGGGCGGATTGGATTGTGCACACACATGGCATCATTTACACTTGCTATTGCAAATAACTTCAATGCGTCTTGCGTTCTCTGCCCCTTGGGTATATAGTCCGACATGGTCTATCATCATGGCAGCTTCCTCGACCTGGCGTGACGACGGAACTTGATTGAAAGCTGTCTAGATTGGGGAAGTACGGCTAGCAGCATACGGGAGTGTCTAGTATCTGACTAGACGTCTCAATGGCTCCTTTCGTCAAGAATAACCGCATCTTATCGCACTTTACTCCAACTCTCGGAGCCGCTGTTGGCCTGATTGCCTTGTCAAGCTTGAATTATGGCTTTGACAACCAGGGGATTGCTACTAGCCAGGCGATGACGGCGTACAAGAAGCAGTTTGGCACATACAATCCAAGTACCGGGGCTTATGCCATCCCGACTTATTGGACCTCCCTCTTGAACAGTCTGAATTTTATTGGGTTCGCTGTTGGTATGTCAACGTCTTATCTACTCTTAGAGCTAGCAAGTACTGATATCCTGGTCGAATAGGTCTCTATGGCGGCAGCCTCGTCAACGCCCGTTTTGGCCGCCGTATGGCAATGTTTGGCATGTCTATCTGGGCCATGGTCTCAGCCACAGTTCTTATCAGTGCATTCAGAATTGAGCAGGTGCTAGTTGGACGAATTTTGAATTATGCATACGTTGGAATGGAGCTTGCTACTTGTCCGCCATTCCAAGCAGAGATTATCCCAGCTCCTATACGAGGATTTGCGGTAGGCACATATCAAACAAGCTTGCTACTTGGTGGTATCATCATCAATAGCGTGTGCCGGGGCACATCTGATATACAAAGCAATTATGCTTGGAGGATTCCGTTGTTCCTATTCTACATTGTTCCGATAACTGTGGCAACGTGCGTCTGGTTTATCCCGGAATCGCCACGCTGGCTATTGTTGCAGGATCGTCGTGACGAAGCGCTGGACTCATTACGTAGACTTCGCGGTGCTGAGAGGGAAGAATACGATCCTAGGGAAGAGCTTGCTCTCTTACAGAAGTCACTCCTAGATGAACAGAATCAGGGAACGTATATGGATCTGTTCCGAGGCAGCAATCGCAAGCGGACACTGATAGCCATGGGGACGAACTTCTTCATCCAAGCCACAGGTTCCCCGTTCACTGCAGCTTATGGAACCCTCTTCGTCCAATCGCTTCACTCATTGAATGCGTTTAATTATTCCATCATGAGTTCCTGTATCAACACATTTTCTTGCCTTGTGTCAATCTGTATTACTGACAAGGTTGGACGCCGACCTCTTTTGTTAATTGGCTCCGCCTTGCAGGTGGTGTGGCTGTTCACGATGGCAGGAATCGGCCTTAACGACAACCTGACCTATTCTCAAAATCAGGTCATCATCGCAGCGACAGCTTTGTCCTCGGCCAGCTTGTGCTTCAGCTGGGATCCACTGAACTACATCATTACCACCGAATTGCCTGCATCAAGATTACGCGACAAAACCCAACGTGTTGCGTCAATTGTCAACATTGCTACGAAGTATGTATTCGGTCTTCTTCTTTTCCGTAAATGAATACTTTGTTTCCCCCATATACTGACCAGCATATTCCCCTAGTTTTGTCTTCTCCTTCAGCACACCGTATTTGCTCAATGCGCCATATGCGGATCTTCAATCTAAAGTAGGCTTCATATTCGGCAGTCTCGCTGTTTGCTCGTTCATCTTTGCCTATTTCTGCATACCGGAGATGAAAGGTCGGTCACTCGAGGAGATCAACCAGATGTTCCAGGATGGTGTTTCTATTAGAGATTTCAAGAACTGCCAACACTCGGCAAAATATGTAGAGGGTGAAACTGATAGCAAGACAGATGTGGCAAAGATGGAGGTGGAAACGAGGGCGGAGACTGATATCCCTTAAGCTGTTGAGCTAGGTTAAGTATATGTTGATATGGGTCTATACGACATTCATGTTAAGTACATCTCCTGCTAGTATCAGTGCTCAATCAATCAGTAGGTAAATCGGTGGATCTGCGAAGTACGGCGAGAAATGCTTGATGTTTGACAGAGTAACTAGTTGACTAGTGAAAGTGATACATCCAATGAAGAACATGATTGACCAGGGTGAGTTCATAATTGTGCTATCCTCTAGGGATTAGCAGTGAATATCATTATCAACCCGCTCCTCGCACTGTATTTCTCTCCGCTAATATCATCCGGCAAGAGATCCTTATCGCCATTTGCAATCAAAGCCTCAGCAAGCGTACACCTACCACACACCTCAAACCCTAGATTCCGATACAAGCGCACCGTAGCATGGTTCTCCGGTTTGACCATCAGCCGCACCCAGAACTCACGCGGATCTCCTCGATAAGAGAAGGAGAGATAATCCAACGCCTCCTGGCATAACTTCTTTCCGAGTCCGCGGCCACGATGGGCCGGGAGCGTGAACAGGCTCAGCATCTGCCATAGTTCCTTTCCCCCGTGCTCCGGTGGATTCTTCTGTCCCGATTCATCGGGTAAAATGAAGTCTTCCTGGCTTAGTGGGCCGCGCAATGTCAACTGACCAACCCATATGCTGCTCTCTTCTAAAGCTGGGGAGTGGGATGTATCATTGTTGTTGTTATTGTTGTTATCTTCAAGCGGGGTTGCGGCGCAGATGAAAGTCTCGCTCCCGCTCGCAGCGAGACGTGTAGTCCATTCGCTATCGGTGAGGGTAGATTCGAGCTGGTAGGTAGATGAAAAGGAGCCCGGTGCAATGGAGAGCGCTAGGAGGCGGAGTTGTTTGTACTTTTGGGCGGACAACGCGATTTGACTATCCTTTTTGATGCGAAAGAAAGAGTATGTGTATTTTGGGGTAGACATTTTGAGAATACTTGCAAGCGTCAGAATATTCCAAGGCTCTTTTACCTTTTTTTTTTTTTTTTTTCTTTTTGGCTCTCATATTGTGGTCGCCAGGATTATCCACTTTTAAGAGGAACCCTAATTACATATCACTAATCCAATAATAATTTTAATTATCACGTAAATTGTAGTCACAGCTAGAAATAGAAACAGATTGGGGGATATAAGACCTGTATGCTAATATAACATTCGTAATATGGATCCATCCATAAATCATATACACTCTCAGTTCATGGTGAAAATGGTACTCAAAAAGGACATTTCTCTCGCTCCAACTCCTTCAAACTCCCTCAACTTGACTGGAGAGGGGATCATGCTGGCTGCATCAATTTCCAGGTTGCTGCATCACAGGTTACTTCTTCAAAGGTATGCAGAACCGTAAATCCCATGGCTGTGAGACTGTCAAAATTGCCGTCGCCGTCGACCTGTTCATGGTTAGTAAACACAAAACAACGTCAAGAACACATGCGAAACAAACTTACACAGTCAAGCATCACCGCATCGGCACCTGATTTCCGAACTTGCTTGATCCCTAATAAAATTAACCCCTGCATCAAAGTCGCATATTCTCCGACCATCGGCGAGATCACAGGCGACGAGACCCCTCCACCGCCACCACCACTACCAGAACCATTGCTTTGGTTATTCGTCTCCTTTTCCTTGTTTTTCTCCTTGTCCTTCTTTTGCAGCGTTGGTATATACTCTGCGATAGCCGATTGACTATTGTATATCACAACACTACCTAGTATAGCCCCATCCTCAGGTCGCTTCGCACGAATGATGCCCGAATGTGGTGCTCCGTTGAGTGCCATCTTGTATATTTCCATCACTCCCTGTCGGGAGTTGGTCTTGATATGATCGAAAATCGATTCTGCGTACTCCCAGCCGTATACAAGATCGTAGTCAACGTCGGTCGTGTGGAGGCTTTTTGCAAGTCCTTCCGGTGGTGTCCACGACGACAAAGGCCGCAGCAATACACTGCATACAGGTCGAGAGAGGGCCGTATTCCATCCCAATTGAGCAAACCATTGACGTAGTCTCTTACGCTCCACTGGATTACCGGCAGGGATTCCAAGGTATATATTCGGCAAACGCGAGCCTAGTTGAAACCGTTTCACTCCCTTTCTCTGCAGCAGGCTTCGAATTGCTCGGTTGTGTAGTGAATGCCCAATTGATAGCTTCCGTCTTGTGGGATCCACGATTATTGATCCAATGACCCCTGTACCCGTTGACCTGAAGAAGTACGTTGAGCAGAACCCGTACAGTGCCTGTGTTGTGCTATTTCGCACCACAAAGTGCGCTTCCTCGATATCGTCATTTCGAAGGAGGAAACTATGAGCGGACACGCTTGTTAACTCTGCATGCGCGCCACTCTCTCGTACAGTGTCCAACAACGCCTCAAGACCTTTACTGTCGCGTTCCTCGTTCCATGCTTCGACTAGCCAATGTTGCCGTGATTGGTGTATTTTCTGGCTTCGGCTAATTGTCCCTGGTAATGACCCCGTAGGCGAGAGTTCCCCGTAAAGCAACTTGACTAGCGCTTGAAGCGCCGTCTCTGTGAAGTCATAAGTACAGATATATGTACTGATAGATGCGTCTATGGCAAAGTCGTATGGCGAGCTCACCGCAACCACAATTACGGGTTTCTCGCGTCGCTCACCTGTCTGTGAAAACTGTGATTTGCATATCATTGAGACATGTTTGGTAAACCCATGTTGATAGAGATTCCGATTGGAGTCTGCTGTTAGAATAATAACAGCGCCGGCTCGGTCAATGAGACTCTCGTGGATCGGGCGCACTCCAGTAGAAGTATAAGATGTATGCAGTACTCGACCAGATCGCTGACGGGCCAGTGCTCGCCCAAATTCTCGAAAGACGCTCTCACCGCTAGTGATCGATGAGCTTTTTTCCGGATCAGGGGAAGTATTCATAATGTTTTGCATCGAACGCGAGACCGCCGATGCTGGCAACGGCTTCACCAATGGTGTCAGGAGCAGAAGCTCTTCATCCGGGTCTAGAATTTGTGGTAATGGGAGTAAGTTATTGGTATCGCGAACGAGAGTAATTGAACTGTCGTACGCGCGGGTTGAGAGACTTGTATGCGATGGCTGCATTTTAGTCAAGGTGCTGATGCCTCCAGGATTCAAAGCTTGCTCCCACGACGTGCAACGAGCCTTCATGGCAAGAACCCTTTGAAGGGATTGTGTAATCCGTGAGCGGCTAATCATGCCATTCTCGACTCCTAGTTTGAGTCCATTGAGCGCTTCTAGCTGGAATGGATAAGAGCGACATAGAAGGATCGTATCACAGCCAGCTTTCATTGCCATCACAGTGCCGCCACCTACACCGATGTTATGTGTGAGTGCCTCCATTTCAAGGCATTCGGACACCACGACTCCGTCGAACTTCAGGTCTTTGCGCAATAAACCATCCACCACTTGTTCTGAAAGACAGGCGTGCATGACATTCACTCCGGCCGAAGAAAGGGCCACTCCGCCCACCATCATTGCGTCGAGACCATTGGCTATGGCATTTCGAAACGGGATCAGAGCACTTAGACTCAACTGTTCGAGGGACTCTGTAATCACGGGGACATCGGCCTGAGACCCGCCAAACTCTAGGTTGCCATACGAGGGGAAGTGTTTCCCGCAAGTGACTAATCCTGCTTCCTGGTACCCTTTCATTGACTGGACGCCGTACTGTGAAACCTCTTGAGGGTCGTCGCCGCTAGTTCGCACGCCAATAGGTTGGCTGCGCAAGTTGGTCAACACATCTAGTACAGGGCCTAGAATCCAATTGACACCGACGGCCCTCAGTTCTTGGGCAGTTGCGGACGCAACCTCGTGGGCAAGCCTTTTAGAGCCTGTTGCGGCAACGCCCATGGCACTGGGAAATTGTCGGATATATATCTCATCATACAGGCTGTTGACACCTCCATTCTCTTGGTCGAGAGCGATCATTAGCGGAACTGGGTGGCCTGCATCTCGGGCGATAGTTTGTAACTCCAAAATAAGCCTCGTAGTTTCTTCAGCAGCTAGTTAAAGGATGCATTAGCCTTGATCCTTGTTTTCTCCCTCAGCAGCAATGACGTGGCCTACATTTAAGATTTTTTGCAGTCAATATAATACTGCCCACATGATAATCTTCGATTAGCGATCGAATTTGGTTGTCCACCTCTGTCCCGTCAAATCCCATCATAAATAGCTGACCCATCTGCCTAGACCGTAGAGTAGTCAGCATTTATTGCACGGTTGAAGAATCAATCAATTTCTTACCTGTCTAGGTTATCCCATATGGGGGGCAGTGCCCCGTCCTTAGGGGCCATGACGGCCCTGCGCGAGGGATTGCCAGCTCGCACAGATGTCACAAAGGATGGAAATACCGTGGATACCTATGCGATGTATGTAGCGGTGGTGGATAGATGGATGGCGTTGGAAGCGATGCGAGTAGACAGCGCAAGATATCCTAACAGGTCGCGCAAGGAGAAAGGAGCTCACAGACTGTCAATGATGAGGGCTGCCAGGGCGTAAACTAAGCGCGGCGCGACAAGTCGAAATAGCGAATCTGTGGCAGATTCACGATGAGTTGTGCTGTATGGGAAGCTGAGCAGTGAGTGGGATATTGGTTGGCGTGTAAAAGAGAATTAATTACTGAGCGAGGAGTCAGAGTCACTAACTCGCAGCTAATTAAGTGAAGTCGTAGTCGGAGTGGCACCGGAGACTAGAGGAAGCTCCGTGAGAAGGCGCGGCGGCCTCTTGTGAGATAAGACAAGCTGTCTTATCGTTTGCTTGGAGAGCAGCAAACACTGCACTGCACACTGCACTCCGTATAGAGCAGGCCAAACAGCAGAGGCGCAGTATCAAGATCCGCCTGAGTTCATGGGTGATGTCCCTGACTGTTAGTCGGTTTGGCTGCCTCAGGACCGAAGGGGGGAGGTCGAAACATCGCAGCTCACGTGTCAGATAAGCCCGATTGGGCCAATCCCAATGGAGGAGGCCGAGTCACCTGATTCGGGCTGCGTATGATTGGCGAACGGTGGAACCCCAGCTGGCCAGAAGAAGTATAGCGCCTGTATCCCCACTGCGGAGAACCCTTTCCTCGGTCTCTCCTCTTCTCTTTCCGTATTAGATCGATTGGGGATGCCTGGCCAGAGTTTTCTAACTTCAAACAGCTTGGTTGCCCAGATGGACGTTTGGAATCCATTCTTTATGAGACGATGTTCACCTCTTTCATCTCCTCAGTATCATGCACTGTAATATAGCATCATTGCATCCTTGCCGGAGCTCTTTATCAAACAACTTATGTCGTTTTCCTCGTACCCTTCATAATTACACAAGATGACAAAGTCCCAGATCTAAAATCTCTAAGTAAAACCATCAGATCTCTACGGCATGATGAGTCTTCCATTCGATTTTGTTGCCTCTAGCTATATAGCAGGCATTGGCTGACTTATTCTAGGGACATCAATTTTCGCTCGGCCTCTCGCTGCACCTCGAACGAAGAATATCTTGAATGACTTTCCAGTTCAAGGACTTTTGGGAGAACAGTGCACCACTGCAGTTACTTTAGAGCCTCTAAACATGCATTATCTAGACATTAGATACGCGCTTTCTTCATACTTCGACAAGCATGCATAAGACAATTGGAGAAGCTGTCATCTGATTGGCAAACCACAGCTGGCCAAAAGGGGTATGGCGCGGCATCTCCACTGCGGAGAAACCAGTCTGCTCCGTTCTATGAATATTTGATTTTTTACTACGGAGTGATTGTTCAACTAGGTACGCATCTTGAATCTGGGATTTCGATAAAACTAGTGGCCGAGTATTGTCCGACAGCTGCAGGAAAGCCGCCTCAGAAAGCACCGAATTGATCATCGAGAAGATAGATTGCAGCACCAAACATCAAAGCATCGTAGATTTCGTAGTCATCGATGCATGGAACATAGATAGTCCGATCAAACAGAGACAGACATAATCAATCGCTGCGAAGTGCTGTGGTTTATACAAAGCTAACTCAACGCTTTGACACAAAGAGTGATACTATACAGTAGTTAATACTGAAAAGACAAGACTTCTAGAAGATGCAACAGGCAAGAATGAAACCGTTGCAGCAAATGTCACGTTGCTCTGCTGGATGCAACCGTCCATCGGGACCGGCTTGGCGTGGCTGGATGCGGTTAGCGGTATGTCTGTACTGTACCATACCTTGTACAAACGTCATTCAATCACTTGAAGAGTATTCTCTATGTATAAATATAACTAAATACATACACAGGGAAATAAAATATTAGTGGGCATACTGATGGGTCGAGAAATCTAGACTGGTAACAGCACTAAGCTATACATAGCCCAGTCCCGAGTTTAGGGGACCGATATGCATCGTCTGTATTTATCGAATACCGATGGATACACCTGCACGCTGGAGATTGGACTATGGAAGAGTATCATGTGTAGTGGATATATGTTAAATGATGCTGTCTGCTAATCTCACTGTCTATTGCTTGAGTAATATACACTATTGAATATCCATATTCTCCATCAGACAGAGTGGGCTGATTGATATCGTAATTATTACCTGAATAGTACGTACGATGGAGCGTTACACCAGGCCGCAGGCAACCCAGAGAGCCTTCTCACGTAGTAACTATGGATTCATGGAACGTATTGTATCTGTTTTACAGCGAGTGCTGCTATATACAGAGACATGACGTGTGGCAGGAGTAATTTACTGTATGGTCTGGTTCCATGGGCAAATAGCTGTTACTGTCTTCGGTCCCATGTAACTTGCTTTCCTTATTTTCTCCAACCTCTTTAAAAATAACTTTTCTTTTCTCTGCTTGCCTTTACATCCTACACATCTGAAATAAAGGAAATACGCTGAACATATTGCGATCAAGGTCAACGTGCCGGCATCCCTCATCTAATCAATTCTTATCGGAAGCTCAGCGGGGGTGACGTAGTTCGCCGCCAACTTTGAACCTGCAGACAGAATGTAAGTAAGGGATGGATGGGATGACAACCACCAATTCAGGCCAGTCTCCTAACCAATTGATTGCACAGGAGAGTCATTATCCGTGAAGACCCTCGCGGAGTCTCGGAGTACATCGCCGAATATATAGTTAGTATGTATCGCCTTTTCCTCTTTGCGACAAGACAGCGCAAACTAACAAGAAATCAAGGCCGCATCAATTCGTTCAACCCTACGCCTGAAAAGCCGTTTGTGCTCGGTCTTCCTACCGGTAGCAGCCCAGAGATCATCTACCGCATCCTCGTGCAAAGGCACAAGGCCGGCGAGATCTCGTTTCGCAATGTCGTTACCTTCAACATGGTCAGTTTGATGCACAAGAAGATCAGAACGAACTTCAAGCTAATCAAGATAACCAGGACGAATATGTCGGCATCCCGCGCGACCACCCCGAGTCCTACCACAGCTTCATGTACAAGCACTTCTTCTCGCACGTCGACATCCTGCCGGCCAACATCAACATCCTGAACGGCAACGCGCCCGACCTCGGCGCCGAAGCCACTGCCTACGAGGCCAAAATCGCGCGCATGGGCGGCATTGAGCTGTTTCTCGGTGGCGTCGGACCAGACGGACACATCGCCTTCAACGAGCCCGGGTCATCGCTGACGAGCCGCACGCGCGTGAAAACACTGGCCTACGACACCATCGTTGCCAACTCCCGCTTCTTCGACAACGACATCAACCAAGTGCCCAAGAAGGCGCTCACAGTCGGCATCCAGACCATCATGGATGCGCGCGAAGTCGTGATTGTGTGCACGGGCGCCCACAAGGCGCTCGCTTTGCATCACGGACTCGAAGGCGGCGTGAACCATATGTGGACGCTGTCGGCGTTGCAGCTGCATCCTCACCCGCTGATCGTGGCGGATCGCGATGCCACCATGGAACTCAAAGTGAAGACGGTGAAATACTTTGAGTCGATCGAGCAATCGGGCACTGATGCTCGTACCCAGGGCCCACCATTGGTGTATCGCCCTCGCACTTACGTGCCAGCTCCATTGACGACTTCTTCGGGCGTGACTCCAAACGGCAATGCTAATAACAACAGCAGACCCACGTCTGATCCTTCTGTGACTGCTCGTGCCCTGTTCCCGAAAGACCTCAAGATCAACACGGACATGCACCGCTCTGCGGCTGATGAGGACGGCGAATTGACGCCGGACAGTATGTCGTCTCGGCTGCTGGATTCGGCCGTTTCAGGCTTGGATGCTGCTCTGAAGGGGGATTTGTTGCCCGAGTCGATGGCGTCGAGGGTGACGGTTTAGAGATCTACCGGGGTGTGTTTATAATCAGTTTTGTTTTTATTACCATATTCTCCGCCTTTTTCTTTCTTTTTTCTTTCCCTTTTTCTATCAAAAGATACGCATCCATTGAGCAGGTTACGGTTGTTTGCTTGTACTTTTGCTTTTTTGGTTCATTGAATGAGACTGGTATATGTCCAATTTAGCTATTTAGAGATCAATTCTTGATTCGTTGAAAATACATAATACACTACATATAGTTACAAATCGAAATGTTAGCTTTTCATGATCTAAACATTCTATATACAATTGATTCATCACAGGAATAAGAGTTTACAGCTTCGCGAACGCAGTGGCCACCGCATTGCTCATATCTACCAGCGTACTCTTGTTCCGCACCCAAGCCTCAATACCCCTGCGCCCATTCTCAACCCCAACACCACTCTGCTTCCAGCCGCCCACGCTCATCTCAGCCGGTGACTCGCCCCACGAATTCACCCACGTAATGCCCGCCTGCAACTGGTCAATAATGCGATGCGCCAGGTTCAGATCCGAGGTGAACACGCCCGCTGCAAGACCCAGTTCAGTGGCGTTTGCGCGCTGCACCGCTTCCTCGATGCTCTCATACGTGAGGATGGAAAGTACCGGACCAAAGATTTCTTCCTTCACTATCGTCATGCTGTCTGTGCAGTCGGTGAAGATGGTCGGTTGCACCCAAAATCCATGCTGGAGTTCCTTGGGCAGGTTCTCTGGCTGTCCCGGTCCGCCATAGAGCAGTTTCGCTTTGTCCGTCTCGATGCCCTGCCGAATATAGCCCGTGACTTTCTGGTGGTGTATGCGCGAGACAAGAGGGCCGAAATTCGTGGCTGGATCCATAGCGAGACCGGCTCGAACAAATTGCATTTTTTCCACCAGCCGCTTTTCAAATGCAGACTTCATCGTCTTGGGCACAAACACGCGTGTTCCGTTGGTGCAGACCTGGCCCGTGCTGTAGAAATTGGCCATCATGGCGCCGTCAACGGCGTTTTCGAGATCGGCGTCCGGGAGGATGATTAAGGGCGATTTCCCACCGAGTTCCATTGTGACGTACTTCATGCCGCCGGCGGCATTGCCAGCCACTCTTTTGCCCGTGGAGACCTGGCCTGTGAACGATACTTTGGCGACGGATGGGTGGGAAGTCAGATATGCGCCGATGTCGCCAGCGCCGTGAACGACATTGAAGACACCAGCGGGGAGACCGGCTTCAGTGTATATCTTGGCGAGAGTCTCGCCGTGGAGAGAAGTAAATTCACTGGGTTTATAGACCATCGTGTTGCCGGCCGCGAGACATGGTGCCGATTTCCAGAGGGCTCTAGCTATTATCAGCAGTGCTAAAAAGAAGAGGAGGAGGAGGAGGAGGAGGAGGAGGACGTACATCTGAATAGGATAATTCCAAGCCCCAATGCCAACACACACCCCCAAAGGCGCTTTCTTCGTATAAACCCATGCGTCTTCCCTCAACTGCGCGGTCTCGCCATTCAGTCCCCCGCCGCCTACCAGATTGGCGAAATACTCGAGCACGTCGGCGCCTGTCGCAACATCGACAACGCTGGTTTCACTAAACGCCTTGCCGGTATCGTGTGTCTCGGCAGTGGCAATCTCGTCATTGCGTTCGCGCAGCAGCTGGGCGGCGCGTTGCAGGATGCGGGCACGCTGGACTGGAGGCGTGGCGGCCCATGCTGGGAAAGCCCTTTCGGCGGACTGGACTGCTCGGTCAGCGTCGGCCTGCGATGCTTCGTGGATGTCGGCGATGTGCGCGCCGGTTGCTGGGTCGATGGTCTGGAAGGTCTTGTTGGAGGTGGCTGCTTGGGTCTTGCCGCCGTAGTAGAGCTGTCGCGCGGAGTAGGAGACGGCCATGCTGTAGCTGATTGCAGTGAGTGAAAGAGAGTGAAGTGGAGAGAGTTCTATGTCGATGTCATACAAGTCGCTCGTATACAACGCTTCATGGGCCAATGCGGGCATGTAATATTCATCATCTATAAATATTTAAATGTCTGGAACTTCGGAGGGGCGACTCGGGCAAGCTTCCTCGGCCGCGGATTGGCTGGCGGGGCCGACTTGGCCACTTAGTACTTACTCAACTTCCTTGACTCAGTTGACTAACTACGACTAACTAACTAACTAACAATACAACGAAGAAGACTCAAGAAACAACCAAGTTGAACTCACTCACCGCCCAGGACTTCCTCGAGGGATTTTTTCAAAGGATCGTACGAGAGGGCGCTGCTAGCGGTTACCCCGAACGGGACTAGCGGCCCCGTTTTTGATAAGATTTTTCAGCAGCTTTTGCTTAACTACCTAATTAGGTAGTATCCTATCCAGCCAGGAAAGAATAACTGAATGCGTCTCTTCTTGCAATTCTCGTCGACATTAGCCCAATTGTCCATTGCAGGGCCTATGCTTATATCGTATACAGCACTAGAATAGACCAGAATAGCACAGCATGCACCACGCTTGGAGGCGCATCTGCTCGGCTTATCGCGCCAGTAGGAAAACGCTCCGGCCGAGCCACCGCTAAATGAACCAACTCTATGGCTAAGCAACTACTAGCTAGTAGCGAGTCATAATAGTTACAAACTCCCGTACCAACTGTTCAGAAAGAATAAACGTATGACTGGCGCGAGACTGGGATAACTTCACTCCAGACGGCCTAGTCTCGAGCCCCCACTTGCCCTGGATCCACCCGCAAAAAATCGACCCGGCATAAATTTGTTCCTTGTCTGCTCCTCCTCCTCCTCCATCCTTGTTCTCGTCCTCGACTTCATACAGCCTACAGTCTACAGCTACACCACCCATCATATCATGGCAACTGCCACCACCGCCCTTTTGCCCCCGAGCGAGGCCGATAGCTACGACTATGTCATCGTTGGAGGAGGCACCGCCGGCTGCGTGATCGCCTCGCGCCTGGCTGAGTACCTGCCCAACAAGCGCATCCTGCTGGTCGAGGCTGGCCCCAGCGACTACATGGACGACCGCGTGCTGAACCTGAAGGAATGGCTCAGTCTATTGGGAGGAGAGCTGGACTACGACTACCCGACCACCGAGCAGCCCATGGGTATGTGTCCGATTATAAGCTATGGCTGATGTTCTGAACTGACTTCTCCCCAGGAAACAGCCATATCAGACACTCTCGAGCCAAAGTCCTTGGCGGCTGCTCCTCACACAACACTCTGATTTCCTTCCGCCCATTTGAATACGACACCCGCCTCTGGGAGGAGGCCGGATGCACAGGCTGGTCCTTTGACATGTTCACTCGAGTGCTGGACAACCTGCGCAACACCGTCCAGCCCGTTCATGCTCGCCACCGCAACCAGCTCTGCAAGGACTGGGTCCAGTCTTGCTCCTCCGCATTGAACATCCCCGTGATCGAAGACTTCAACAAGGAGATCCGCTCTAAGGGAGAGCTGACGCAGGGTGTCGGCTTCTTCTCGGTCTCGTACAACCCAGACGACGGCCGGCGCAGCAGTGCTAGTGTTGCTTATATCCATCCTATCCTTCGCGGGGAGGAAAAACGCCCGAATTTGACTATTTTGACCAACGCCTGGGTTTCGCGCGTCAATGTCTCTGGGGACACAGTGACCGGCGTCGATGTCACCCTTGAGTCAGGCACGAAGCTAACGCTTCGCCCCAAGATTGAGACTATCATCTGCGCCGGCGCAGTTGACACGCCACGATTGCTGTTGCTGTCGGGACTTGGCCCCAAGGAGCAGCTCTCGTCGCTGGGAATCCCCGTTGTCAAGCATATTCCTGGAATTGGCGAGAATTTGATCGACCACCCAGAGAGTATTATCATCTGGGAGCTCAACCGACCAGTACCACCCAATCAGACTACAATGGACTCCGATGCTGGCATCTTCCTACGCCGAGAAGCACCAAATGCCGCTGGAAGCGATGGCGTTGCTGCCGACCTGATGATGCACTGCTACCAGATTCCTTTCTGTCTCAACACCTCCCGCCTGGGGTACGATACCCCCGTAGATGCCTTTTGCATGACCCCGAACATCCCGCGCCCGCGCTCTCGCGGACGCCTTTATCTCACCTCGGCCGACCCCAATGTCAAGCCAGCCTTGGATTTCCGCTACTTCACGGACCCCGAAGGGTACGATGCCGCAACTATTGTGGCAGGCTTCAAGGCGGCTCGCGAAGTCGCCAAACAGGCTCCCTTCAAGGACTGGATCAAGCGCGAAGTTGCGCCTGGACCGGGCATTGACTCCGACGAGGCGCTCTCCGAGTACGGCCGCCGCGTTGCGCATACCGTGTACCACCCGGCCGGCACAACGAAGATGGGCGATATTAGCCGCGACCCGTTGGCCGTGGTTGATCCGCAATTGCGCATCCGCGGGTTGAAGAAGGTCCGTATTGCGGACGCTGGCGTTTTCCCCAATATGCCTACCATTAACCCTATGCTTACCGTGCTGGGTATTGGTGAGCGAGCTGCCGAGCTTATTGCCGAGGAGGCGGGCTGGAAGAGGAACCAGCCCAGATTGTAAAAATTCCCCCCTCCCCTTTTCTCACTTCAAGAGACGAAAATAAAATGAGGTAGGCTGTCTGCATAGCGCTACTGATTGATACCCTTTTTATATATGATTATAGAGCATGCTAGTATCTAGATGAGCAATCACATCTACAATTGAATACAATTTTATTTACAAGATCCAGGAGTTTAGTGAATTCTACTCTATGATTCCTATCTATATGCCGTAATGCTAGAACATACAAATCACAGTACTAAATCACAAAAAGAAAGCAAAATCGCCAAGGGTCATACGGTATATATATATATATATATATATATACAAAGAAACAAGATTCAAAATGCAACAGGGGAAATAAGAGGCCAAAAAGAAAACAAAAGTCTAAACCGTCGTCACCTCCGAACTATCAAACACCTTGATCCCAAACTTCCACACCTGGTCAACCGTCAATGTCGGCCCACTATACGAATCCACCGTTTCTCCCAACACGACCAAATCGGCATCCGCACCGTGGTCCAGCGTGCCCTTGACCGTCTCCAGACCCAACATCTTGGCCGGCCTGAACGTGACCGCATTCAGCGCCTCGGCGGTAGTAGCAGACGTCCAGCGACGGAAATTGTTCACGCACTCAATCAACGTCGCCGAACTACCGGCAATCTTATCGGAGCCTTCGAGCGTCAACCGCGCACCCTTTTTCACTATCCGGTCTCCGTTGGTCCAATCGTACACGCCATCTGGCAGACCGCATAGACGCATTGCGTCGGTGACCAGGATGAGGCCCTCGCTGTGCGCGTTGTACGCGATCTTGATGGAGGTTGGGTGTAGGTGGATGCCGTCGGCGATGACGCCGAAGTAGGGTTTGGGGAGGTCGCTTTGGCCTAGCAGTCCGAATACGCCGGGGTTGCGGTGGTAGAAGGGCCGCATGGCGTTGAAGAGGTGCGTGATCATCATCGCGCCTTGGCCGACGGCTGCCATGGCCTGTTCGTAGGTGGCGTCTGAGTGACCGATGGAGTAGACAATGCCGCGCGAGGAGAGCTCGCTGATATTCTCGATCATGGTCCCGACTTCCGGCGCGGCCGTGATCATTTTGATTGCTGGTCGCGGTCCGTTGGAGGTAGGGTAGCGATGCGCGTGGTGAGGGAGACCGCTGGAATAACGCCCCTTTTGGAGGGATTTGGCAATTGGCGTTGCTGGGGTGGGCGTTGGGACATCTTCTTCGTCTTCTTGGTTGTTGATGTCGTTCTTGGTGGGGATTGAAGGAATGTTTTCAAGCCCGTAGCAGTTGATGATGTCTTGGAAGCCTTGTGTGGATGACAAGAGGACCTCGGGCTTGTGAATCCCGTTGCGAGACGGGTTGATGAAGGGTCCTTCGACATGGGCTCCCAGGGACTCTGCACCGTCTTCGGGGCGACGCTTTCCAGTAGGAGCGAGAGATGGGAGGACCTAGTTTGATTAGTATATACCTCTCTCTCTCTCCGCGCGCTCCCCCCCCTGTTTTATGGGGCGGTTGAACACACCTTTTGGTAATTCTCGGCCGTCGTGCTGACAGTTGTAGGCAGAAACGAAGTCACACCAGTCTTGATGAGCCCGCGATTCGACGCGATAAACGCCGCATCGTACTCCTCGCGTGTGGCCTGGGGCACCGAGTAGTCAAAGCCCTGGGCGCCATTGAGCTGCACGTCGATAAAGCCCGGGGCCAGAATGCGGCCGTTCAGGTCGATGACCTGGTCGGGCGAGAGTTGCAGTTCATAGAAGGCCTCTTGGTCCTTGAGCACCTTGCCCGAGTACGAGTCGATCCAGAGGTCTTGTTCGACGAGGCGGTTGTGTTTGAGGATGCGACAATTGGTGAATTTGGTGATGCGCGGCGGCGACGACGACACTTGGCGCGCAGGCATGATGTCACTGTATCTCGCTGTATATAGCAGGCGGAAGACAGAAGAGAAAAAAAAAAAGGAACAGACAGCTAATGGATATACTAATAAGCCAATAACCACGACGCCACTTCGAGGAACAATCCATCCAAATCTCTGGCAACTGTGAAGTGCAAGTAGCAGCTGCCCAGTACGACTATGCGACGGCGACGTCGACGTCAAGATACTACTACGGATACTCCAATTTACCGTAATTTTCCCCTCTGAAGCCTGCAGATGCATCCGGCCTGGAACGCGGGTCAGAGCACGCAGCGGTAATTACCGTACCGTCTCAATACCAGCCCTAATCAGCGATTAATTACCGATGCTACCGTATCGTCTTCGCATGTAACGTTCTGCCAGTCCTTTGCCGCGCCATTCCCCTTTCGGCTCCTTATCGAATCCACCGGCCAATAGAATCCACGTGCTCAGCAGATCTCGCTCACGTGGAATCTGACCTAATCGCCATGCGGTCATGTGACCCTTCCCGCCGAAACTCTCGCGCTAGGCCGTTTGCGAGCATGATTGCCGCATCCGGTAATTTTCTCATTCATCTCGTCTCGTTCAGGAAGCTGCTGCTCGAGGAAATAGATAGCATGCGTTCTTCTAACCCTGGGTTATGCGCTCGACATCACGAGGCTGGTCTCTTTGCAGCCGTAAACTGGACCTCGACTGGTCTACTCAAAGCCTGATTTGTTTTCTTTTTCTCGGAATGAGGCAAGATCTCTCCGGGGCTTCCGAATTCTACTGTCCTTGGCTTACCTCGTCATACATGCATGCCATACGAGGTGAGTGTAATATGAGAGAAGTATATGATTCAACTATTGGTATTCTCTTGCATGACCCTAATCCGGCTCGCTTTTAACCCTTGTCCCACCCCCCATTCTGCATGCACCTGTCTGTCCTGGGACAGTGCTGATTTTCTGTACTTCCCCCTCCCCCCTCTATAATAATAAATATATTAACGGCCGTCTTTTCTTGAACATAATATTGAATTTGTTTATCAGTTTGGAGGAAGCTTTCGGATGCCATCGTCATCATCATAATGACTTCCGAAGATGAGAAAGAATCCTTCAAGCCCATACACTACAATGGCACTCATGATGATCCCCTCCCACATTCACAGTCACAGCCGCAGCTGCACGCACAGCAGCAGCAGCAGCAAATAGAAACAGAAGAGGCTTCACCAGCCGTCCAGGGCAGACCATGGATGTACAACCCCATCAAAGTCGGCCCCTGGACTCTCCCCTGGTACTACGCATCCCCCGAAACTCAACTAATCATGGTCTCATTCGTCTGCTTCCTCTGCCCTGGCATGTACAATGCTGTCAGTGGCCTGGGCGGAGGCGGACAGGTGAATTTCAAAGACGTCAACAACGCAAACACAGCGCTGTATAGCACGTTCTCCGTTGTAGGGTTTTTCGCAGGCTCGATCACAAATAAGATTGGGTTGAAGTTGACGCTGTCATTTGGCGGGTTTGGGTATTTCTTATACGTGGCGTCTCTGCTTTCGTATAATCACAATCAGAATGTGGGCTTTCTGGTCTTTGCTGGCGCGCTGCTCGGTGTATGTGCGGGATTGTTGTGGTGTGCTCAGGGGGCTATTATGATGAGTTATCCTTTGGAGAATCAGAAGGGCTCATTTATTGCTACCTTTTGGATTATTTTCAACTTAGGTGGAGTGATTGGTAGTTTGGTATGTCCTTTTGTTGCTCTTCTTGTGCTCAGTGTATATTGACATCGATAAAAACAAAAGATCCCCCTAGGGCAAAACATCCACTCGACAGCCGGCGAGGTCAATGACGGCACATATATCGCATTCATGGTCCTCATGGCAGTCGGCTTCGTGCTCGCCTGGGGCCTGTCCGACTCGAAATACATCAAAAGAAAAGACGGCTCCCGAGTCATCGTCATCAAACAACCCACCTGGACGACCGAAATCAAGGGCCTATTCGAAACCCTTCGAGACGACTACTACATCGTTCTCCTCTTCCCCATGTTTTTGGCAAGCAACTGGTTTACTGCATACCAATTCAATGCCGTGAACGGTTTCTATTTCAACATCCGCACGCGCTCCTTAAACAGTCTGCTCTACTGGCTGTGCCAGATGATTGGCGCGTATGTGTTTGGACGCTTGCTAGACCTGAAATTCCTCTCGCGCACTGTGCGCGCAAAGCTGAATTTGGCGCTTCTGTTCGCTCTGACGATGGGTATTTGGGGCGGCGGTTATGCGTTTCAGAAGACGTATGATCGCCACTCTTCGAAGCCGGATATGGACTGGAGTACGCCGGGCTATGTAGGACCGATGTTTTTGTACATGTTTTATGGGTTCTATGATGCCTCTTTTCAGACTTGCACATACTGGTGAGATTCCTCTCATGTTCAAGAATATGCTTGTACAGTTTCTAATTAAATCTTCCTCCAGGTTCATGGGCTCTTTGAGTAACAACAGTCGCAAACTTGCCAATTTCGCCGGTTTCTACAAAGGAATCCAGTCTGTTGGGCAGGCGATTACGTGGCGGTAAGCATCGTCCTATTTGTCCTATATGATACAAGTTCCTTTTAACCAATCTAATTGAACCTTAGTATGGATGCGCTGAGCACGTCCTATCTGCGAGAATTCGCTGCTTGCTGGGGAATCCTGGCCGGATCCCTCCTGATTGCGTCTCCGGTTGTCTTCTTCAAGATCAAGGATCACACCGATGTTGAAGAGGATTTGAAGTTCTCCGATGAGACCTTGAAAGAGGTCCAGGCTCGTGATCAGACCCAGACTCTCGCTCTGGCTGAGATGCCGGGTGAGAAGTAGTTCTGGTCTATACCTCATTCTTCGACGTCAATTTAGTTGACACAAGCGATATACTTACTTCACTTTATTATTTCTCCACCATCTTGTCATTTTTTGTTCCGCACGTCTACTCTCGATGTCATATTTTTCATTTGCAGCGTGGCTCAGTATGCCTCCACGTTATGTACCTAGTAGGAGGTCGTTCTGGTTTGATCATTTAATGATATTCATGATGTATCTAGATATACTTGTATCCATGGACATAGGTAATAATCGGATATACTGAACTCGAGCCCTTGTTTCTCTTTTGTAAATGAATACTAAAAGAAAAGGAAGAAAAAAATACTTATAGCATTGCTTTAGCCCTCCCCTGCTCCATTTGTGCCTCCTTCTGCGCACGCTCCCTCAAAAGCCGTCTCAAAATCTTCCCACTCGCATTCTTCGGCAGCGCATCGACAAAAACCACTCCGCCAGTGATCCTCTTATGAGGCGACAACTTCCCATTCACCTCCGCAACTATCCGATCCGCCGTATCCTGCGACGCTTGAGCGCCCTGTTGCAGAACAATATACGCACGGGGATGCTCCTCCTGTCGTCCATGTGAACTAGTCAGCGTCACCCCAACAACAGCTGCGTCCGCGACTCCCTCAGTCTCAAGACAAACCCCATCTAGCTCTGCAGGCGCAACCTGGAGACCCTTGACCTTAATGAGTTCCTTCAGTCGTCCGCTGATATAGAATTTGTTCTCGTCGTCATAATACCCAATGTCCCCCGTCCGTAGCCATCCGTCAGCCGTTAGGGTTTCGGCGGTTGCGCGCGGGTTGCGCCAGTATCCCTTCATGATTTGAGGGCCGCGGACCCAGAGTTCGCCTGTTTTGTTGGGGCCGAGTTCTTTGGGAGGATCGTTAGATGATGAATGCTCGTCTGGTAAGGACATGATTTTGGCTTCGGAGTTGGCGTTGGGCCAGCCTACGCTGTTGTCTTTGCTGGTTTGGCTTGGATTCCACCCGAGTAATGAGCAAGTAGCTCTGTCTTTGTTAGCATTTAGTCTTATTTGCTTTGACCAAGGAAACGAAAGAGAGAGGGCGTACTCGGTCATCCCCCAGCCTTGCTTGATATTGATTGCTCCCTTTGGCCACACACTCTCAGCCTCTTCCGACACCTCCCTACTCAGTGGCGCAGCTCCAGAACCGACAAACCGCACAGAACTCAGGTCAAATTTCCTTGTTTCTGGATGCTTAGCAAGCATGACCACCACCGGCGGCACGATAATCAGATGCGAAACACGATATTTCTCCACGTTCCTCAGCACAGTCAAAAAATCGAATTTCTCCATGATATACACCGGGGTGCGCCGGTACTGAGCCACACCGAGGAATAGCATCTGTGCCATGGCGTGGTATAGCGGTAGGAAGCAGAGCCATTGTTCTTTGCTCCGGTGCTTCATTTCATAGTCTACGTGCTGGCAGAGGTAGTGGTTGTACTGAATGACGTTGGCAACGTAGTTCCCATGCGTGATTTCCACGCCTTTGCTGAGCCCGGTTGTGCCAGATGAGTAGTTCAGGGCCATGACTGTGTTGCGCGCTTCGTTGGGCTCCATTAATGGGTTCCATGCAAATCTCGCACCTTCTGCCTCGGATGCTATCAATGATGTCCAGTGCGGAATGTTTGATTGTTGTTTCTGCTGTGTCGATAGATCAGTGGGCGGGCTTAGATTGTGATCAAACACAAACGTCCTCCTTTCATGTCCCCGGCCTACGATCCTAGATGCCTCCAGACAAGTGCGCAGCGCGTCGCCATCCTGGCTCAGGACAAACGTTGGATCTGCGTCTCGCATCTGATGCGCCAATTCCTGCGGCGAATATGCTGGGTTGCATCCACTGAAAATGCCGCCGGCCATGATGACGCCCATGAACACCACGGGGAAGGAAATTCTGTTTGTGCTGAAGACGACGACCCTATCGCCCTGTGCCAGACCGGCATTTTGTAGACCAGCGGCAAACCGCTGACTCCATAGTCGGAAGGAGTGGCGAGTCAGGAAGCGTGTTTCTGGGTTGAGGTGGTCGAGGAGATAGGGTTTGTCGTCGGGGAGAGTGTCTTCCGGAGAGCCGAAGATGAGGGTGGGAAAGCTGTGTTGGGGGATGTCGATTGTATACTTGGATTTGACGACCATTTTGATTGAAGTATGAATAGAAATATTTACTATGGGAAGTAAAATAAAGAGATGGAGGGAATGGATGATTTATTAGACGCTCGTTACAGGAAGGACACAGCAAAAAAGTGGCAAATCGGATCTGCCGGACTTCTCCCTCCTCCCTTTCGCAGTTGTTTATCCAAGTTTACGGAGTACAAGGGATAAAAGCTAAAGCCAAATGAGAATAGACTATAGTTTGAGCAACTAATGAGGTCAAATGCGGAGAATTAATGCGGGGGAAGCTATAGCCTCAGGGACTGCTAGTTTGGCCCGTTTGGGACTGTTTGGCGTCAATAGTAGGATTTTTTTTTTTTGGATCTGCAATCGGATCGTTCGGATGATCTCGTAAATCTGTGTTATTCTTCGACGGATACTTTGTGATACTGTATGGGGTAAATAATTCATCAGTAGATCGGTAGACTAGATCTATCTAACTATTGATTGGCATGGGCCGCAAGGCTGCTTGCATGCTTATTTCCTGCTTATTAACCGACCCTATCCCATGGCTAAAGTGGACTGAATATTGGGAAATCCATACCATTAGCATAACGTTATGCATTATTTAGCACGGTCGATTCAATGCATTGAGGTGCGAGGATCGAGGCTGATAGGCAGGTTTCTGCGATGTAAAGTAGCCCTAGCCCTAAACTCTTTAGGGCTACGTCTGTTGGACTGCTCATCCAGATTACCGTAACGCAAAGCATAGGGCGTTGATAATAGTTTGTTTATAAAGAGAAATAGAGGACTACATTTATCATTCTTCTGAAATAGATGAGTGCATTCTTGATCATAACTGAATACATGCAAGAGTTATTACCAGATTCCACCTCTCTATTGAAATACGCCCACGATGAATATACAAACATCTCCAATATCCACATTCATACTCTCGTGAGACATTGGTATACCCCAAAGCCCTTCTTCGAATCGAGTCATCATTCTGCATTTACCAGCACATAGGTTAAATTTACACATAGTCACATACCATGTTAAAAGTCAGACACCTCCGATAATCGCCACTTACCAACTTACGTGCGTACTGCATCTAGTCCAAAAATTAGTTAATGACAAGGCATGGCATAATTTACTCAATATGGTATTTGGCCCTGAGTCTAGCTAAGCCTGCTTGAGGATAGTTAATAGTTATACTTTGCTATAAACTAAATTATGGAGATGTTTTTAGTTCAGAAATCACATGTATATCCATGGGTGAATTGACGTCATGATTGACATGTGAAAGGCGGCTTGCTTTCATGTGAAGATGGTACTAAAGTTAGGTAAACTAAATAGTGTAAATCTAGCAGGTATCGTTCTCAAATATAGAGATTTAATTCATCACTAGTAGATAATAACATGATACAATTCCCATCCTGCGCCAGTAGTCCAATCCCAAATCCCAACTTTTATGTCCATAGATATTATAAACAGATAGTTATGTATATCAATCAAAATTCAACTCGTAATACATCTCGAATTGGACACGATGGAAGAAATAATAGCGCATATTCATTATTCATAGCTTCATCGATAGACCCATGTCCTGGTCGACGTCCGAGGAAAACTCATCGTTCCGCTTGCCAAAATCATAGCCAAAAATGCTAGCATCCGCAGAAAAGTCGGCTAGAAACTCGAAATCCGGCTTTTCTTGTATCTGCTTCTGTTGCTGTGTGTCTGTAATAACAATGTCGTTACTGTTATGGTTGGTATTGCTGAAGGCAAAATTCATCCCTAGCCCATCCTCAGCAGCAAAAAAATCGGCTCCCCCATCTTCAAAGTTGAGAAGAGCATCGAAATCGTTCTGGGTTACTTCCGCGTTATTAGCCAACCCGATGAAATCATTGAGGCTCATGGAGGTCTGAGCAGATCGCTCGACGCCCGGTTTGAAAATACTCGGGTTCAGATTAGAGGTACTGCCGTTCTCGCTACCATTCGAGTGTGGTGGCGTGGCGACGTCAAATGCACTCATTTTAGTGTTGGCGTTGTCGATTTCTGCCGGAATTGAGAACCCAGTAGATGTTGTGTTGTTGAAAGTGGAAGAAGGGTAAGTGAGGTCCGGCAGCTTTTCTGCTAGAGAATCAGGGGGCGGTGTCAACGCTGTCGGGCGGATGGTTCCTGGCGGGGCTGTTGGTGTGCGACTATCAAGTTCAGAAACATTCAATTGAATGCCAGCCTTGCGAATAGCGGCTTCTAAAAACGACGTGGCGAAGTCGGCAGATGCGTAAATCTCACGGAGACGCTGCAAAATGCGCATGCACTGGTAGAAACGCCGTAAGCTGACCATGCGCAGGTTTGGATCATTAGATTTGACATCCAGCAAATGAATAATCACCGCAGGTAATAGAACTGTAACACCAGCAGTTGGAAGAAAGCGAGTAAGATTGAGTTGGTGGAGCCGTTGTGCAGTGGCGGTGATCTCAACGGCCGCATAGCGCACTTTGCTCCGTGAGACTTCCTGCAATGCGGCTTCGACAGCTGGGAAAGGCATTGACGGAAGCACCTGCGGCCGGTGTAGAGCGCTAGACGTCGTAAGATAGATCATCCGTAGCAAGGAACGATGCACGTGTAACGAGGCTTCGGCTGGGGACAGATAATCAACCCCTACAAGAGGGTCGTACTGAATCTCACTAGGCATGCTCGCTTGCCATTTTTCCAGCTCTTCATCACACTGCTGAACTTGGACTGTGCCCATTTCCGATTTCTTTGGCACGAGCATCATGGTGGTTTCGGTCGTGCCTCCAAAGCGATGGCTGAGGACAGAGTACTGAGCGGACAGGACACGACTGACACAAAGACAAAGCTTAGCCTTCTCAATAAACATCAAGGCCAAATGCCGCTGCTGCTCGACGTTTTGTAGCAATTCGCACTCGCCTAACATATTCATGACCTCGGCAGGAAATGGCTTGAACTCGAAATCATCAAGAGTCAACATCGGCACGTCACAATCATCGTCTTTGACTCTCATCGGTCGGCGCATCCCCAATGCAATCAGTCGATCTCGCGTATATGTGCTCCACCAAATGCGCTTCCAGAGTTGCTTCCGCCGCGGCCCCATGCCAGAATTGCTAGGGTCGCGATGAATTCCTATCGTGTGGGCCAGCGACAAGCTCACACCCATCCAGTGCCAGGTGTCCTTTTGGTCGTCTGGCGTCTCGTACCAATATGTCATAAGCAGGAGAGACTGAACCAGTGAGATACGATCCACTTCATAGTCAAAATCATAGAGCAACTAAAACAAATCAGCACCCCAACAAAGTACATTGATATGTAGAAGGCGTACGCACTCTGGCTCGGTGAAAAAAAACTTTGCGGGCGTCTTTCCGATTATTGAAGCCCGCATTATGTAGATGATCCATGTCTACAAAAGCAGTTCCCGCAAACATGACAGCCTGGAACAAAAGCAGGCTCACATGGTGTACGCCATCGTTGCGGGCAAGAATTTGAAGGAATTCCTCCAAATCCAGCAATGGCATGAATGGATGCACATAATAAATGTATGACTTTAGCAGCTCATTGCGCAATGGCCTATCGGGAATCGACAAGGCGCCCTTGGTTTCCAAGTAATTGAGATCTTCAGACTGCAAACGTTGCGGCAGGCGTCGGATGTAGCCCGGTAGTAGGTTGTCGCGAGGCTCGGGACCTAGCAGCTGCTGGAGGGCATCGGTGATACTAGGCCCTATGTTTGCTGCAATCGACATTGATCGAGCAAAACCTGTCTGCCTCTGGGATTGATTGTCGGTATCTAATTGTGAGCTACTTGATTGGTCTGTTTGCGGATAGTTAGTGATTAGGTAAGCACGGAGACCGGGCCGATATGTTTCGGAAAAGGGCACCAACAGATAAAATGAGGCATGTGCTGTCCTTGTTCCAAGTCAACCGATCCTTGAAAGGGAGATAGAGGGTCTTCCTGAGCTGTAAAACCATCCAAGGCCGATGGCTCACACCCATCCGGGCCATGGCTCAAGGTTCGTTGTTTGGCGACGTCTTCCGACGATTCAGCGGACGAGTCCGGTGTCGCTTTGTTCTCAGACTCAACGCGAACTTTTCTGTTCTTTGGGTCAGCGACTGCTTTGTGTGCTTGTAGCATCTGGAGACTCGAATGGATATACTACTAACCTTCTCCGTCTGCTTTCGGTTACAACGCAATCCACCTGGTCTAGGCGACAATTGGTACACGGCGAGCCATTCTCGACCACATCGCACCGGACCTTGCGTGCGCGACAGCAGCAGCAGGCGCGGGAAGCTCTTCTCTTAATCGGCCTGTTTCCCGCGGAAAGACTGGCCGTAGAAGCTTTCCGCTTGTTCTGCAATGTGGCAGAGGAAGAGGAGGAAGTAGCAGAAGCCATTGTGACGTGGTGTGAGAGCGTCAATGCCAATGGAAATGGCGACGAAACAGAATAGCGCAAGACTCTCGACAGGCTGTTGTTCATCAAACGGGGAAGGGGAGAAAGGGGGAAAAAGCAAATTCAGTCCAACGAGGAAAGGAGTGGGAGAGCGATGAAAACTGGGGGCGGGGCCGGCGTCTTTTTAGTACTCGTGACGGTCGTTGGTGTCGTAGAGCTAGAAGGGAGGATCCCCCATGTTCGATTCTCCATAGTAAAATTGCGCCCAAACAGCCAGCATTGCAAGCCATGCGAGTCCCACCGGGCTCAAAGCTCGCACGCCCACTGGACGAAGTGGCATTTGCCTCCCCCGGACGCGGACCAAGGGAGCCAAGGAGAGTCGTGGGGGAGGAGAGATCCTTCTTGTTCTTCTTACGTCGTCTGCCTTTCTTCCGCTCTTCGGGGGCCATCGGCAGCCTGCCGTCTTCGGCCTAGCCAGCCAGGTCACGTTACCTGGCCAATCCTCAATCCTTTCATTGTTCGACCTTGGACCTGAAGTCCTGGACAGTCAGTCGTCTGGATAACTCGGCTCAGCGTGCGTGCACAACTTGCATCTTTTTGTTTCGAGAACCCCGACGAGCGCCACTTCTCCCCAAAGCCGACGACGTGATTCGCCACCAGCCTACTCCACCGTTGTACGAGTTCCTCCGTCGCAGCCGGCTGACAGTGAGTAAGTGCTTATGCTGCTCCTGGCCGATTTTGATATGGGTATCTAACACGGGATAACGTAACTAGCCAACTAATCAGCGGAGGGCTAATCAGGGCTCTGTTATCTCCAGTTGCACGAAACAATCCTTTGCAACAGCTCTCTCTCTCTCTCTCTGTCTGTCTCTCGCTCTCTGATCTACAGAGTGTTCAGCGCCGGAATTAGCCCGCTCCGCAGAAAGCCTGCTGAACGGCGCCAGTTCCCGTTTTGGGCTAGGTCATGCACAAAGCATTGATGACTACATGCTATATTGCTAGCTAGTTAACTTAGGGACATCCTAGCAAACCACGGAATGCCATCTTTGACAGCATTTGAACATGTCCGGAGCAGCTGAGAACACAGCCTTCAGCTACAGAGTAAATACACATCGTCATGTAAGCGCCAACTTCTCACCCCTAACTCGCAAGTAAGACGGCCGTCCGTCCTTCTCCACAGACAGGTCCAATCACTAGGATCCAGTTTCCAATCCCTGCCCACTTCCAATTTGCTTCCCAAGTTATATCGAAACACTAAAAAGAGCGCTATCCGAAAATCGGATATCTGTATTGGGCATAGCACATGCCTTCCCCCGTTGTCTCGACTGTCGAGGGTCCCCGTCAACGGGCCGATAAGGGGGGAAGGGGCCCTCGTGACCAGCATGGCAGCAATTCAAGCTTTTAGTTGCGTCTTTTCTTTTTTTTCCGTCATTGTGCAGCGACCAACTCTTCAAACAAGGATAGAAATGCTGCTGTAGATGTTCATTGCCCAGATGGATACGGAGCATATCCTCATTATCCCGAGAAGTCTTTCACTCCCAGTTCCATCTGTTCCGCACATTGCTCAATTTTCTCTGGTCAGTTTTGAAATTGTGGGTGAATGAAGAGATCGGTGGCTGTGCATAGGGACCCGTAATGTACGTATTATCTAATCTTTGATTCCACGAGCGGCAACCGCTTGTAATTTTAAGCGTGCGGCATTTAATTGTGATTGGATCATGGCAAACCCCGGTAACGCAAATACCTGACCCATGACCATGGCTTAGGCCTCTAAAGTGTTCAAAGTACGATCGGCCAATTAGATATGCTAGATTCATAGATAATCACCGCTTTTCGCAGTCTTCCTACTGCGAATAGATAGAGATGCTATGTTATAGTGTTGCTTACCGTTGCGTGAATCTACCATAGATAAATGTCAGAAATGTTATTTATGGTTTCCATTTGACCAGATTCTGGAATAGGAGTCTCAATCGATTCATCTGTTAACACACACCTGCGGATCCAATCAACAACTGCTGATCTAGATCAAGCCTCCAGTCCATTAACTGGTAGCTACGTACGTATTTTTGATCAGTACGTATTGGCATTAGTTAATTCCCTCCGCAGTGGAGATTCCAACTCCAGATTATGGAATACGGAGTATTTGGGGTTGGGCACGGAAGATTCCGGCTTGGGTCGTCTGCCTACGCACTTGATTGGAACACGGACATTTTTAGAATATGTATTATGCAAAGAGAGTTTACTCTGTGGAATTAATATTTGTATGAGATAATTTTCATATCAATGAATGAGGGGATCCTTGCAGCAGGACGCAGATGTCGGTTGACTGCCCGAGTTGACAATTGCATGCCTAGCTTTTGTAGACAGTGCGTGCGTTGGGTTGTATGTACCTGTTAGGCGTTTCTTGTAGAAAAATGTTACAATTGCTGCCGCAGAAGAAGGAAAACCATACAAACAACCCAGTATCATTCATTATAAGTCATCCAAGGCATGCATGCATCCAACAATCGTGTTGTCATGTCATGGAGTTATCTAAACTGCTCAAAGACCTAACCACAAACCCTTGGGAATTCTCCGTACATGTCAAGCCTAGACTCAAAAAGAGCCTACCTAGTCTCTAACTAATTGTTCCTAGTCTTGCCTCCACTGCCAATCACACCACTTGACACATAAAACCTTTAATTAGTTGCTATGGAGAACTAGAGATATGTCTTGTCTACTTTCCGAGTTTCGGAAACACACGGGATGATTGATGGACGCGAAGTACGACTTACACGGACGTTGAGTCATTCAATGACTCAATATAATGAGGAAAACAGGGAAAAGACGGAAAAGGCAAAGAAATCCTGCGGGGTCATAGATTTTGAGCAATTGTAGTTCTGAGAAAGGATAGAAGTTCGGCTGCACAATGATACTGGATGGGGTTGATGGATTAGATTAGGGCTTTGACGTACCACGCTAGAAATCTATGCGCTATTTACCTGTCTAGGTAGGTAATCGAGTGCTCATTCGAACTCTGACTATAACCGATATGAAGCCTTGGTGGGTTTGATCGATAGCCATCAATAATCGGCACTGCAGAAACTGAAATAGAGATAACTTATTCCATATTACTGTCTTCTATGCTCGACATGTTAATGCCACAAAGAGTAAATAGATATAGACTAGAGAGCCTCGTCGATTATAGAAGACAGCAATAGGACATGTAGAAGGCTAAGTAATGAGGGCTGATGGAAGAACGAGGTTGTGACGAATGAATCACTACAAAGGTCTGTAGGTAGAGCGCATACTAATATGCTTCTACGACAAGTTAGAAGCTGTCATAAAGAAGGTTAAGTGATAACTTCGATGTATCGAGGGAAGAATGATAGTATTGACGAACTTCAATATGTGGATGCCTGAATAGGAAGGCAGCAGTCACCCGCCAAGACTAGCCGATTCAGGACTAGCTTTGTTTACCCGGCAACGACGTCAAATCTACCGATCCTAAACGAAAATCATCAACAACAAAAACAAAATACATTCGTGCGTCTTCACAAATCACTTTTGTCCCTTCAGGCCAAAATCATGGCACTTTCCCCCTTGTCGCCATCACATGGCAATTCTCGCGTACGATATTCATCTCCTGCTGCACATGTCACGCCGTCTACTGTGCTACGTCGTCGAGGCATCGATGAGATAATGTCGTCCACAGACCAGCACGACAAAGAGAACGCTTCGCCGAAGCCTGCAAAACGGGCTCTTTACTCATATGATGGAAGTGCAGATGACTATGATGACACATATGATTATGAATTGAAACATTCTGCTACTACTACTGCTGCTACTGCTGCTGCCCACAGCAGTAATAGTATTACCGAGTATGGTGGTGGTGATGGTGATATGACAGAAGACCTAAACCTCAATGCCGGTCCACCGAGTTCACCATTCCAGATTGACGCCCGCGATGATACGGTTGATATGAACAGATTGCAGGCGATGACAATGTCGACATCGCGGCGGACGTTGCCGGAGAAAAAGCTGGGTCCGGAAATTTATATCGACGAAGAAGACCGACTTGACGGCGAGTTTGATCACAACGCGCAAAACTTTGTACAGAGCAAGGCCTACGAAACTGCACCTGAAATGTCCGAAATTGACAATGCTGCCGCCAAGAGTTATGATTGTGACGACCAAAATGACGATGGTGATAGTGTGATCCAGAACGAGTCAAAACCGATGGAAACCCCGCAAATTGGTAACAGCATTATGGAAGAGCGGCTTAACGAAGAAATGAGCACTGTTGCACACCTTGTCTCTGACGATGAGCCTAACGCAAAGATCAATAATAATGATCCACACGACAACGATCCAATGGACGATACCTGCTTCAGCACATTTTCGGCCGTTCCGAACGTCGACATGACCCTTTTTGCTAAACTGGGAGCTTCGCCAACAAAGAAAATTGTAGAGTCACCTGCAGTCTCCAGAACTCCCGCCTATGCTCGACGATCGAAGGTATCTACACCGGCTACGGCGCATAGGCGAGGATTCATCGATAATGCCGATACCTCTCCAACTCCGCAGAGGAGGGGTCACCCCAGTCACGACGACAGCATGAATCTCCTTGACTTCTCTGATTCTGTCAACTATTTTCAACGAGTGTCGCAACGCTTTTCGATGTCCGGAAACCGAGCTTCAATGTCTCCTAGACGGCGATCGCCTTTCAAACCTCGCGAGTCTATGCGCAGCCCTGCAAAGTACAATCTGCTTGACTTTGACATTCCGCCACCGGCAACTCCGATGTCAATTCCTTCTATCACACCTCGCGAGCTCGAATCCTTAAAGTCCGGATTTCTATCCGAGATTTCCTCGCTCAAGGCTACCGTCAGTGGCAAAGAAGCCGAGGTATCTAGCCTGAAGCAAGCCGTGGCCGATGCAGAACGTCGCGTGGGGGAAGCACTTGAGGAGGTCCGTAACGAGGCTATTAGGAAGGAGGCTCTCGAAGTGGAACAGGCTGAATGGGAGCGACGCGGGAAAGAAATGGAGACAGTGCTGCGTGAAGTTAGAGCGGAGATAATCGACGGGGAATGCGAACGGGAACGCCTAACCAAGAAGAACGAGGAAGCGGAGAGACTCAAGGAGCAACTCGAAGGCAAAATTGTTGAACTCGAAAGCCAACTCGATGCTGCTGAAAAGGCGGCAGCCGCCAACCCCGTCGCCAATTCAGCATCAGAAGGTGACATTTATGGAAACAACAGCAATCAGGGAATGATGACAGCAGAGCAGTCTGCAAAAGAAGTCCAAGAGGCCGTGGAAAGGGTTGCACGCGAACTACACACGCTATACAAGGGCAAACACGAGACGAAAGTAGCAGCTCTGAAGAAGAGCTATGAGGCTCGATGGGAAAAAAGAGTCCGCGAAGCCGAGAACAAACTCCGCGAAGCCTCGGAAGAAGTTGAGCGACTCAAGACGGAGCGCGATGCAAGCATGTCCGGTCCTCTCATCAACCCGAACATGAGCGTGCTAAGCGCCGCCATCGGGGGTGGACGCGAAAACGAAGAACTTGAGACGGAAAATAAGGTTCTGAGTGCGCAAATCAAGGGCCTCGAGGAACAGTTGGCGGTGATCAAGAAGGATAACGAGCAATTACATGCGGAACTGAAAGTTGAGCGTTCCGAGAAGGGCGAATTAGTCGCTGCTGTTGATGAGTGGTTGGCCATGCAACAACAAGCTCAAACCGCTCCTCTTCCTCCTTCTGCAAACTCACGAGAAGTCTCGAATTCATCCTCTTACTATATTGCGAGTGAACAAGAAGCCCCCCCTTCCTCATCCTCTAACAATACCCATAAAAAGGATGACCAAACCCAAGCCCAGCAACCAAACACATTCAGACGCAGCATCAGTCGCTCCAGCACTACCAGCAGTCTCCGCCCGCCATCATCCGGTAACAGCAGCAATAGCAACAACGAAAAACGAAGCCGTCTGAGCATGTACAGCGGTAGCAGTAGCAGTGGAGGAGGACACACGCGACACAACAGCGGTGGTGGAAATGGGCGCTCAATCGCCATGCCGTCGTCTTCGGCTGGTAGTACTACTGCGACACCGGGACGAAGTGGGATTATGAGCTCGATTGAACGCATGGGTATGGGAGGAAGGTAGATATTTTCTTTTTCCCTTATCTTTTCAAATCAATGGGTTAGTCAGGTTTGGGCGGCAGAGTGCTTTTCACTTTCTTTCTTTATACGGTGCCTTTTTTTCTTGTTCTTTTTTTTTCTTTTACTTGCTTCTGTGTGTCTGTGTTTCGTTTTGATGACGATGATACCACTTCTACTTCGATGAAATGAATGATGAATCACATGAACGACATAATTAGCGAGACATTCCTGATCTTTCAGATCCCTATCTATCTATCAGCATATCTATCTTTTAAGGTTAGTATACGCTGGTAAGAAAGGAGAAACCAAACTCCGCGCTGATATTTCCAAGACAACATCTATCAAACTAGCATAAACAGATTTGCTCCAAAATGCCGCAAATTATGTGGTTATCAGACAGACAACAGAAGCCAAAAAGCTCAGGGATATAATGCCTACACTCGCTCAAGACGCAAGAGGGAAAGAAAGACAGAATTGAGTATGGGCGTAGAACAAGAGAAGCAAATATTGAGCAGCAGTCATAATCGCGTAAAGAAACGATACGTGCAATGTAATAGAACAATGCCTCCGAGGCTCTGTATACTTATATTATCGTTAATAGTCCTCTTCGCCAACCATCACATGAATCACTTCATGCGCATGGCTGTCGGAGGCAGGAGGACCAGCAGCAGCCAAACACGGCGCAGCTGATCGCACTGTAACGGTGTCCTTTCGACGCTTGATAAACCAGAGCTGGAAAGTACCAGCCATCGCGATCAGTGTGCTGCTCCACCACGCAATAGCACTGCATCCAATTGCTGTCCCTGTACTATACAGATAGCCAGATAGTGGAGGAGCAACTGTACGACATGCGGCACCGGCTGAAGCTGCGAGTCCATTGATTTTACCCATGCATGATGCAGACGGGCTGGACTGTTTGATCAGAATAAGAAGAACTGGGTAAGCGATGATGGAAAGAATATTGCGGACTGCCAGGCAGGTGTAGATGCCGGCAAAATAGAGGTTTGGAGGGAGGAAGACCAAAAATGGGATGATAAAGTACGTCACTGGGTGCAGGGCGGTCACCAACACAAATAGTCTCCAAACACCCAACCAGTCAGTCAGAGGAGCGAAGATGACACTTTGAATGAAAAGTGCCATCAAGCCATCGATAGACATGATAAATCCGACGGTCCGTGTAGACAGCCCCAAGCCGCCTGTAATATGTAGGAAGTAGCGCGGAGAGATATCGACCTGAGGCTTGTCTTGGAGGAATATTGGGAGCAGATGATCGAAAGTCATAGAGTGATATGTGAAGACCCCAAGGGCAACGATAAACATGACAACCTGTGAAGTAAAGGCTACTTCATCTTGCCGCGATGATGACCTCTCTTTGGAGTTCTCGGCATGAAGTTGCCAATGTTCGTTTGTAAGTATATTGACTTCATTGAATGTGCCATAGGATTCGGCGCGGAGGTCGACCCCGGGGTTAGCTGTGGCACCAGCTGTTGCCATCAAAGGTGTTTCGACATTCGCTCTGTATTCTGACGGTAGTGACAGGGAGTGTGTCTGGTATTCAGGATGTGTTTCCTGCAAGAGAAACGCACCTCCAATGATGCTGAGTAGGAGAAGTCCAGCACAAAAGAGGTTAGGAAGCAAAAATGGGAACCTTCCAAATAACCCATCGGGTGAGAAAACAGACGGAAATCCTTCAACCGGTTTTGCCAGTAAGCCTCCAACGGCTGATAATTCAATGTTGTTAGCCAGAATAGGGTGGGGTAGGGATACGAATGTCCATCAGTATGTGAATACTTACCAGGTCCGAGAATAGTGCCGATGGACCAAACAAACGGCATGACTGCATATGCTCGAGCTGTAAAAAGTATTAGTACATGAGGATCCCAGAAATGTCAAGAGTGGTAAACATGATAAGACATACGTTCGTGTTCAGGGCGCTTCACAAGCTCACCAACCATGGTCTGAATCACGCCTATATTTCCATTAAGCACACCACCAATGATTCGACCAAGGAGAGCTACCCAAAAACTCGAAGCGAATCCCACTATCAACAGCGAAAGCATGGTGCCAGCGCAGCCGAGCAAAAGTACAGGTTTACGACCGATGCGATCCGATAGCGCTCCCCAAAGCATGCCAGTCAAAGCCTCGGCCATGGAAAATGCGGCGACTAGGATTCCCGCGTAGAAGGAGGCGTCGTTTGGGCCGCCGACGTGGAATTCTTGCACCATTACCCATGAGTACGGGAAAATCGAGGTGAGCGCGATCGGTTCTGCCACACGGCAGATAGCTGGGGGCGAGTCAGGATAATGCGTTTCATGGATCAAGCAGGGAAGATAAAAACTCACCCAAGAGAAAGAGCTGCAGACACGGAAAGGCATCGTCGTTCGAAAATGATCTTGTCTGTGGCGTTGATACCATGATTCTTTTGACACTTGAACGATTCTTACCACTTCCTTTCCCCGCAAAACCACGCAGAAAAGTCCCTTTCTTCACTTGTTCTCTTGTCAAAAAAAGATTGGTCTTCTTCTGCGCGGGCTGCCTTCCCTAGATGTTCCGCTGTACAGCCTGATCTTGCTGCCTTGGCTGTGACTCTACGCAGGACACAGCACGCAAACGGCTTTGGTCTCTGCTTATTGATAAAAACAAAAGGTCTGTGGCCGTTGTTGCAGATGCAGAGTACCTGGCGCGATAAAGAGAGAAGGAAGAGAAAAGAAGGACAAGAGGGCGAGAAAAGTATTGTTCCGGTCCAGACGTTGTGTTCCAGGGAACGCCCCCAGGAGACGGCAGTGGCAACGGGGAGCAGGCGCCGGGGCCCACATGCAGCGATAACCTTGGAAGCATACAAACACCCATACTCCGTACATGAAAAATTACATTTGTTCGCTCTTACACGCTGCGAGTCTCGATTCGGAATTGTGCCACAGCCAGGGCACCTTGCATATGACCCGGCAAGACCTGCATGCTTCACGTATTATAAACAAGAACTGGCATAAAGCTACTATTACAGGTGCAAGTGAAACTGCCACGCATATCCATATTCCGTAGGAGTGTACTGAATACATCGCAAAACGAGCGGGTTAGAAAAAATTCTTCTTTGATAAGAGAGGAGAAACACCACAGACTAGCGCCCGCTTGGCGCCGTTTTGGCGCCATTTTAGCGCCGGGACCACCCTCAATCCGCCGCTGATTCGCTGCGGATCTTTTGTATGGAAACGGTAAACCGACTTCGTCTCTTGACTCTCTTTGACCGGACTTGGCTTTTCCAATCTTTACTGACCGTTCGTATGCCTTCTATGTACTCTACATACACAAGTGATGATTGAAAAAAGATTGTGCATCTCATTGCATGGTGGCCGTTGACCGCTCTCTCGTCTATCACCGATGATCTGTGCTACGCCAGAAAGATATAACTGCATCAATCGTTCGTTCATTTCCGTCGAGCCCTTAGCAGAAAAGTACAAACATCATCATGTCCGTTCCATTCGCCGAACAGGGAGGTAGAAAGACATGATAGTTCATATTATACAGGACAATTTATCGTATCACTATCATATTATTATCATCGATCCCCATCGCCATGCGAGACCGGTATGTAGTTCCTTCGCTCCTTCACAGCCTAGCATTCAAATCACAGCGTCAGTCGGAAACATTCCCCACTTTCTTCTTTGTGAGACCCTTACCTCGATCCATCCCTGAACCCAAGGTCTGAAAACAGCCCATGTAAGCAAACCGCTTGTCGCAAGTATAAAAATTATAACCACAGCTTCGTCCTTTCGCGAATCTCGTTCTAATCCATAAGAACCATCAGCATAAGAAATCACAATATGGATTCTCTGCCATATATAAGAGAAGAGAAGTCGAAGATAAAGAAAAACGAAAGGGGGATCACAGCAGATCATAAACATACGGAAACACGTCGCAATAACATCATCCTCCTTTGCGCCTTTGCATTTCGGTAAATTGTAATCGAGGCAGAACCGGCGATTGCAGTCATTGCATGTCAACGCTCTATCTTTTTTATTGTTGTTATTGTTATTGTTATTGCTCTTATCGTTATCTTCCTGCGCCTCAGTGGCGGGGGCGCGTTCGTCGAGTGTTGTTAGCCATTCGGTTGTCCGCCTCGTTAATCCATTTCCAAGTTCTTTGCTGATGTCTATCGGGCGAAGTTCGATGATTGTGCTATTTGAAAAACAGGTGCATTTGCAGAAGGACGATGGCTCTATTTATCCCATCAAGAAGTTAGCCTGCTTTTTTCTGCAGTTGGAAAGTTTGAGGGAGGACTGACTCGCAGCTAAAACTCCTGTGATACTTGAGAATATACTCAGGAATAGTATATATTGTAGAAGGCGAATATATCCTATCATGTTGAGATAGGCATATAGTATAACGACGTCGCAGTGCTCGCCTGACGTTGATGCGACGCTTCATTTCGCGACTGATGCCGGGAGCTCACTTATCTTATCTGGTCACGTGATGCCATACCAAAGCTAAAAGGCCGACAACCATATCGACACCGATTAATTATGAAGGATTAAACGTCTAAAACAGACCGATAAGTATATAAATTTATAGTCTACCCTCTTCCCTTCAAACCCTTGCGCCGGTTCTCGCGCTGTCTCTTGTCCTTCGCAGCCTCTCGTCTTCTCCTTTTCCAAGCTCTATTATTTTCTCCGCGGTGTTCCCAAAACCATTTCACAAAGTCGCTTTCTTCCGGCTGCTGCTGCTGCGAGGAAGACTGATTTCGTGTCTTGGAAGGTGTTGCTTCCGGTGCCTGGCTATGGGCGTAACCATCCACATCTTCCATATCCTCATCCTCATCTTCGTCCGCGTCACTTTGGGCGGACGATAGGAATTTATGACGAGGGAAAACCGCGGTATCTGGTGTAGGCGCGCCACTTCTCACGCCACGAACTTGACGGTCCCGATTCGTATACGGCGTTAGTGGTCCGAGGGACTCGGGTGGGACTTCCTCTTCATCCTCGATATCGTCGTCATCGCCTGCAAAGAAACTGAACGTGTTGCCCGTATCCAGAGACAGCTTCTCATCTGGACCCGCACGTTTAAAGAGAGCTTCAAGGGGGTGCACATCCTTGGTCTCCGTCGTGACTTCAGTAGCTTGAGGCGCTGGTGAATGAGCTTTACTGTCGGCCTCGGAGCTATCGCCGGAGCTATCATTATCTTCACCATCGCCGCTGCTTGAATCTTCCGCTTCTGCTTCTGGTTTGGCATCGCTCTTAACAGTCTCCTTCTTCGTGACTAGTTTATCCACTTGCGTCTCTAAAGTAGAGTCTTTCTCCTCGTGGCTACTTATTGACGAAGCATCGCTGCTTGACGAGGCTTCCGACCCGCTATCACTGTCAGAGTCGCTGTCGGAGTCGCTGCTCTCACTATCCGTGGGGCCACTGGACGAAGTCCAGTCCGAGTCTTGGTCCTCTTTTCCAGATTCAAACACAGCAACAGGGGAGGGAGATTTCTTCCTCTGCTTGACAGCAACTCGCTCTTTGGCGCCGTCTCTTTTCCCTGGGTGATAGTCGGCCGTTCTGGTCTTTTGGCTGTCTATTACTTCCTGAACATTGCCATTTTCATCAACCCATCCTTTACCCTCCTCAAAGCCCGCAGTAACCGGCTTCTCCCCCATCGTGGATTTCAGAAAAGATGGATGCGAGATCGTCTGTGAAAACTCATGGACCACGACCTCATTTGGGGCCTTGGGCTTTTTAGACTTCGCGTTCTTTTTCGATGCTGCATCGGGCGTCTTATTTGGCGGCGTTTTGATTTTGAATAAGCACTCTGCCTTCTCCGTGTACTTTGATTTGGACTGCGGTTTAGCTATTCTAGCTTCCTTCTCGGCCTTGGTCTGTTTTTTGTATTTCTTGGCGCTCGCAGGCTCCGTCCACCCTCGTTTCACTTTTCTGTCTGCCGGTAGCTCATATCCATCAAGCACACTGTCTTCCGCTTTGCGTTTCGATGTTTTTTTCAGCTTGGTTGAGGGTACTTTTTCACTAGCGTCGTCGTCGTCAACCCGGGCTTTCTTCTTGCTTGGATCAGCCCTGGCGGCTTCAACCTTGAGCTTTTTGCCTTTCAAGATGGACCCATTGAGCTTTTTCTTGAGCTTGTCTGCCTCCATGGAAGGAAGACTGACAAAGCCGTAGTTGTTTTCGGGGAATGTGGGGATAGTATGGAAAGAGATATCGGTCGCTAAAGGACGGATTGAGGGCACGAGGATCGAGTCCAGCAGAGCGGGCGATAGAGGTGAAATGTGGAGGCGGGTGATGGAATCGGTCATTGCAGCATATTGGTTGTCTCTGTGTCTCCTGCCGCCTCTGGTGGAAAGAAAGCTGTATGCGATAAAATCAAGAATCTGTTTATGCAGGACGAACGAACAGAATATTTTTGCACTAGCCACAGGGCCCGCTAGGCGGTGAGGCGCCGAGCCCTGTACAGCCACAGCTTATCTCATCACGGGTCTCGTCCGCCTGACGTCAAGCACTCGTTTTGATGCGCACAGAATGATCACAAAGTTGATCATCTTCTGTATTCGCTAGTTAGGGTAAGTAGTAAGTTAACTAGAACAATATCAAGTCAACCGAGTCAGCCTCGGCTGTAGACTAAGCAGTGAGCACTAACATCGCCGCGATTCATTTGTCTCTCCTCTGCCTCCCGGAGCCGACTTCAAGCTACAAGTTTGCTATTCTCCCTTAGTTATTATTCCATCGTACAGTTAGGCGTTCAAGACAGCATACCGTCCTACCACAATTTCGTGTATCCATTTCCCGCTGCTCTTTGTTGTTGTTGTTGTTGTTGTTATCGCCGCCGGCCAGCCCAACCAGGGCCCCCACCCGCCTTAAATCCTTAAAATCCGCGTGCTTGGGTCCTTCTCGTCTTCCAGGAGCATATTGGGATATTTTTCAGATACCACATTCCTCCGTCGTCCTCGCTTCAGTGTTTCCCCCCGGCCTGTGCGACAAAGACATCAAAGATTTTCGCACGCATCCGGCCATTCCGCCACCGACTGAAACATTAACAGCCCAGTCTGCTCCAGCCCGCGATTACGTTGGACTAGCGCCAAGTGGAGGAGCCCGCCTTAGTCACCCAGCCCCAGCCCGCGGCTGCTCTCTCACCTCAGCTCACTCAACTCGCTCACACATGGCCACTCTCTAACGAACCTCGTCCATCCCACGATCCCACGATCCCACGATCCCGCCTGGGCAGGGAGCTCGCCGATCAATGTCACTCACCACCCCGTGTACACATGGTGATTTTTCGCAATAGAGCCTTCTCGCTACCCTTGCTCTTCCTCCACAGGGCGAACAACGGGCTTGTTTTCCAGGTATCCTTCCGCCCTTTGAAAGCACGGAAACGGCTTTGCTTCTCGATTCGCCATGGGAAATTCACAGACCAAGGAGGCGCGCCCGCCCTTATCGTCATCATATAGAAACAGATCGTTGTCCGATCAGGGTCGCTCGCCATATCATGGTTCTCGGTCGCACCGCTCCAGTCGACCGGACCTCTCATTCCTCGGCCTCGGCGGTGGGTCGGCTGAGCGTGATGCTGTTGCCCACGAGCAGCGTCGCGAAACAAGACAAGATCGCGAGGCACGACGCCAGGAAAGGGAAAGAGTCGCCCGTCTGCGAGAGAGGGAGAGGAGTATGAAAGAAGAACATGTTGATGGGGGATTCCTGGTCACTCAGGGTGTCTACGTTGGTGCGGAGGACTTTAACAAAGCTGTAGTCCGTCAGCTCATGGTGCGTATAGCCTATTTCTCACATCTTGACAAGGAATCATGTATGCTAAACCATTAGCGCAGATCGAAAGACGACTAGCACCGTTTTGGCGAGGACTAAATGACTTTTCGGAATCATGGACCGAGCATCAACTCATGGCAGCAGCCCGGGGACTGCCTATTCCTCCACCGGACCAGATCCCGCCTGAATTGGAGTATACAGTACCTTCAGAAAATACGGCGGATGCCAGCCAGTCTTCTGAGAAGAACACACAGTTTTTGGCTGTTCCCACATCCGCAAGACCGTCATCTGCACATTCAGAGGTAGCAGCTCTACCTACGCTGAGTCCCGCGCAATCTTTACCGTCATCTCCTCCCCCAATTGCATCCGGCACGTCTACCTCGCCTCTTTTCCGCAGCAGAGCAAAGACTTTAGCTGCCCTAACACATTCAAACAAGAACAGCCCAGTCTCGGAGCCAGTTCCGCGAGAATTTATGATACCGCATGACCCCTTTGTCAATGGGCAGCCCATCGAGGCCTATCTCTACAAAGATGCTAGTGAATGCCCTATTTGTTTTCTCTATTATCCACCTTACCTCAATCACACTCGGTGCTGTGACCAACCAATCTGCTCAGAATGTTTTGTGCAGATCAAGCGACCAGACCCGCACCCACCAGAACATGGTGAATCACAGGGCCAAAATGCTGACAGGGAAAGTGGCCCCAGTGCCAGCGAAGAACGCGACGGAACGGAGCAAGAGTCACAGCTCGTGTCTGAGCCCTCTGCTTGCCCATTCTGCGTGCAACCGGAATTTGGTGTCACCTATGCTCCACCGCAATTCCGGCGAGGGTTGGTATATGCAGCTCCCAACGGCCTTGCTTCGGGTTTAGCTGCCTCTCCAGTGTCTTCCAGCTCTTCGCTTGGCTCAATGGCATCTCCTGCACCGCCCACTGGACGCCGCAGAGCCACGTCACTTTCAGCTAGTGATCCAAGCGTCATTACTACTGATAAAGTCCGTCCTGATTGGGCCCAGAAATTGGCCAATGCGAGAGCGCATGCTGCTCGTCGGTCAGCGGCAGCTACTGCCTTGCATACAGCTGCCTATCTAATGAATTCCTCGGGTTCTGAAATTCGAGGTTTTGGACGCCGCGGAGTCCTGCGACGAGCTGCTGGCGGTGGTAGCTCCGGCACACAAACCCCGGCGAACCGACCTCAGGGCGGCCCTTCGCCAGCTCTTCATGCACTTGCGTTTTTGTCGGAACGCAGAGTTGTCGGTGAACATGCCAACGAATCCAGCACATTGGCTCCTCCACGTGAGAGCTCTAGACGCAGTCGAATTGATGACCTAGAAGAAATGATGATGATGGAGGCTATCAGGATGAGTTTGGCGAGCGAGGAAGAACGGCGGCGGAAGGAAGAAAAAGAAATGCGAAAAGAAGCCAAGAAGAAAGAGAAGGAAGCAAAGAAAGCCGAAAAGTCGATGCGAAAAAATGCCTCTTACAGCAACAGTCAGGCGAGTCTAGCTGTTCTGAGTAGTGGTACTCCTAGTCGGGTGGATAGCAGCTCTTCATCGGTTATTGGGGAGGATCAAACGAACTCGGACAGTAAAGGAAAGAAGGTTGATCGCGTGTCATCGATTCTTCCTACTGTGACTAGAACAGAAGCAACAGATGCCGGCGAGCCCAGCACGACTTCTCAGAAACCCGCTGCCAATCGTACTGATTTGGACTCGCTTCCACAGGCTTCACCCACAGAGCAACCGCGGCCTTCACACCTGCGGCACGTATCAAGTGCATCGTCGACATCGTCTTCATTCGCGGAGAATGGGACGGGCGATCACTCAGATCCTACCGCATCATCCTCTAATGCAGCTGCAGAGCCAATGTTCAACTTCCGAAGTCTCACTGCCGTTATTGGCGATGAGGAAAAATCACAGAATGCAGAGCACGCAGAACATGCAGAACACGTCGAGGATGCGGGTCAACAACAGTTCTCAGCAACAGCAACAGACAATGCTACGAAAGCACAGACTCAATCTCCCAAAACAGAGAACAGTACGGCACCGATAGAGAGTACGTCTCCGCAGGAACATGAACATGAACATGAACATGAACATGGGCATGTCTCGAGCATGGCTCCTAAGGAACTTAATGCTCATTCAGTAGAAGTTTCTCGCGAGACCACCGTTTGATACATCCCTACAAACCAATCCTCATTTTCCAGCTGGACTGTAAAATATATCTTCTCAACGAGACATCACCTCATTTCATTCAATCTTTGGATCCCTTCTCCTACGTGATAACGGCCTTATTAGTACCTTCTCTCGTCAATCATTTTTGACACTGCTCTTTCTTTTCTCTTGGGTGGCCTTTATTTCTTTCTTATTTGCCGTTGTCGTATTCTTCTTTACAGGAAATTTGATGAATGATGTGATCAAATTTGCGTTTGTGTAGCAGAATTTTTTGGTCTTTCTTTTTTTCTTTTTTTTTTCTTTTCATTGGGTGATGTTGAATTAAATGGATGCATACTATAGGTTCACCTCGGTTTCAGATTATATAGGAATTTCAGTGATATTTTTTTTATAGAATAAAGTAACTCCATACCTCGACAGCAGCTGTGTCAATCAGCTTAAAATGCTTAAAATTTCAGGTAGAGAAGAGTAGTTTGCTCTAAAGACGTAATTGTGTGCTTATATTCTGTTTCAAACAGGACATGCAACCAAGAGAGAAAACCTTGGAACATAGTCAACCTTCAGCTCGGTGCAGGCAACCAAAGGCAATCATGAGTATAAGAAAGCCCCAAAAGGGTCCAGAAACAAATGCAAAGCGCATACTTGAACGAAGACAAACAGAATGTCCTCGCAGAGATCATCTGCCTCGTAGTGTCCACTATTGCCTTGAGGAGGGTCCTCAAGATCTACTCGACAAAGAAGAGAATAGCCAAAACCCAAAGTGGATACGCGAGTGGGATGTAAAGAGTGAGAACCGTGATCGACTGGCTTGTTCAACGCCAGATCTTTATCTTTTGAAGGAGATGGACCGGCTCCGGAAACAAGAATAGCAAAACCTCGTGGTCTGTGTTGATGACAACGACGATACCGATAGTCTGAATACTCTCCAGTAGGAGGATGACCATACTGTCCAGGAGTAATGGCTGCAAGAATAAGCCTGGGCTCGGCTGGCTATCGCGTCTTGCGGACTTGATCTTAGTCCGCTAGGATGATAGGTTCGTCAGACCGATACGAGAACCCAATCACCATAGACATTGGCCTGTCAAACGAGAGGTGGATGCTGTAAAAGGGAATGTAAATGCTGCTTCAATCCTCATTGGGCCACAGCTGGCGAAATAATCCTGTGCTGGAATATATTCGACAGGTCGTATGACATTTTCGCCCATTGCACAGAAGAATGTGCGGGTTGTCGTCGCTATTGGGGCTTAGGCGTGCTGTCCGGGATGAGGTCGATGGGTCTTTAATGTGTATCAAATGACTTGTTCTTTTCTTTCTAATAGAAGCTGCATAATGGCAAGGCTGCAGGTAGAATATGAGCTGTTATAGAAACACCCAAGCTGAATCTCTCGGTGATTGATGTTGGGAAACCAACTAGTAGGAAATAGGCAGCAAAGGTAATACAATGCCATGCCAGTCTGGCGAGCGATATTCTGGCTACTGTCCTTGCAAGGAATACTGTAAGAGGATTGTTATAAGGGGATCGAACAGAACGTACTAGAAAATTGTATTTGCCTGTCAAATAGCAGCTAAAGCCCATCAGAATGTTGCTAGCTAGTCACAGCTAGTTAACTATCTCTAATGAGATTTATATTTTCTTCCTACTCCAATCCTCTGGGAACTAATTCACACTTTCTACAGTTTTGAATGTCACGAGGAAGCCAGTCATGTGATCATTTGCCCTAGCCCTAGGGAATAACCTCATCGGAGCTTATTCGGGATAAGCGCAGGGGGGTTGTCGGATTACAGGTGAACCAACAAGAACAGTCCTCATACATTTTACTAAGTACTAGACTACTGGTAACTGTAAGGAACTGGCAGCGGAATATACGGCATTATTTACACATAAAATGAGTATTACCAGAAGCCCCATGAAGGGGTCCCTTTTTGATGGCTTACTGGTTTATTTTCCGTCATTATGAACCTATTTAGAATCCTGGAGATTCTAGTACTAGTCGGAATCTTCAGGCTCTCAAACAGACTCCCAATTTGGACCTGCTCAAGAGAGCTGCGCAGAACCGCCGAGAGGTAGTGAAGGTTTTGGAAAGGATGGCACACGAAGAAGACTGTCTAGGACACCACAAGCGTCTAAGCTTCGAGACAGGATAATGAAACACAGATGTTTCTATCTCATGACGGAGAGGGCTGTATCATCCTTCGTGGCACCTCGATTGGAGCTATCAAAGAACCACCCCGAGCCCGAGCCCATCCAGCTTAATTCAACACAAGACCTGTTGCAGGATCCTACCAACGAATAACAAGTCTCACAGTGGGCTAAGCTCGCACAATTCTACGCTGGAGATAGCAACCGACAGCGAGAATCTCAATCTCTTCTTTGAGGTACAAAAAGCTCGACTTGACGAATAGTCGCTATCTGGCAGAGAGTTATAATCGGCGAGGCAAAATCCTCTGCTGCTTTTGCAGGTACGGTGGAACTCTTCCTTCTGAGTATACTGGTTAATGACAATAGAGATAAACAGTCACTGGCATGTTGTACAGATTAGTCGCATCTTATTTAGCCACTGCAGAGCTAATTTGCTCATTATGGTTTGAAAAGGCTCATGCAAAGGCAAGTTGCGATGAGGAATTCCCAGGACTGGCTTTAATGACCTTAAATAATATCCTCAGTAACAATAATACGGCGTGAATAATGATCTTAAGGAAAGCGAAGAGCCGCAAATCCAAATGTTTCCCATTTATCCTGATCCAATAGCTAGTATTAATAATGATCAGTTTGCTTAATGAGGTTCTCACAGTAAAGGTATCATTGAGATTATAGTTCATCAACGAATTCATTTCCTCAATGAAGAAAGCTCAGGATATATAAGACAATCAAGGAATAGCTTGATCTCTTATATAATGCAGTCCGCTTTATCTATGTTCATATTAGAACACCTCTGCCCACTTTAGAGAGAAGGATATGGAAGATGATAGCAAAAAAGGCTCTAAGGCACTGTACTTGGTAAATTAAATTATTTTGACACTGTACTACATCCCCGTTAATCAGTATGATAGAAAATAGCTTTGCATTTAGTGACTTCCAGAATGATGTGGATTGCATATTGAAAGTATTATTAATTTTGAAAGATCTGTTCTAAATTGTGTATTTATTAAAAAAGTATTAATCTAACGTTGCTAGAGTTTATAAGAGATTTTTTGTATGATATCTAATAGTGACCTTCATATCTTATGTAAACTGTGAATCCTACTACTCCTACAATTCATTACTTTGAATTATATTACGAAAAGAATAGTGACCTGCTTTTTGGGATCCCTAACTGAAAATCTTGGAGGAAATCTTGTGGATCAAGAGTATACAAATTCTTACATCTAGATGATAAACGCGCGTTGATGGTATGGCTCCGACTTTGTTTTTGGAGCTTTTTTATATTTGTTTTGTTAATGAACAATACTTACCCCTTTCATAGTAGTTTTTTAAACGAGTAATATCTAGAATTGAGGTCCTTTAGGCTTTGGAGGTAGGTAGGGGTACGCCAGTCTTTCTTTATGTAGTTATATAAAATAATACCAAAAAATTTTTGATAGCACAGTACAAATTTTTGAATTCAGGATTTATAATATAAAGAAATGCGGCCACTGCACTGGCATAGGAACCTCCATATGCAATATCGTAACTAAGTGTTCAATACCTAAAAGGATTTATTTTTATTGTATACAGTTTATACGTGTATACCTATCGGGTAATTTTACACTCTATCTGCGTACCTAGGTGGCTTACTTGCTCATGTAGTGATTTCTCTGGGATATAGAATAATATAATTGTATTGAAAGTTTCCTTAACTACCATCGCACCCCTTTGGCCAACCTCGTCATTTTCATCTTGGCCGCAACTTACTACTGCGAAAGATGATCAATTGTGATTTCTTGGAAGTATATAGTTCTATCTTCTATGACAGATGCCTCATCCTTGCCTCAAGGGTATGGATTCACTTTCAGAACGTGGCAGATCTCCCAGAAGACTGCTGTGGTATAGTGTCGCTTTCTTTGCTGAGTATGCCGAGGGCTTCTGCTTCCTCCTGTTTGCCTCGAGCTAGATATATTTGTTTCAGCCGGTCCTTTGTTTTCTGAATATGCGGACTGTTCGCCTCCAATGTATCCTTTTGCACCTTCAAGACTGCCAGAGCTAGGGATTCAGCTTTATCCAGTTGATTTTGAGCCTTGTAGACAGATGCCAGATCTAGCCTGGCCCATTGAGCATCCGGGTGCATGGCTCCTAGCTTTCTGGTTTGTGCCTCAATTAATCGCACATATAAAGAATGGAAATTAATAATCACTCTGCTAACTATATTTGATAGATTTCAGTTTTGGCCTACGCCGTCAAATCTTCTTCCCATTACTTGGAGACGGCATCTTTACGCAGGATGGTGCTGCGTGGAAGCATTCAAGAGAACTTCTCCGGCCACAATTTACACGGCAGCAATATCAAGGCCTTGATATTTTCCGGGAACACGTGAATGATTTGATTGCATTAATCCCAAAGGACGGTCAGCCTGTTGATCTCCAGCCTCTTTTTTTCCAGCTTACTCTCGACACCACGACGGAACTTATTTTTGGAGCCTCTATAAATACTCTCAAAAAGGAAGAAGGTATCTCTCGGACCAAGGATTTTGCAGAGAACTTTGACACTGCTCAGAATTTTGTTGTTCAGCGTTTTCGTCTTCTAGACTTGTACTGGCTTATTGGCGGACAAAAATTTCAACGCTCCTGTGCAACTGTCCATGATTTTGTGGATGATATTATAGAAAATAGTCAGCGAGAGGCCCAGAAAGATTCCAGAAAAGCTTCTCGGTACCTATTTTTCAATACCATTGCACAAAAGTACAATGACAAAAAGGCAGTCAGGGACCAGCTTGTTAACGTGTTACTTGCTGGTCGAGATACGACTGCGTGCTTATTGACATGGACCTTGTGAGCGAATTCTATCAGTTCCTTCCCCTAGACATCATTCTAATACTGTTTCTATAATAGCCATTTGCTTGCTCAACACCAAAGAGTCTTGAAATGTCTCTTAGACGAAATATCGCATACTGTAGGGCAAAGAGACGGTCTAACACGAGAGGATCTAAAAAAAATGCCATACTTGGCAAACATTCTTAAAGAAAGTGAGCTAATTCCTGGTCCTGACTTAATAAGATATCTAAGATTAAATAACTTCTAGCTCTTCGGCTATATCCATCTGTTCCTGTAAACACTAGAACAGCGCATCGCACGACCATCCTTCCAACAGGCGGAGGACCGGATGGTCTATCACCGGTGATTATTCGAAAAGGAGAAAATGTTGCTTTCTGTATTTATGCAATGCATCGCCGGGAGGATCTCTATGGCAAAGACGCAGAAGAGTTTCGTCCAGAACGCTGGGAAGAGAATCTACCACTTTTCAAAGACGAGACTACCGCGTCTTGGGGGTACCTCCCTTTCAATGGAGGCCCACGAGTTTGTCTAGGACGTATGTTTGTCTCATTCATGCACTCTGTAATTTCTATGGCTAACCTGATTTTTCCAACTACAGAAGATTTTGCCCTCATTGAAGCTTCCTACACCATCGTGCGAATCTTACAGGCATTCCCTAATCTACGAGCTGCACCTGATTCAGGCCACGAAACACGTAAGTGGATAGGATATTCTTCACATCACACGGAAGGGGTAGAAAAGATCACCTATGAAAGGCAAAAAATGACTCTAGTCTTGTCACTTGGTGGTGGATGTCGTATACAATTTGAGCCTTGAATGTAAACTCTATCTAGAGGGCTTGTTGCTGGTCAGCAGTCGTTGGAGCTCTTCTACATTGCGGTTTTTTGTTGTATGATTTGAAAGCTTTTAGGGAACCAATCGATATGATTGTATGTAACTTATTCTTAGAAACCTATCCAAGACCCTGAAACTACATGGACCAAACCATACCGGCACCTAGGGCATTCAACGTGTCCGAAAATAGATAGTACCTCAGGACAATGTATAGCATCCAATACTACCCTGCACATCAAATCGACGTGAAACAAATAACGGGGCTAGTTATGCGCATAGCCTTGTTCTGAGTCATGGCCCGTACAGGGATTTACTGCTCAATAACCCCCCCGGTTCAGTCGCTGGCATTTATTTACCTTGGTATTTTTCAAATTACTGCCTCTCATACTTATAGAAGATTTTTTTCTGTGCCAACAACAATAAGAAATGTCCAAGCAACAAACCGTTGGTATCACCGAGCTGTATAGATGCCAGGGCAAGACACCGGAAATAGAGTAAGTCTCAAATTATCTGCACTCCGTCAAGTAATCGCTCATCTTTGCCAGCATAGTCGCAGTCCATGGTTTGAATGGTGACGCCTTCGAGACATGGACGTCGTCGAGCAATGATTCCGAGAGAGTCTGCTGGCTAAACCATCCGGACCTCCTGCCACACTTCGTCGGGAACGCTCGTGTATTGACATGGGGTTACAATGCAAATATTACATCCCTATTTGGGAAGTCTACAAGTTCTGATCGAATTCTGCAACACGCTCAGACTCTGGTTGAAGATCTCCTGGCGGATAGGGAGGTAAGTCAACCTATTTCCTGCAAAACCTGCTGTAATTGGAACTGATCAAGGTCCCAGCTCGAAGATGCTACTGATCGACCTATTGTTTTTGTTTGCCACTCACTTGGTGGAATTATCGTGAAACGTGTATGTCCTACTCCTTTTCGTCATATATACCCTACAGCCTGCCTATAAATGATGAGCTTCTGACGCTTGATCCGGGTATCGATAGGCCTTAAGTTTCTCTGCGAGTCGCTCATCACCAAGATCTGCACGCCTACATTCCCTATATTTGTGTACGTATGGGATTCTCTTCTTCGGCACGCCTCACAACGGCTCTAGCAAAGCCCGCCTACTAGACGGTCTCCAAAAGCTTGCGTCCAACATCGTCCCCAAACGGGCCATACAATTTGAATCAGGACTCATCAAAGCACTAAAAGATGGTTCCGAGACGCTTCAGAACATTACAAACGATTTTGCCCCCCTGATGTCCCGTTTTCACATGTACTTTTTCTGGGAGCAGCTGAAAACCGACCTGAAATATACCAAAGACTACATCGTGGAGGAATCAAGTGCTGCGCCCATGCTGGACTCGATATCGGGGAGATGTGGGATTTCAGCGGATCACAGAGGTATGTGTAAGTTCCAGAGTCCGGATTCTCCTGGCTTTCGTACCGCCATTGCTGCCATCAAGCGGTATGCTCAGAATGCCCCGAGCATAATCGGCCCAAGGCTGGCTCAGTACCAAGTCCAGTCGACCCAGTTGCGGAAAGATGAAGCAATGGAGCTGTTAAACAGCATATGAACGCCAATCCGATTAGAACTTTGCACTGAAGCTTGAAAGTGTCTATTTCCTGGTTTAGCTGTGCTGGATTAAGTAGCGTGTGTAATAATACTAAGTCAAAGAACAATAAGCAATGAACTCCACAAAATACTTTCATTGAAAGTCTTGAGTATATCAGTCACGGCACAAAGAAGTCGCGAGGAAGGTATAAAGGCTACTGCATACTTTTAAGCGTTGTGTCTAGCACTTGGGTAGGCATGGGCATACTTCTTCTAGTAATTTATCTATAGGTCGTGTAAAATGTCATGTATATACTCTACAGAGAAAGACGTGCCTGACTCTCAGTTCTATGTTGCTGTTTCCAGTCTAGTAGCAGTGACGGTCAGCAATACCAGCATCGAGTCCAAAAAAAAAAAAAAAGAAAAAGAAGAAGAAAAGAAAAAAATACAACTCACCCTTAAGCCACGCTTTCACGAATTCATGCTCATAGCTCTGAGTCTCCGCCACTGGGTTCGGTGGGAGAGAGGAAGTCGTCTCATTAGGAAATAGGCCATTTTCATCCCCTACGCAACAGAGTCCGGTTAGAAACCAAATATCAAATATATCTGATCATTATAGGTTGTTATGATCAGTTAAGTGGCCAACTTACAATGATGAACGCCCCCCTCTATCTCCACAAACGGCCTGTCAACTGTATTCTGTCTCACTGGAGCAATATCTGCCAAGGGCGTCGCTTCTCGCCAGGGATCGGCCTGGCCACCTACAAAAGCGAGACGCGGGTAATCAATCTCAAATCCGCCGTACTTGTTGTTAATCCATTCGTCCGTCTCCGGTAGCGATGTGATGTTGAACGCGTATTTGCATGGTAAGCTCAGATAACCAATGTCGATCGTCCTTGATATCATTGCCGGCTTATCTGAAGGTGTTCCACTACCTGTGGCGAAGTAGCCCCATCTGTGCGAAAAGCTGGAAGTCAGCGATTATAGTTTCAGTTTATAGACATGTACGTACTCAGTGCAGACTTGGTACTCCCATAATCTCCAATCCTGAGTTAAATCATCCTGCTCATAGGATGTTGCGTCGTGGGTCGAGAAGCATGAATCCGCGCTCTGTCCCTTGCCAATACAGGCCCATAATACTGTCTCGTTGAGCCAACCAACATAGTTTAGAAGCTGATTGCTTAGTTCAATCGATTCATTGCCGTATCCTGCTGCAGTGATTAATTCAGATGCTTTGTCTAATTTATCGCTAGTAATGCCATCGTATAAAAGGGACGTTGAAACCGTGATATTGCCACAATACTCAAAAAATGTAGGGTCGTCGACGGCGGGGTCCCAGTTTCTATTCTGCCATGTCGATAAAGGGTAGCTCAAGACATTCGCGAAATCATCAGCGTAGCTGATATTCTGAAGGCCAAATAGACTCTCCAACTCCTCAATGGCGCTTGCATTAGGCATGAGATTGTCAAGGATACCGGTGAATTTTTCAATAGTATGGACGCAGTCTTGTGGGGCATGCTGTCTTATCAGCTCCCAGTATTGCCAGTAGTCAACGATGGCCTCTGTAACCGCCGAAGACGCAATGGCGCCAAAGAAAATGTCGGGATAGACAACGCGGAGAAAGGCGACCATTGCACCGGCATAGGAACCTCCGTATGCGATATACGGAACATCATCTGATGTGATACTCTGGTTCTCAAGTCCTGGGAATACGATATTCTGGGCAAAGAAAGCCACGTCGGCAAGCGCTTGTTCCGTTGACAGGAAGCGCAGGCTCTCCGTTGAAAAATCTGCAGTCGGGATACTTGTTCCATAGTAACGATGCTCAAGGACCACGGCAATCCCATTTGTTATTTGTGCCAGCTGGGCAATGAGTCCTTTCTGAAGAAAGGGCAGTCGATCTATGATCTTGTTAGAATCAATGAAAGAAACATGTACATAGTACGTATATGCGTATGGAGCAAGACTAACCTTCGCCGGATGTCTCGCCGCCTTCTAGGACAAATACTGGACCCCCAGCTTCATAATGACTGGCATCAAACCAGTATCGAAGGGGAAACGTGCCATTGCTATGTGGTTCGTATCTTGATTGATTGTGAAAGTGATCAATTGGAACGGACAGGTTATAGGCATGATATAGTGCTGATGCGCTTGGATCCGCGTTCCACTCGGAGCTCGTACTTAAGTGAGCCTACATATAAAGCTTACGTGAGCTGACAGGCGCAATACAAGTGTGACAGTTCAGCGCACCCGCTGCACGAAGCTGAAGCGGCTCATTCGAGAGTTACCTTTTGCCCAATACCTGCATTCAAAGCTGTAAGGCTTGCACCAGCTACTTGGACAAGACCAAGAAGGGAAAGCATTTTGTTTTCGCGAGCAAACAGCAGGGTTATTGTGACCTGTACTTTCGTCATTAGCGCGTGCATACGTTGTTACATAGCATAAACTCGAGCTTACCGAAGCATATGCCTGATTGAACGTCACCCCAATCAGCCAGATACTACGTAGCAGTTTCTTCTGAAGTTGAAGGCGCGCAGGAATGCCGTTGGATTCCTCTGGCGATCATGTTGACGCCAAGCATGCACTTAGTCCTTAGTCACATGTGGCAGCGGCAATAGCGTGCGGGCACTGCGGGGTGTTTGTTTTGGTAGGATTGTCGGCATGATGAATTGTGTCAACAGCGTCAGGTAGGTGTTTGCGTTGACATGGAGCCATTTGTGACAGCGGACGATGTACTGCGAGGTTGTCAGTCCACCTTTGGGCAGGAGTCGCACAGAACAGGAAAGGCGCCAGGAGAGAAGAGAGCGCAGAGCACAACGGGCCAATCAGCAGCAGCAGCGGTGGGTCCCTTCGATGGCAGCGCATCAGGCCCAAATCCAGCCAATCACAGCGTGCCGTCAGGTCAACCACCAAGTCTTCGCGTTCTTTCTTCTGTCCTCCTCCTTTCTTCTCTCCTCTTCTCGTTTCTTTCCTTTGTCCTGAGCGGTCAACACACACAGAATACATCTCCATGGTTGTTGCACCTGATTCAGGGTGTGTCTTTTTGATGACACTTCCCCTGGCTGGCATTTGAACGCCGGCACCCTCGAGGTCCACCTGTCTAGTATACAGTACCACAGAACAGAGCGTTGCCATGCTGCACCTGCTCTAACATTACTGGTATCTTGGGTCTGAGCACATTTGATCTATCGGATTGTTCGAGCCTTTTTTTTTTTTTTTTTTTGATTTTTCTTTCTTTCTTTCTTTCTCCGATTCACTATTGTTGCTGTCCTTGCTTTGCCCCTGCCTCAAGCCGCGTACCCTCCGTGCCCAAGGCATCAATCAATCTTAGATATCTATCATCAACATTCTTATTTCCTGATTCTCAGCCAAAGGCAGCCATGGCTCCCGATTTAAACTCGGTTCCTGCCTCTCCGCATCTCCGTCATACTTCCCAACCGACTGATCCTGACTTCAATTCCCCCGCTTCACACCGGGCATCTCAAATCATGGGCCCCCCTCCGATGCCAGTGAATGCTTCATCAACCATCAGCATGGGGGATCATACAAACACGGTTCTAGGACCTGGTGAGTACATTTCGACATCATATCTCGATGGATGGCACTATTGATACCCATGATCTTGACGGATATAGGTCCTTTGCGTCACCCTCGTCCTATGACCGCCTCTGACTTACACTTGGTTTTAGAAAAGGAACAAGAGGCAGTGGTACGTTTCCATCTCTTATGAAAATGGAAGACACGTGCAGGTTTACTGATCTTTTATCTTCTCTCCAGGTCAACCGTCTAACAAGAGAATTGACGCTTCTCAGGCAACAAACGGCGTCTGTCGCATCGACTGCCTCGTCTACGTCAACAGGCTTGACTGATTCTTTAGAAGGATCAACCCACCCCACGTCATCGCGTCAACATCGCTCGTCCTCAAGTCTGAGTTCCCACATTCCTCCCGGATCTGCAGCATTAGCAGCGAGTGTCTCTAGTATTGCACCTTCCCGCGATACGGCCTTGCCTACGTCACGTCCTTCGGGAGAGTATACACGTGCGGGACGTAGTCGTGAGCCTTCGGTGACCTCCCCGCGTCAACCGGTGTCGCCATACGGTGAGCTTGGCTTCCAGTCTGCACAGTACCAGGGGCAACAAAGCCACCGCAGCTCTGTATCGCATGCCCAAAATATCGCCTATCCACCTGAATCCCGGCGGTCAACGTCGATCCCCTCGACAATCGGGAATCGATATGAAGAGACGGCTCATCATCGAGCAGAGCTTGAAGTTATCAAGAAAGAAAATGAAATCCTAAGACGGCGAGTACGCGAGTTAGAGCAGAACCTCAAGGCTTATCGTGAAACGCATACACATTCTCAGGATGATCCTTCAAACGGCCTGGTGACTGGTATGCGAGACACTACACTAAGCGAGCCATGAGGACAGGGCAAGGGTAGTGAATATATGTCTGAAGTTGTCGATCCTGTGTGATTGAAGGGCAGGTTACTGGTACTGGAATGGGCAATTTGTCAACAGAGCGATTATTTTGGCGTTTTCGAGATGGATACCACGATCTTTCTTCAATTACTATTCTTTTCTCCTTTTTGCGTCTCTTATCGGACAAGAGCTTCCAGAAGACTAGAAAATGCAGCTGCCTATTTGAATTGGTGATAATAGAGATGAACGTAGAACGCAGTCTTTCACGTGAAAATGTGGCTGCATGACAACATACACAGTGGCTATGCGGCCCCTCCCTACGTCATGCAATGTGGCGCATGCATCAACTCCCCACTTGACGAGGACAAAAAGGAGTCGATGACATCTTTCTTATATATCTACATTCCCTTGCAGAAACCATCAAAAAGTCCTACAGACATCACCCCGTTATTTCATTGCAATCTTACTTGAAGCAAGCTACCTAAGTATCATGTCTGGAAGCAACGTTGTTTACGTCAAGGGCATTGCCCCCTCTACTACCGAGAAGGAAGTTCGCGATTTCTTCAGCTTCTGGTATGTCGATCCGTTTATGATTCGCATTCTTTCTGTTTCAGAGAAGGAAAGGAAACAAAACTAATTCAAACTCACTTTTCTTCGCACAGCGGGAAAATTTCCAACTTGAGCCTTACACCTGAATCTGGCGAAGCTAATGCTCCCCGTTCAGCGACAGTCACCTTCGAGAAAGAGACGTAAGTGGAATTCTTTCCTGGCAGAAACATGCGAAACGATGCTAACTTTTCTTCGATCAACAGAGCTGCCAAAACCGCCCTGCTCCTCGACAACACACAACTTGGACCTTCCGCTGTACACGTAGAAGCCGCCCACACCATTGACGAAATCGCCGGCACCAAAGCAGCCAGCGCCCAAGAAGCCCGGGACGAAACGCAGCACGACATCGAACAAGAAGACAAGCCGCGCTCACGCATCGTCGCCGAATACCTTGCTCACGGCTACACCATCAGCGACCAGGCCATCCAACGCGCCATCGCTCTGGACCAGAAGCACGGCATCTCCAACAGATTCACCTCGGCGCTGACCAACTTTGACAGCAAGTACAAGGCCACGGACCGCGCCAAGGGGCTTGACGAGAAATACAAAATCTCAGACCAGGCTAGTCACCACTGGCGTGGTATTACGTCCTACTTTGAGAAGGCGCTCGATACACCCACGGGCCAGAAGGTTCGCGATTTCTATCTTCAGACTGATAAGCAAGTCCGTGACATTCATACGGAGGCGAGACGTCTCGCTGATCTGAAGAGTGGGAAAACCGGTGCTGGCGCTGAAGCTGGTGCCGGTGCCGGTGCTGCTCCTGCGAGTGTGGCTGCAACGACGGATGTTGCGCCTAGTGCTACCAATACTAGCATTCCTACGACTGAGGGGAAGCCAATTTAAAGGTACGGTATTTCATGAGGAGGATATGTCTTGCAGCAAATAGTTAGCTCTATACCTAGTACAATGTCATCTGGATTTGCATAATTACTACATACTTTCAAGTAGAATCATAGTCTCCACGTAGCTTAGTTACCTAGTCAGCGTTATGATTAAGCATGATTAATAAAAAGGCTTCATATGAATCCTTTCCTTGTCAGTTATTGATTGTGCATTACAAAAGATACCGAAATAGGAAACTCCAAGTCAAGTACTTAGTAAGCTTCCTTTCTTGTCAATGAACGTCATCATGATGAACATGAGGTTCATGGTTCATATAAATAGATTGACTCTTACCACATTCAACTCTTCACTACCATTCTCACTCTCATTATAATCATCACCCATCACAAGTCAAAGCTTTGCTATTTATTTATCCTCCATACAAACACACGTACGCAGACCACCCACCAACTCCTCTCCCTACAACATCTAACACCTCTCCAGAATCCATATACACACATAATGTCCGCCCCAAACCCAGGCCGTCAATCGCCCGACCCCGAGCGCCAACCCGGCGCCCAACAACAGGACACCCCGGGTCTAGGCAAAGCCTCTCCCAACGCCGCGCCGTCAGACGAATACTCCAAGGCCAAGTCAGACGAGACCAAGAGCGGGCTACCGAGTAATCCGACGCATGTGTTGGAGGATGCTGTGAAGGAGAAGTTCAAATAATGTGCTATCTTAAAGAGTCAAATTCCAAGCTTTCTGATGATGTTTTGAATGAATACCGAATGAGTGTTGGTTATTGGACTGGGATTGTTCTCCTCTAGAGCTCGATACTTTTTGTGCATATAAAGATGATAAAAAGGTCAGAATGTATCATAATTGCTACCCCTTGGAACTAGACATGGAAAAAAGTCAAAAAACACCAATAAATTATCGAAAGATAAAAATTGTCAAATCCATGTCAGGGAATCTGTGCATGATATCTGATTCTACCTACCTACCTATATCCTATCCTATCCTGTCCTATCCCTCCTATCATTCATATCATATCCTACCACGGAAAAGAGGTACGTGAAGAGTATCACATTTGGAAAAAAGGGGGGACAAAACTTGGGGTTATATAAAAAGCGGAATGGAAAGAGAAAAAATAGTGAAGATGAAAGGTTTGTATCCTAAGTTTCATTTGTGTGTAAAAAAATGGGGATAGGTCATTGGGGGGAGGGGGGGGAGTAGGTGCATGTCCAACAAATGAAATATATCAAACGCCGCATAAGAAAGAAGAAATAGATAAAAGAAAAGGGGGGGAAATGAATTATTATTTGAAAGAAAAAGCGTGATCTCATTCATGTGCTTTTTGATGGGGCAAAATCTTGTGTTATATTTTTTTTTTTTTTTTTTTTTTTTTTTTTTTTTTTTTTGGTTCAGTTACCACCATTCGCTATACTTGCGGCAATGGCGGCATCGACTTTGTCGGCCTCTTGAAAGACGGATTGTAGAATTTGCTGTTCTTCAGCTGAGAGTACCTTGGTCAAGCTCTCATATAACTGAGGCTGTTCTTGTTGTAGGCCTAAATAGACATTAATGTTTTGTTAAAGAAAAGCGGACGTAGTGCGTAAACGTACCAAGGAACACACTCTTGAAGAGTCCGTACGGCTCTATCTTGTCAAGAGGCGTCTCAAGAAGACTCTCTTCATCCAAGTCGTCGTCGTCATCGTCGGCAAAAGAACCGAATTTCTGCGCCTGATACATGTTAATACGGACCAACAAGTTATAACCGGGGGCGGAAAATAAGAGGATGCCTACCTCTGCACTGAGGAAGTCCAAATAAGCAGCGCTTTCATCAGCCACGTCATCGTCTCCTCCACCTTCAGCCTCATCTTGATCATTCCACTCAACCTCGCCGTCCCATTCGGTGTCGCCGTCGATGACATCGTCATCCTCGTCGTCATATGTATAATCGGATTCCCGCGTCGCGGCCTCGCGATGTTGAAGAGCTGCAGGCAAAGTATGGAACAGTCTCGTCACTCCCTGCAACAATCTAGGCCAGCCCCCTTGCACACTGGCCGGAACATCTTCCGCTTTCAAAGTCAACAGAGAGCTAATAGCTACAATAGATAACTTCTTGTCATGCACACGTCGGAAGCTTTCGATATTCGAGAACCAAGCACTGAAAAATTTGTTCGTCCAGCCCTTGACCTCGAGAACCTGCAGAGTCAGGGACGGGTTGTAGTAGACGGCATTGATAACCATTTCCATCAGGTGAACTCGATATGACTTGGTTTTGGCATCTCCGCTGTTGAGTACGTTCATGGCCAGCTCGACAAAGATCGGGATATATTGATCAATATATCCGCGCAGGTTCAGCATCAATGCTTCTGCGAGTTTGCAGCCACATATCCTGTCCACGCCGCCAACTTTTTCATCGTGGAAGATGTCCTCCACCATACTAACAAGCGCGCCGAGATAGGCTGGGTTCTGAACCAGCATTTCGGAACCATATGAAACGAAGTTATCCAAGGCAGGGAGCATGTCTAAGTGTCGAAGAGATTAGCAAATTGCCGCGGCCATCAAAATATCAACAGGTAAATACCTTCTAAGTACAGCTCTGCTCCAGCTTTGAATGTTTTGTGGATCAGCTCAAACGCCTGCCACATAGTCGGTGAGATCGACTTGGCGGAGAATGTGCAGCTGTCGATGATTTCGAATATTTCATTATACAAATCTAGTCAATGTCAGCAATACCGGTCTCCAATGCCTAGTAGCGAAGCGTAAATACCGTAGAGTTTGTTTTCCAGAGTGATGGTGATGACAGGCATCAGAACAGTCTCCAGATGCAGTAAAACATCAGGTGTGCTCTCCAGAGTAAGAATGAGGGTTCCAATAGTCTGTAAAACACCCAAAGCTGTGATGCTCTTATCATCAAGGAAATCTCCGTATGCCTCTTCGTCGCCTTTGACAGCCTGGCGTTCCAGGAGCTCGCCGACAATTCGCATGTAAGTATCGCGGAGCTGCTCACTGAGAGCGACTGCAAAGGGGGTCAACTCAGCAGAGAACACCTCGACGAAATCTTCCATGACATTGGATAGCGCGTCGACATCAACTTCATTGGCTAGCTTGAGCAGTTGCTGCATGATCTGAGGGATATTTTGTTGCATAGACACACGGATGGCATCGTGTCGAATCAGGGGTTGCAACGCAAGCGCGGCTTCAACACGGACAGGCAGCTCAGAGTCTGCCATGGACTCCAGAATGTTGCGGTAGATGATCATGAGGTTTGAAGGGTCCTTGAAATCCAGCTGCTCAAATTTCTCTAGTGTGTCACAAGCACGAGCCCTGAGGAAACCGTGAGGGCTTCGGAATTCGGGGAAAACGTGGCGGACAAAGAAGTATTCCACCTGGTCAGCAATGGGGCTCTTCTTGCCCAGAATGACCGAAGACAAGGAACCGATCATCCTCAAAGCTCCTTCTTTCTCTCTAGGAAGCTTCTCCTCGTCCGACGCGGACTCGTATTTGCTGACGATGCCATTGACGAATTGCAGGATCGAGAATGTTTGCTTCTTGCGGCTCTTGGTAAGAGAAATCAAAAAGTTGGTAGCTGCGACATCAGGAGCTGAGATTTCCTCGTAGTAATTCAATTTTCTGTGGAGATATTCAGGGGGATCGGTCTCGAAGAGCTCAAGATCTTCATCGGACTGGCAAAGTAAGGGGAAGACGAGGTGCGCAACGAGGTTGTCCATATGAGGCTTCAGATGATCCCACGTCGATTTCGGTTTCACGCATTCTTCGAGGAAGATTAGAGTGTAAGAGAGGACCGGTTTGCTGAGCCACTGTCCCTTGACCCATTTCTCTATCTCTTGCAAGTAGCCTTTCAATATCTCTGGTGCGAATGTGGTAATGAATGACTTTGCGTACGAAGTTATGTCTGCTGCAGTGTTTTTCGTAATGGTGGTTGGGTTGCCATATCTAAAACATTTCATTAGCTTTCCCCGGCCTCATTGTCCTTGCGCAGGCAAGCAGAACGAACCTGACAAATAAGCGATTCAGGTTTCCATAAGCCCATTTCTTACACTTCCACCAATGGTTGCTTTCTCGGTCATCTGGGTCCTCTGGCATTGAAACGGCTGGGGGTGTCTTGGCTACTATTCTCAAGAACAAAGTGCACCAATCCACGGTAGCCTGGTGAGTCCTCAGGTGTGGCGGGAGGTCGAACTGCAAATGGGCGTCCATGTCAATAACAACGACGACGACGACAACAACAACAACAACAACAGTATTTCGAGTAGAAAACCCACATAAATAGCATGCTTATAGGCCTTGACAACAGTATGCAGCATCTCCGCAGCCTCAATACTCTCCTCATCGACCAATCTATTCCCAATATTCAAAAGTTGCGGGAAACAGTGTTCGACAATCTTATCAAAATCGCCGCGCTTCTCGTTCGCCTTGAACCTGTACACTTTACAAATGGCCAGCAGACACTGGAGGCCCGAGAAAACGGAGTTCGCCTCGTTGGTGCCCAGCAGCTGCAGCGTGATGTCCATAAACCCAGGCCATTTTTCGGGGAAGTCGTAGGACAGGATCTTCGTGATGATGGGGATGAACTGCGCGCGAACGTTGGCCGGCGACGCGGCGAGTATGGGAATCAATCGGTCTTTAAGAGCAGGACGCTCGTCGTCGGATATTCTCTTGTATTGGGCGGTGTTGTTGTCCTCGGAAGGAGCCCAGCCGCGGTTGATGCGGTTTTTCAGGTACACGACGGCTGCAAGCGAGCGATCAATATCAGCCAAAAACAAAATAATTCTTCTTCTTCTTCTTGTTGTTGCCGCGACAGCAGAAGAGCTACAAAATCAATCGAGGACGGATTTCTCAGCGATAACGGCGGGGCTTTCTTTTTTCATACCAGACAGTTGAACGGCATTGTTCTGCTCGGCCTGTAGAATATCGAGCAAGGCGTTTATAAACCCGGGCTGAGTCTCGGCCTGGAGAGAAGATGAACCGATTAGTAAACCAGCGCTTCAAAGGAACGAACAGAAGGAGTTCAAAGAGCGTACATATTTGAGGTCCAGCTCGGCCTGGCGTCGAGTGTCCGCATTGGCATCGAGAGTGGACTGAATACGATCTCGCAGAGCATTCACGTCCATTTCGCTCGCCCTCACTGGTGATGCACCACACACGAGTCACGGAGTTATATGTGAGGAGGGGGGAGGACTGGGAGTTAGTACGGGGGGGGTACTCCGCGGGCCTTGAGGTATATCAAAGAGACAAGAAAAAGAAAAGGAAAAAAGGAAGGGAAAAAAAGAAGTACAAGCACAGGACCAGAACCAGGAACAGGACAAGAGGGGAAGGAGAGGAGCCTCTTTTGTTGATAGACGATAGTTAGTGCTCGCTGTTTAAAAAAAAAAAAAAGAATTGGGCTAGTGAGGGTGCCGAAGTGGGTGAGTCGTGGGCGCACCGCCGGGGGTTTTTTTCAATGCTCGACCCACCCTGGCTCGATACAGTGCAGTGCAGTGCAAAATGCTTGAAAACTCTGTCTGGACCGTGCGAATATATTTTATATTTTATATCTATATTTGATAGTTATTTTTATCGATATTCTATATTTCTATCTACTATCCCACCCTCGGGTCAAGTGCAACCAGGCAATATTTTGCCGGGGACTTGCTCCGACATGCCAATACGTAGTATAGAACTGACGGAGCATCCCTCAATCCTCGCCATGTGGCTGCTGGATTGCCAACACGCTAATCGAGTATTAGTCTTGCACTGGCTAGTCCAGGTAAACAACGCCACCGGCTAAGCTGCTGACACTCGTACAACAAGCCAAGCTACATATACAGAGACGCCGCAAAGATCACGTCGCGCTTGATCATCTCTTGAGCCTGCTGCATCTTGAGGTACAGTGTAGGGTCGCCCACCAACTTCGCCGCATTCTTGACCTCTCTGCACGTTTCGTCCAGCCGAGTAATGGTGCGAACAATGGTGCCCTCCATGACGTCTGTCAGATCTGTGATGCGGTTGAAGGACATGCCTTTCGCCCACTCGTACACTACTTCCATCAACCCGAAGCGAGGCTTGCTGGTGAAGTCGTTGGAGTCCTCGCTAGAGAGGATGACTTGATGGAGGATTTGGAAGTCGTTCACTTTATCGGCAATCCGGATAATTGCCTCCTTTCCTTTCTCCAGCCGAGCTGTCAGCGTCGGCTCGTTTTCCGTTTTCTCTTGAAAGACAAACGCCGATAGAAGAGCCACGATTTCTTCTGGTTCGTACTCAGCCAACACGTTTTCAAGAATCAGTTCGGTGAGAACTAGTTCATCCGCCGAATGTATCTGGAGGCATGCTATATTAATATTGAAAGTCCAAGAAGAAAGCCCAAGAACTTCGGTCGAACTCACCTCGCAAGCGACTTTGCCCTTCAATAAAACCCGCGATTCGGCATCTACAAAACCAAGCTCTTTGAGAACTTCAACCCTCTGCTCGTAGTCCGGGAGCAACTGAAGGTTCTGATCCGACATGAGCTGACGCAGTTGCGAGATGTTTTCCTTGACCTGCCACTCGTCATGTTGCATCTCAAACTATAACGTAACACGTAGTTAGTCTCTAGGGCTGCCAACATTATAAAAGGACAGAGGAAACAAACGTGTTTGAGAAAGTCCGGACATGAAAGACAGTGGCAGCTCTGCGCTATAGCTGCCTGGGATTGTCTCTTGTTCAAGATTTCGCGCACTTGTAATTCCTTGACACGATCCCAGTCGAGTTCGTCCCAACTAGAAGTCTCCCATGACACACAGTAGTTTAACAATTGCTTATCAGCAAATATCTTTGCCTCTGCGAGAAATTAAGAACAATATCAATGACTGTTTTTAAGCCCGCAGAATATTATAACCAAGTGACTTACCTTTCTTGATGTTCAGATACCATATCGGCGCCGTAAACTTGACGATGGTGTTCGTCACGCACTCTACATCTCCTAGAGCAACTTGAGTGATGGTCAGGGACATCTCGGCGGTATTTGTGGGCAGGTTTCTGAAGAAATGTCGGAAAGTTGGTAGAAAGGGTAGGATATCGCTTGGATGCCGCTTGTCGCTCACGGCACCTATCTCTAATACGTGGATATTCGGCTCTGCACCGGCAGCGACGCCTTCGCGAAGAAGGATTCCCGCCGTGCGAATCCCATCCTAGAATATAGCAAATTAGATTAAAGCATATAGTCCATGATATCACCATGTCATTACCTTTCTATAAACGACAAGCCTCTTGATCATAAACAGCCTCTTCCCAACAGGCGACGAAATAAGCCCCAGATGAAGATCTCGAGTAAGCTTCTCGTATTCGACAGACGCTTGATGGCAAACCGCAAGATCATCGTCGCAGTAACTGCATGGCTCACGTTTTATCTTCGAAAGACTGGCTTCGGATAACTGTACCTGCTTCTCGTGCTCTGGCAAGAGAGCCTGGGTCGCATTTTCACTGAAGCTCCGCTTGATCATCTCTTCTATTTTGAGAGCTTCGACACGCAGAAGGTTGAGAATCATGTTATAAGTTAGACGGAATTGGGACCTTAGTTTGGTGGGATCACCGAGCATCATGCGGCGCAAAGCAGCAGCAGGTGGTGCCTCGTCTCTGCCGCTGGTAACGATAATCACGTATCCAACAGTGTCCAGTCCTCTCCGGCCGGCTCTTCCTGCCATTTGAGTATATTCTCCAGGTAGGAGATCTCTAAAATTCTTGCCGTCGTGTTTGCGGAACCCAGAAAATACCACTGTTCGAGTGGGTAAATTCAATCCCATAGCGAATGTTTCTGTTGCAAAGAGAACCTTGACTAAAGTCCTAGCAAAAAGTATCTCAACTATTTCTTTCATGATTGGCAAGAGGCCACCGTGATGTACAGCGACTCCTCGGCTTAGTAGTTCTCGCAGTCGGAGAATCTGAGGAAGAACCCTATCTTCAGGTTTCAGGCGGACTAATGATTTTTCAATGATCATATGAATAGCACTTTTTTCAGCTGCTGTGCAAAAATCCTGGTTTGAGAGGGAATTGGCATTCTCTTCACATCTCTTTTTGGAGAATACGAAAACGCAAGCAGGGAGTAGGTTTTCTTTGCGTAAATGCTGCACAAGATGAACCCACACATTTCGATCTTGTGCTGCTGTAGTCCTTCCTCCTCCCCGTCCTGTGCGAGCAATATTACCTGTTCCTCTGTTGGCAGGCTGTCCTCTCCCTCGCCCTTGTCCTTGTCCTCCGCCTCTTGGCCCACCTCCCCTAGCATTGATTTGCTGTTGGCCACCACGGCCTCGACCCTGTGGTGCGCCTCGTTTACTGGCCAGGGATTGAGCCTGTGCCTCCGCAGCTTTCTGTGCTTTGAGCTTATCTCTCCCAGAAAGAATATCATCTGCCTCCTTCCAGCCCTTTTCGATGAATTTTTTGTTCGAGTCGACAATCTTATGCATGCTCTTACCAGACCAAAGGTAATGCTCTAGTGGAACCGGACGCTTTGGGGTGGAAATGACATATATATCCTTCTTTTTCGTGCGTCCAACCCACGAGGCGAATTCATAAGTGTTCGGGACTGTGGCGGACAAGAGAATTAAAGTAACATGTTCCGGGAGCATGATGATCACTTCTTCCCATACGACACCTCTCTCCATGTCATTGACATAGTGTACCTCATCAAATATCACAAATTCGACATCCCGAATGAGGTCCGCCCCTCGATAGAGCATGCTTCGCAAAATCTCAGTAGTCATAATCAGACAGCTTGACTCAGGTGATATCTGGACATCACCTGTTAGAATGCCGACATCATCAAATGTTTCTCGAAAGTCTCTGAACTTTTGATTGCTCAGAGCCTTAATCGGTGACGTGTAAATGGCTTTTGTCATATGTTTTGCAGCAAGTGCAATAGCATACTCCGCCACAACCGTCTTTCCTGCAGAAGTGTGAGCTGCAACGAAAACCGAATCTCCATTTTCTAGATGATAGACGGCTTCCTTCTGGAAGGTATCCAGCTCGAATGGCCATTCCCTCGCCATATCGGGAACCAGATCATGGAAATTTGATATTTCTTTGTTAATATCCACAACATGTGCCCATTCACGGCCACCTTTCTTCGCTGTCGCTGCCAGCAGCTGACTCCGAGGCTCAAAGGCCGGGAATTCTACTGGTAGCAAGGAATCAATATCCTCCTCCTCCTCCTCCTCTTCATCCTCACTCGGAACTTTGTCTTCATCCTCTCTATATTCCTCGGCGTTTCGATCCACTTCAGGGCGGTCAACTTTGACACCCTCGTCTTCGCGCTCCAAAGTCCTCTCCACTTCTTGGTCATCTTCTTCCGCATCTTTTGATTCGGGTTTCTTCATTTGCAGTCCTCGAGAGAATCCCGGCGGTACTTCCAGCAATCCGCCTTCACTACCAAAATTGATGATACGATCAAGACCCTGGTTTTTGGTGCCGCGTCGCTGCTGTTCGTTGGCCTGCATCTCCGATTCCATTTCAGCAATCGCCTCAACTCCATCTAGACCGCCCGGTGCAAATGGAAAAAACCCGGCTGCACCCCGTACAAAGTCAGCTCGGGCTGCTGGACGGCGGAGCAAAGATGTCGAGTTTTTCGCCGTGGCGCTACTGGCTGGTACTGTAACTTCATGGTAGGCCGTTACTCGCCCTTCGAGACCTTCGCGATTAAAGCGAATGATGGTGCGAGTCTGGGTGGGTGCTATTTCAAAAATATCCTGATAATCGATAGACACGTCCCATCTCCTGTAACAAATTTAGCATAGCTTAAGTTGCTAAGATCTACTTCCCCTCTTACCTTTGCAACCTATTTAACCAATCCGGGCTGAATTGTGGCGAAGGAGTGAGAAATTCGTTCTCCAACTCCGCTTTCAGGTCTTCCTCATTGTGGCGAACTTTTTTTCGAGACGGCAGAGTGTCCATCACGCCTTCTTCTTGGTCAATCAGCCGTGCATCATAGACTGCTGCGTCGAGCTTGTCAGCGTTGAGCTGGAGCTGAGCCAGCCTTGAGGACAGAATATCCACCACCATTGCGAAACAGTCCGAGTCGTCATGTACTGACTACCCGACATGTAACAGATTAGGTGCTCAAATAAATAGCGCAGTAAATGAATAGTACGCTCTGTTTTGGAAAGAGATGAACAACTGAGAAAATGTCGCGGTGGTGGTCAGTTCCAACTTCTCATTTAGGCGGCGCTGATGAGGAAGGCAGCTTGGCGGGACAGCTTTTTTATTATTTGAATTGTCAAAAGAAGTGTGTGCCGTTGTATGTAGCCTTCAAAAGAAAAAGCTACTGTCACCGAGTGTTTAAATGCCGGCTGCCTCTCAAGGTTGTGCGAGACAATGAAAGATATGGTTTGAAGCTGTGACATAAACTCTTCTGGTCTGATATTTGTGGAGCAACACCAGCCCCACGCAGTTGCCGCCAACAGACACTTACCATACGATCGCTACATGGTTTATACTTTTCATTGGAATAGTTTCTGCAGATACTATTGAGCAGTTGAATTTTCTTTCCTCAGTAAGCAGCTCCATAACATGCATACAGACAAAATACAAACATGCATGCCAAACAGTGTCGCTCTCCCAGGAGAACACGAGACAAGACAGCTTCAGAATAGATGATGAGATGATATATATGTGTAACAGCATGTCATGAGTACAAGGTAAAGATCCATACTATCCATTACAAAAAATTTATCGACACACAAACACTGGAAAACTTTTGCGGTCCTGCACATTGATTTGGAATTCAAATATTCCTTCGACTGTGCCGATATATCTGTTTGTCAAAGATCGGTTAGCTGGTTTGTCATTTATCAGGGGAAGCTTATGACATACAGGCTTCTCCCATCAGCACCCCATCCGACCCCTGCAGTGTCTGCAGGATCTTGGTTTTGGGGCATATAGCCAAAATGTCTTTCGGCTGGGTCGTTGCTCAAAATATGTCTGATCCATCTGGGCGAACGAGTCTGAATGTCAAATGGTCAGTCAAGAAGACCTCGGTAATAAATGAAGACGAAAAAGTGAGAACTTTACATCATTGGCTGCCAACCGTTGGCGTCGAAGCCGTTCTGCGGCTACACTGGCTCGCAATTCCGCTGCTGTTGCACGTTGGGCATCGTACCGGTTTTCTGTTGTGGTACCCGGGCGCATGATACGACGAGGGATCGACCTTGAACGTTGGGATAATTGCCAGGCTTCCGTTGGAACCGCTTCTCTAGAAAATGCCATATTCCAAAGCTCGGTTCCAATACCAGCATTTCCTTGGCCGTTATCTGTACTCGATTCATTGGTTGATAACTCATTCTCAATACTGGCATCATTGCTGTGAGAATAATTTTCTGCGGCTTGCATGTCCATGGGTGAGGTAGTCCATCGAAGCCTAAGTTGGATATCCGCTGCAGCGGGATTATTGTCGTCGCTGCTTTGAGCGTTAGAAAGAGGACCTGCAACTTGACCGGGCTGCGAGATCACGATGGATGCGCGGCGTCTTTGGCCGAAATTACGCTCTGTGGAACCAACTCGCCCAAGATAATGCTCGCGGAAGAGCTCATGGAGTGCTGCATCTGTGGAGCGGAAGGGCGAGGTAGCACGAGATAAGGGATGAGCGACGTCAGCAGCTGCAGCACCAGTACCACCTAGGGATGAGGCAGTGGCCCGTTGCCGTGAGTGACTATCTGTACTCGGTGTCCGGTCTCCTGCATCGCTTTCTCGTCCGGATGATGACCGGGCCGTGTTGAGATATTCGATGATCTGCCGTTCCCTTTCGGTGAGACCCTGAACACTTTCGCGCAATGAACTGATTCGGTCAGTTTCAGCATTAAATCCTATCAACGATGTCCCGCTTAGCAGATCTAAAATCGCTTCTTGGAAGCTGTCCGACTCGTCTCTCATACCGAATTCATTGTCACCACTTTCAGAACGTGAAAGAAAAGGTGAATTGAAGGTGGTGCGGACTTTCTCTAGATTAGGGTCGTCCCTGTCCAAGTTCACCACTTGTCGGCGGAAGAAACCTGAACGAATATCAACGACTCCGAACCTTCCGGTGTCCTCAACCCACACCAAAAGATCCCATGGCTCTGGCGAAAAAGCCATACTGCGTACTGCACCAGCGGAGTCGGGCTGGGATGACCGAAATAGGGTCAATCTTGCATCGAAATCTTCTCCGCTCGATTTGGAGATTGTTTCTACGTCGTATATGCTTATAATGCCAGACTGCGAGCCAATAGCACACAAGCGGCTGGAGGGTGAAAAGGCGATAGTGAAGCAGCTGCCATCGTCGAAACCTGAAGTTGCATCTAAATCGGCGCTAAGAGCCAGTTCTATTCGACAGCACTTTTCCCATTTCCAACCCGACAATCTCTCGCCTCGTTCGCCATAGTCAACCGTGGTTAGGTCACGTGTGATTCGATAAAAGTATGCGAAATTCTCGTCACCTACAGCTGCGAGCAGACTGGAGTCGGGAGAAATTACGGCATAGTTCATGCATTTGCGGTGATGTTTCGTTTCGATTAATTTGCATCGCGTGAGTGAATATATTTTGACAGTTTTGTCGTTATTGCTATACCATTCATTGCTTGTTAGATTGAGAACATGAGACAGCATCCACGAACAGATTCATACCTGAAAATAGCCAGGTCCTCATGGGCAAATCCTAGGCTGTCCTCGCCCGGAAGGCGGTGGATTGTGACGGAATTTACAATGCTGCCAGTGAGTGCCTTGGTGAAGAAGTCAGGTAGATCACTGCGACTACTAGAGATGTTAGAAGTCCTTTGTTGCTCTGTCGAGGCATCCTCTGTCGGAAGCGTTCGTGTGTCCGAGTCCAGCTCGATGGGCAATGCAGCATCCACGTCTGCTGTGTCCAGTCTCATGTCATTTAATACCGGCGACTCTCGACCAGGGAGCCTGATAAATGCACACTCCCCGTTATCAGATCCCCCAACAACAATCCAGCCATAGGATGCCGCAAGGCACTTGGGCTCGAACGGTATGCGCTCGATTGTATCCCATTTCTGCGACTTGACGTGGATCGAGTGAACTACCTTGTTGGCAACGACATAAATAATGTCCGGGTCTGCAGTGCTTATGTAATGGCGCAGTTGATGATGGCTAAGATCCAAACGTTCGCATCAGTAGAGAGTACTTGCGCGCATTAAAGAAGAACTTGCGCTCAAACGAGGGATTACCGACTAGTTTGGGATCTTGAAGGGGAAGAAACGGCGTTTTGCAGGGAGAACCAAGGAATCGGTAGGAATGCTTCTAGGAGATCTCCGTGAGTAAGCCATTCAGGTGAGCAAATGTCATGGGAAGTGAGGACAGACAGTAGAGAATAGTCTAGTGTCATGGTTGACCGAAGACATCAGCGACGCCGCATTGTCGGGCCCAATAGATACGTAGGATCAACCATGAACCAATCAATAGTCAGTTCAGTCACTCAATTTGTACAGCAGCGACAACAAGAACACCGGCGAGATATGTACAAGGAAAGAAAGAGCCGCCTTGTCCAGAGTCCGGCGCGTGTGCGATGGCTATACAGATGAGCGAACGTCGAGTGGAGTCACACACATTGAGGCGTGCGAAGTAAAGGAAGGCTATGACGGCAGCACACGGTAAGCTTAGCTCCTTCCGCCGGGGGCTGCCGCGTTGCTCCCACGGGATGCCTGAATCCTCAGGCTCCCTGGCCGTCTGCTATGCTAGTGGCTTCTACCGCCTTCGATGAGATGGCCGGCACGTGACCCGCCGAGCTTTTCTCGGGGGCGCTAAGGATCTTTTAGGGAAAGAACCGCCCGGCGGAAATTTTGGCTTCATCAATTTCTTCTCCCTTTCTCTTCTCTCCATCCATCCATCCCAAGCCAACTCTTTCTTCTCCCCTTTCATACATCTCTCTTCGCCATCTGCTGGTGCTTTCTTGTCGTGCATCTCAGATAAACCAGAGCTTCTTGTATTTTTTACGTTTAATTTAATCTTTCTTTTTGTACTTCTAGCACAATGCTCTCTTCCCGTCTCTCCCGCGCGGTAAGTTGGCATCTCCGTCGCCTCAACAAGTGGCCTGTCTTGCTGGTGAAGAGGAAGCATAACTAACTTTGCACCGATGTAGCTCCCGCGCACTCCTTATATTGCCCGCGCTTCTGCCATCAGAACTCCCGGTGCCTCGTTCCGGAGATGGAACTCGACAGAAGGTGAAGAGAAGGTCAAGGGCCAAGTCATCGGTATTGACTTGGGTATGTGCTCACACTTTCATCGCAGCATATGGCACAAACTAACTAGCATCTGCAGGTACAACCAACTCTGCTGTCGCTGTGATGGAGGGAAAGACCCCAAAGATCATTGAGAACTCAGAAGGTGTGAAAAAAAATTTTTTTTCCTTGCCTGGCATGCGCATTGCCGCTTGACACGGGATGGCCATGGCTTCAGAAGCAAATTTCCGGATGCAAAGCTAACAGTTTGGATAAAAAGGTGCTCGCACAACTCCCTCTGTTGTTGCCTTCGCGCAGGATGGCGAACGGTTAGTCGGTATCGCCGCTAAGCGTCAAGCTGTTGTGAACCCCGAGAACACCCTATTTGCCACAAAGCGTCTCATCGGACGTAAGTTCACCGATGGTGAAGTGCAGCGCGATATTAAGGAGGTTCCTTACAAAATTGTTCAACACACCAACGGCGATGCCTGGGTTGAAGCTCGTGGTCAGAAGTACTCTCCTTCTCAGATTGGTGGTTTCGTCCTCCAGAAGATGAAGGAGACCGCCGAAGCTTACCTTAGCAAGCCTATCAAGAACGGTGTCGTCACTGTTCCTGCCTACTTCAACGACTCTCAGCGCCAGGCCACCAAGGATGCTGGTCAGATTGCTGGCCTGAACGTTCTGCGTGTTGTCAACGAGCCCACTGCTGCTGCCCTTGCCTACGGATTGGAGAAGGAGAGTGACCGCGTCATTGCTGTCTACGATCTCGGTGGTGGTACTTTCGATATCTCTGTTCTTGAAATCCAGAAGGGTGTGTTCGAGGTCAAGTCTACCAACGGTGACACCCACTTGGGTGGTGAGGACTTTGATATCTCTCTTGTCCGTCACATTGTTCAACAGTTCAAGAAGGAGTCTGGCCTCGACCTCTCCGGTGACCGCATGGCCATTCAGCGTATCCGTGAGGCTGCCGAGAAGGCCAAGATTGAGTTGTCTTCTTCCCTCCAGACTGAAATCAACCTTCCTTTCATCACTGCCGATGCCTCTGGTGCTAAGCATATCAACTTGAAGATGACTCGTTCTCAGCTTGAGGGTCTTGTTGATCCTTTGATCAACCGCACATACGAGCCTGTGAAGAAGGCCTTGAAGGATGCCAACTTGCAGGCCAAGGATATCAACGATGTCATTCTTGTTGGTGGTATGACCCGTATGCCCAAGGTCTCAGAGTCTGTCAAGAGCGTCTTCGGTCGTGACCCTGCCAAGTCGGTCAACCCCGATGAGGCCGTCGCTATCGGTGCTGCCATCCAGGGTGCCGTCCTTGCTGGTGAAGTCACTGACGTTCTCCTGCTCGATGTCACACCTCTCTCCCTTGGTATCGAGACCCTTGGCGGTGTCTTCACTCGCTTGATCAACCGCAACACCACCATCCCCACCAAGAAGTCCCAGACCTTCTCCACTGCTGCTGACTTCCAGACTGCCGTCGAAATTAAGGTCTACCAGGGTGAGCGTGAGCTCGTGCGCGACAACAAGCTGCTCGGAAACTTCCAACTTGTTGGCATTCCTCCTGCTCACCGTGGTGTTCCTCAAGTCGAGGTTACTTTCGATATCGATGCTGACTCGATTGTCCACGTCCACGCCAAGGACAAGTCTACCAACAAGGACCAGTCCATCACCATTGCCTCTGGCTCCGGTCTCAGCGATGCTGAGATCCAGAACATGGTTGAGGATGCTGAGAAGTATGGTGCTCAGGACAAGGAGCGCAAGGCTGCGATTGAAGCTGCCAACCGCGCCGACTCTGTCCTAAACGACACTGAGAAGGCTCTCAAGGAGTTCGAGGACCGCCTTGACAAGGCCGAGGCTGACCAGATCCGCGAGAAGATCACCACTCTCCGTGAATTTGTTGCCAAGACCCAGTCTGGCGAAGAGACGGCCACTGCTGAGGACCTCAAGCAGAAGACTGACGAACTCCAGACTGCTAGCTTGACCCTGTTCGACAAGATGCACAAGGCCCGTCAGGAGGAATCCAACCAACAGCAATCCTCCGAGTCTGGTGAGCAGGGTGAGAAGAAGCAGTAAGAAGCTGAATACTTTTTTCATTTCATCCCTCTTGTGTGACTAATTAGATTCCTCCCCACATTTTTTTCTTTGCTGCTTGTTTTCAGCTCTCCTTATCTCGCTGATTTCAGATCTTCGCATAAAAGCTGTACAGATATTTGATGGCTGTCATGGTTTTGGTTTTGGTTCATTATCCCAACGTTCTTCATTGGGGATAATATTGTGCTTTGTACTATTGGTGCGACGGTGTTTTGTCTTTTTCTTTCCCCATCATACCGATTCTTCTGACCTATGTCTTTATACTTATTTTATTTATTTTTTTTTTTTTACTTGAATTTCCACCGGTTGTCATTTTTCTGATTCCCCAGGAACTGCAAAAGAATGCGTGGCGGGACGGAGGAAAAAACTATGTCTGCTTTACAAAAGTGTATCTACCTAATGACCCAATACGGCGACAATCCGCAGCGACTAGCGGATGTTGGAGCATATGATTATAGAAATCGACATCTCCTCTCTAATTTCGACTATTTCCAATCATTCAATCATTCAAAGTATATTGACTGCCCGATTCATTGGTATCTGACCGCAAAAAAAAAAAGTACCGTTAGGAGGAAAGTAGTACGCACATCTGACAAGTGAGGCGAAACTACAGGCTGGCAAATAAAACGCAGCCAATGGCAACAGAGTATCGACTATAGAGTGGTGCCAATTAATCCAAGGAGAGAGCCCAGATGGCAAAATATGACTCGTAGCAAACAGATCCACCACAAGGAGAAAAAGAACAACATGAGATTCTTTCCAGCATGGCCGGTCGATAACCAATCACGCATCCAGCAGGCAATACATGTATCCAAAACTCAAAAAACGCTCTGCCTGTTTTGGGCGTGCTGCATTGCCAATAGTGCCGTGTATATATCCAATCAAGTTTACGGGCTCAAGCTCATAACGCAATCCGACAGTTTGGGTAGGTGGAGAGGCACTAGTGTGGTTGTTAGTGTGAGTCAGACATTGGCTGTTTCGGTCGTTGGTTGGTTTGGCTAATTAATTAATTTACGGCCGTGGCTGTCCACTGGACTGTTGTTATTTGATCTCTTTCGAGGAAGCACTCATCGTGAAGTACAAATAGCACGCGCTGATTGGCCCGCGACAGCCAATGGGAGAATATGGCTGCAGCCCCTGGCACCCGCGGCGGCAGCCAATGGGCGTGCAGAGAGATCTAGAGCCCATGTTTACTATTTTCGTCGTTTAATTTGCAATTTGCAATTTGCAATTTTTTACCTTTTTTCCCTTGTTTCCCCTTGTGCCGATTCCCTTGTCGCTCGACTCGTGTCTGATTCCTGTTTCTCTCTGAGTCTATCGTCGAAAGACCAAAATAGCTCTTCTGACGCCAATTCTAGACCCGGCTGCTGCTTAGCCACCAGTGCACACCACTCCGGTCAAATTGAAACTAGGCAGGAAAATTTGCTTAGTTTATTGCCTGCAGCAGCCAGTCAGCTCGCGATGCGGGCGTCTCCTCGCATGTCGAGCCAATAATTAGAATGCGTGGATGCGAGATCAGTCTGCACTGCAGGATACCAATATCAATGTGTCTATGTATATCCATCCATCCATCCATGCTTTTGTGATGGTTAAATTATGCACCGCCGATGTTTATGCCAGCAGGCCTGCGATTAGTTAATTACAGTGTTTATTATTTTCAAGAAAATCACCGCTCCACTTTTTAGCATTTTCTCACATTGAATTTGCGTTTGGTTGCTGGCCTCTGCGTTTTTTCTGCTTCACCTTTTTTTTCTTTCCCTTTCTCCCTCAGTCTTTCTTGCTTGCTCATTTTTCTTTCTGTCTGTCTTTCTTTTTGGCAAGCCTGCAGTGCTGATTGGTCTGTTCGACCAGGACTAAATAAGTATTCGTTCTGATCCATCCTAATCCCGGTCCCTCGATCCATCGGTTTTTGCTTATTCTACCTTACCCACACATCATCCCTCGAACCCTGGATGCTCCTTTCCTGCTTTCCTTCCTTCTTTCACAGGGACTCGCGACTCCTTGAATTCCGTCCTGTGCCTAGCTAGCTATTTCAACCGGACCACGTCCGGGGACAGGAAGGACAAAAACAATCAATCATTGCAGCTTCTCTCGTCATCGTTGAGAAACGAACGATCCCTTCTGACTGCTCGTACGGGTTGAAAAAGGTATATCTAATCTTTCTATGACTTCAACCTCCTGTCACTTTGACCTGATCTGGCCAGACTGACACCCTCCCCAGACCACACCATGACTGCTGCTTCTCCGGCAGCTCCGCCGCCTGTCGCAGACCCCGGCATCAACAGCCATGCTCCTGGCCACAATATGAATCTGCCTCGCTTTCATCCCATAGCCATCAATCCCAATGGGTCGGGCTCTACCTCGGTGCCTCCATCATTCCATCGCCCCTATGGAGCTCCCATCTTGGACTATCCAACCTCTCACCACGCCCCGACTGGTCCCCTGCCTCCGCCTCTTCCTCCGGCCCCCGCACCACACCAACTTCAGTATCAACAGCAACAGCAGCAGCAGCAGCAGCAGCAGCAACAGCAACAGCAGCAACAACAACAACATCATCAACATCAGTCCTCAGGCTCATTGCCGCCTTCGCAACAACATACCCCCCAATCAGGACCCCCGTCTCGTCCCCCATCTCACCCCCCTCTTCTTCCTGTGCCTGTCACATCCCAGCTAGATCAGATTGAAGTCCGGCTGCGGCAAATCGAGCAAGAAGAGGCCAGCCGTGCAGCAGCTCGTGCGCATATGCTTGCCATGAGAAGACGGGAGGATGAGGAATTCCGAATGGTTACGGAGCGGGCAGAGGCCGAAGAAGAGGTAAGTCTCTCTTTTTTCCGTTTCTTTCCTTTTTGTCTACTTATCTAATGAGCGGTTGTGCTGTAGGATCTACGACGGCGGAGAAAAAGACTTAAGAGGGAATCAATGGGCTTGATAGATGGCCAAATCGAGTCTCCGCCGGCACCAGCAGCCAGACGTCTGTCAGAAACCAGTGCTGCCACCACGCTGGCATTTTTCAAGCAGCAGAGTCCGCCTGAGCCACGACCACCAGAGCTGAGAGCTCCGCCTCCTCCGCCACCCTCACACCACCATCACCACCACCAACCACCACCACCACCACCGACTATTATGCAGCAGCCTACTCCCTTAGTCACTGCTCCCTCGATGATGACCAATGGCCAGACCTCGGGCACATTCCGCAAGAAGCAAAAATACACGATCAAAAACGCAGAGGCCTGGGGTGAAAGACACGGCAGGCCAGCGACATATGATGCCGCAGGCCGTGCCCTGTGGAAGCGGCCATCTGATGGGCAACTTGTCTATCTCGATTGCCCGGCACCAGACTGCGGCAAGTCGGACTTTGTCACGCTGCACGGCTTCATGTGCCATCTGACCAAAAAGCACAAGGATCGCAGCATGGGCAGTCAGTCGCGTGCCCTTGATCTGTGCGGTAGTGTTTTTAACCCTAATGCACCGCGGCCGCAACGTCCCAGTCTAAAAGGGGGCTCGACGGTGAACAGTCGAGCGGGATCTGTGCATACCGAGGTTGAAGATGAAGAAGATGCATATTCCTCTGCACCGTCCGATATGCACGACGCTGGCCATAACTCAAATAATAATTTTGACCCAGAAGCAGTTGTCAAGAAGGAAGAAACAGATAGTCCCGTTGTCGCTGCTACTGTTACTGCTACTGCTGCTGCTACGACTACTACGAATGAATCAAACGAATCGACGTCTACAAATAAAGCAAGCATCGCATCAATGATTGACAGCAACGTCCCGTCCGACAACGGATGGACGCCAAAGAAATCCTCAACTCCTGTGGGCGACAGTGCCGTACCATCGACAGACGTCTCGACGCAGGAAGAGGCAGCAGCAGCAGCGGTTTTAGCAGGGCAGTCAACCTTGAACGAAGTTCAAGTTTAATTTTGCGGGCACAGAACTAATTCTTTTTTTTTTGTTGACCCCATCATTTTGGTATTTGATTATTTACTATTCATTGATACTCCAAAGCGATCTCAGATGATCACCACACCGAAAGGATTTTAGATTCCCCCCATGTGTTTAACTAGCATCTTGCATCTTGCATATACAGCTTCTTCAATACGATACTTCTTAAACAAAAAAAAATAAAATAAAATAAAATGCAACGCTAGTATTGCTATCTATCAAGTAACCTCGCCCTTCAATACAAGCGCATGAACCACATAACCACTCCCCTCGCCTAACCCCGTTTGATTCTCTGTTGCAAGAACGCGAGTATCAAGTCTCCAAACGCGGAAAAACCGCATCGACTCCCTCAGCCACGACTCAAACACATCTGGAGACCGCTGCTGTTGCGCGATAATGGCAATCGTCGGGGTTGTCTCTTGTTTTTGATTATCATTATCATAATCATAATCATAATCATCATTTTCATGTTCATGTTCGTCGACTCCTGATCGTCCTGATTCTTCTACCTCTTGGTCGTCTTTGTTTGAGCGAGAGGTGAACAGAGAAGATGAAGAAGCTCTCAATGCACATATATCAGCGCATGTGCGCACCAAGGATGGGATGAGGGCTTCGTTGTAGATGCAGTCGCAGGAAATGAGGAGGTCAAAGCCGTTGGTGGTTGTTGCTGTTCTCGTAGTGGTTCTATTATCATCTTCACCGTGTAAGACGTCGTTACTAGGGATGTCGAGTTCCCAGTCTAACGGGATGAATTTTATATTGTTATTCTTATTATCGTCAGCATTACTGGCCTTGTTCTTGCTAGAGCGGGATGGTTTTTTGCTGCCGCTGCTGCCCTTCTTTTTCCGATTGGATATGGGCGCCGACGAAGAGGCAGCGTTCTCGTCAATGTTCTGCCGGAACAGTTTCCGGACATATTCCTGATCAGTGGCAACATACTTTCCAACCAGGGGAGCGAGCGTCAGGGCTACAAGCCCGGAGATGCCGCAGCCTAGCTCGATGACTGTCGCGGACGAAGGCAGGATGTGGTTTGGCGGCCGCCAGAATGGATTGGAGGTTGACGATATCCATTCGGCGAAGAGGGGGGTTATTTTCCAGAGGACTTTTTGCCACGTACATCAAGCAGTCAATGTGTATGTACTATCGATAGAACGTTGAAAACAAAGAATACGCACCAGCCCCCGTGGTGCCGCCCTCCCTCTTCGACGATAATAGAGTAGGCGACTGGTGGATTGTGTAGTCGCGGCCGTGGATGGTGAGGTCGACGGTGGAGGCGCGCGAGTCGCAGAACCCCAGGTTGTTGGAGGGGATGTCGAGGCTGAACAGGAAGAAGGATTCTGTGATGTATGTATTCCAAGCATTAGCTATGAGGTTGAGCGAGGGCTTGGAAGGTCACATGTTCTCGTCTACACATACATACATGGTCAAAACGTACCTTCCTCGGCATCAAGCACCTCCTCGCCGATAGACGAGAGGAATTCGCGGAGAGCCATAATGGTCTCAGGCTGACTACCTTCTCCAGGTCTCCTCCTCCGCACTGAACTAGTATCATGACTCGTCTTCTCGCCAATTGCCAATGGGAATGCACTGCGTGGTTGGGACGCTAAACCCAACAAACCGCGCTGTGGCTGGAGCTAGTGTGGCGGCAGTAATACAACGTCATTCTCGCGGCCGCGCAAAGGGAAAAAAAAAAAAAACAAAAACAAAGAAAACAGGAAAGACGGGCGGACAACAGACGATTTTTTGTATGTGGCGTGCTGCAGGGCCATCCTCCAGCTCCTCTGCTCTGCTCTGTAAATGGAAAGGTGTAGGTAGGGATTGTATATACGCACAGACTATGTAACTAGGTCGAGGTCGATCAACTAGCCCGTAGTCAAAAGCCACCGGGATTCAGTCCTGACTTGCTTCCCATTCTGTCATCCCTCCTCTCCTCCTTTTCCCTCGCCACTTGCTGGACGCTGTAGCCTGTCAGAGTCGAGTGAATTCTTTTCTCTCTCTCTCTCTCTCTCTGCTCTTGTTGTCTGCCTGCTCACGAACTCCGTGGTACGTGCGTTTGCCTGAAGAAAAAGGCTCTGACGTTATCGAACCTTCTTGCTGACTTTCCTCGGCAAACAAGACCTCCCTTGGAACTCCAGCTCCAACGTCTTCCTCCATTCCACAGATCCAAGACTAAACACAACCCTCTCCTCTCAGCCAGCCATGGCCAACCGAGACACCCCCATCCTGCCTCGAATGGTAAAGCGCGCCCCCTTTACTGTTGAGGCGTCCGGCTACGAACCCGTCGAAGGCGAAACCATTCCTCGCCGGAACCCCTTGGCCAAGGACAAACTCATCACTCGTCCCGCCGAAGACGTTGCGACTGTCTACGACATCCTGCGGAGAGGCGCCAAGGTCTTTGGCAATGCCAAATGCGTCGGCTCCCGTCGCATCCTCAAGACCCACGTCGAGAACAAGAAGGTCAAGAAGGTCATCGATGGCGCCGAGCAGGAAGTCGATAAGGAGTGGACCTATTTCGAGCTCAGTGGGTACTCGTACCTGTCGTTCGTCGAGTTTGAACAGTTTGCCTTGCAGCTCGGTGCTGGGTTGCGCTCGTTGGGTCTTAATAAGGGCAATCGAATCCATATTTATGCCGCTACTAGGTAAGCTTATACGTGAGATGGGCACAGGACTTTGAAGAATGGGCGGCTGATGCTCTACATTTTGCAGTGCAAATTGGCTAGCTATTGGTCATGGTAAGTGACTCTGTACATCTATGCATACAACAAACTTACATAAATAGGCGCCGCCTCCCAGTCAATTACCTTTGTTACCGCCTACGATACCCTTGGAGAGGATGGATTGAGGCATTCACTCAAGCAAACAAAGAGTGATGCCATGTTTTTGGATCCTGGCCTGATCCCCTCTCTTTCCAAGGTCCTTAACGATGCCCCAAACCTCAAACACATCATCTACAACACAACTACCGAAGTGAAGCAAGAGGATTTGGATAAGCTCAAGTCTGAGTTTGGTCATATTAACGTTATAAGCTTGGATGATTTGAAAAATGCTGGAAAGGAGAGCCCTGTCGACCCTGTGCCGCCGCAGCCAGAGGATCTCTGCTCCATCATGTACACTTCGGGATCGACTGGTGCGCCCAAGGGCGTGTCTTTGTCGCATGCGAACGTGGTTGCTGCTGGTAATTTACTTCTTTTGTTTCCTTTGCGGTAATGTTATAACTAACCAAACATGTGCAACAGTTGCTGGTGTCACCGCTATTGTTGGCCCATACATCGGACCCGGCGATTCTCTGTTAACCTACCTCCCGCTTGCTCATATCTTGGAGTTCGTCTTCGAAAACGCCACCATGTTCTGGGGTGGCACTATGGGATACGGCAGTCCTAGAACGCTGTCGGACAGCTCGGTACGAAACTGCAAAGGTGACATTCACGAATTCAAACCTACCATCCTCGTTGGAGTACCCGCCGTATTCGAGACCGTCAAGAAAGGCATCCTAGCTCAATTGAATAAAACTAGCTTCATCGTGAAGAACATGTTCTGGGGCGCATTGTCTGCAAAGCAATTCCTGCTCCAGACTGGCCTGCCAGGCTCTGGCTTGCTTGACGCTGTTGTTTTCAAGAAACTGCGGGAATTGACTGGCGGTCGTCTTCGTATCCTGATGAACGGTGGTGGTCCCATCGCCAAAGATACTTTGAAATTCATTTCGTATGCCATCGCGCCTATGATCAGCGGCTACGGATTGACCGAGACATCGGCCATGGGCGCACTCCAAGACCCATTGGCCTGGAATCCGGACGCGCTCGGAGACATTCCGGCATCGATTGAAATTAAATTAGTCGATTTCCTAGAGGCAGGCTACTCGGTCAAGAACACACCGCCACAGGGCGAGATCTTGATCCGCGGTGCCAGTGTCACGGCGGGCTACTACGAAAACGACGAGGAGACGAAGAATTCCATCACTGAGGACGGGTGGTTCCAGACCGGCGACATTGGCGAGTTTGACAAGTACGGCCACCTGCGCATCATCGATCGCAAGAAGAACCTGATCAAGACTTTGAACGGCGAGTACATTGCGCTGGAGAAGTTAGAGTCTGTCTACCGGGCGCACCCAGTCGTAGCGAATATCTGTATCTATGCTGCAGAAAATCAGGTCAAGCCTATTGCCATTATTGTACCCGTTGAGGCGGAATTGGTGAAGATGGCCAAGTCACACGGTATCAGCGGACAGACTTTAGAAGTGCTAGTGCACAACGAGACGCTCAAGTCGGCTGTTTTGAAGGAATTGCAGAACGCTGGCAAGGCCGGCCATCTCCAAGGCATTGAGATCATTGATGGAGTTGTCCTGTCAGACGAGGAGTGGAATCCACACAATGTATGTTCATCTTGCTTACTCTTCAACAATCATATTATACAGCCATACTGATTTGATTCGAATGATTATAGGGATACACTACAGCGGCGCAAAAACTCCAACGCAAGAAGATTGTCGATCACTTCCGAGCCGACATTGACAAGGCGTATAAAAAATAAGCAACCACCAACCCCCCCGCAAGGAAACGAAAGAGGGAAAAAAAAGGGGGGGGGAATATATTTCCTCCTTATTATATCACAGGCGCAAACATGTCATTGCACAAAAGAAAGTGAAAATATATTCGGAAAAGATCTTTACGTCCGACGTGATGTATGGATCTCATAAGTAAGCCGTATAACGTGACGATGAACGAGTGTGTCGATTTCTTTACTTCTCTTTTTTCATTTCTTCTCTTCTCAAACAATTGTCTTTATTGATTCCCGGGCTTTCCTTTTTTTCGTTTTATTTTATATTTTCTTATTTCATCTTTCTATTGGAAAAGAAGTCAGTCAGTTTTGCTTGTATTGCATGCACTGAATAGCTAGTGATTAATTTGTTGGCAGATTTTTTTTAGCATATGATAGGATATGAATAGGCAATAATCTCACATCTTTCAAACTGATACTAGACATCGTTCCATGCGCTTTCGTTGTATGCGTAATTGTATAAAAAACAATGCCAAGAAATTAGCCTAGTCATGACTAAGCACTCTATTTCCTCGACCATCCTCAAAGTCACGTTTCTGCATATTAACACACCAAATTCCATTCAAGATGTCCTTTTGGAGGTATGCAATCCATGAACAAGCACACAAAAATCTAGCTTTACTGGCTAATCATTTGAATAGTTCATACAAAAATCTTTCCCCCCGAACCCGCCTCCTCTTCGGGCTCGGGCTCATGAGCTGGGCCGCAATCGGAATGTCGACTTCATCGCAGGTAGAGTCTGCGCTGGGCCTGGTGCCGAGCGAGCAGGAGAAGGAGGAGTTGGAGAGGAAGATGGATGTGAGGATTGTTAGTGTTGAGAAGTGATTGATATGCGCTGGGTTTGTTTTGTCAAAGGGGCAAGAAATCTAGGATATATGAAAGGGAGAGGGGAGGAAGGTTCGTGGATATGAATTGGGTCATATATATATATATATATATATATACGCCCGGTATTTGCCTCATGTACAGCATGGTATGGTGTTCGAGACGGCCGTTTGGGAGACATGCATTAAGTGTTCCACTGAATACACCGACACGAGACGACGAGATCCTGCTTGAGACACGTCCGTCTGGGGTACAGAGACTATATGTCAAGACCTACCGCAGGCTATTCTGACAGAGAATTTCCCGAACACGATTTGGCCAATCTATCCAACTAGCGGAAGAGCACAAGACTGGGTACGTCCATTCACGATTGGTTCTTTGCCAAAGCCCGACATAGGTCATCGGCAATACCACTGATGAAGATCGACTTTGGTGCATATGTGAATAGATAGGTTTGTCGTCGACGTGTGGAGAATGTACATATAATAATATCAAATTTGCAGCTCATGAATTTATCAGACTATTAATAACTGCTACTATACGGTTATGCTACGCATATACGATGGCAGCGGCATCAAATAGCGACAGGCTGATCATGTATCAACGTGCAGACAAAACGTCACCAATGATAAGTCTTCATCCGTCAAAAAAGATGACTCAAATCTTTTACAAATCAAAGCTGCAGAGACTGAATTCTAGCCTAAAAGTTAAAGCCTCCTCGGTGTGCGTTCCAAGGCTACTTTACCTAGACACGTCTAGGTATCCAAAGGATATACAAAACGCAGCCAACAAGGACACGACCAATTCAACCCATTCATTCCAAGGTTGCACAGGTATGTCTTACTCAGACGAGGTCGGTCTCTATCTGTATGAAAGTTGTGCAACCACCACAAAAACCTTACCCTGGTCACAGACAGCCACTGACCGGTTCTGGCTGTGTAGGTCTATTCTATTCGTTTCGACCTGCACACAGACTCCCACACACACACTCTCTCTCTCCCCCTCTTTTTCTCCCTCATCCATCCTGTCTGATTTTTTGGCCACAGGCACTCCCAATACCCAGGCTAGAAAAGAAAGAATCCGGTAAATAAGTCAGAAGCAGCATATACCCAACGTTGTCAGAACCTGTATCGTCTTGCATTTGCATTGCATTGCATTGCATTACGCACTGCGTTATGTTCTGATACCCAGTTCTCGACTGACTCACTCATTTCTAAACCGGTACTTAATGATCATGATGATGCTGGCATGCATATCCATGGATTGCGTTTGAAGGTTATGGAAAGAAAACCTTATCATCTGCGTGGCCCGATATGATACAGTTGATTGACCGCTTCATTTTCCAGAATTGGAAGTCCGCTCGTATTTGTCGCGGGTTGATGTTGATGACTTGCTTGGCTTACGCCGTGCCTAGGGGATGGATGCCTGCTACGTCTGTCTGGATATAAACATATATTGTCAGAGTCAGAAGAGTCAGAAACGGGAGGGTGGTACAAAGGGTAAAATTGCCTACCTAGGTATAGGGGATAGATAGGTATGGTAGGTATGCGGAGGCACCACACCTAACCTATCGCGCCCACACTGGGTAGGTAGTTAGGTAGTTGCTGTTGGCTTTGTATCTTGTCTCGGCTTGGAAACAGGTTGTTAGCCGACGGGTCTATGCCTATCTGGAGTCGGTGTCTATTAGATACAGTTGTCTGTCTGCACATGTCATAGGCGTGGATGCCTTGTGCTCGTGTTCATATGGAAATATGCCCAGGTGCGTATGCACAGCATACCGCAAGAAAATGGTATCTAATACCAAACCAATCCAGTAAACAAAGAGACACTATACATACATATGCTAGAAATGTTTAAACATGCACATACATACACCCTTAGGATCAGGGGGGCTACTCAAGACAATACCACATTTCTGGCTCCGTATAGTCCTGATTCCAAATATCTAAATTTGGGTCTTTGATTTGTGCTACCCACTAACCTAGCATCTAGACAATTAATTCGATACCTAGAAATAAACCCAGCAGCCCTCTGAACCAATGCCATCCCATCCCATACGATCATGGTTTGATTAAAACGAAGAGTTTGGCATGTGAGCCAATATCTCTTTATAATACTTGCATTAATATCATTCTACTGCTCAATATACGGGATATATGGGTTTCTTTGTTTGATTTAATCAAGTCCATTAGTACTTTGAGAATGTTGGCTATATAGACGCCGCTAGTCCGTTTTCGGATATTCTAGGGTTTTGTTTCGATTTTCATGCTTTGTAGAGCAACCAGCGTCATAATCAGGGTGTATAATAGAGAGGATATCATAATATAGAGTTTACCTGTAGTGATGCTACATAATAAAAGTTATCCCATTTCAAATCATCCACGCATTCTGTTGTGTTAAGCTGCAAGTTGCTCAGTTTGGTCAATGAAAAGAAGAAGAGAAGAGAAGGAAATTAAACACAATCTCGACTGTTATAGACCATGGTAAAATTGCTCGCTCGCGTTTTGTCTTCTCCTTTTCTCCTAGCCTATATCCTAACCCATCCAGAACCCAATATAAAACAAAAGAAAGAACACAGAAATACCTGGCTAATCACAATAAAACAATCGAAATATAAAGGAAAATACATAGTAGAAATAAAAAGATAAAAAGAAACCCCATCTTCGCTTTTATAGTAAAAACTTCCCATGTCACTAGAACGCCTTCGATCAACGAGGGGAATAATCTGAGGTCTCGTTATCGTCATCCTGCCTGTTTCGATGAAAAAAAATACCTCGAGTTTCCCCCAAATTCGACCATATCCTTATGTGCCTCAACTAACATCCGCCTGATTCTGCTGAAAATGATTGATTTCCCGATTGCAAAAGAAAAGAAGAGAGAGAGAGAAAAAAGAGGAGAGAAGATGGAAACTCCCATTCACCGAATCACCAACAACTCATACAATAGAAAAAAAGAAAAGATTGTAAATAAACACAAGTTTTCAACAACAACAACAACAACAACAACAACAACAACAACAACACCACGAAAACCCCCGTTCTCTAACTCCCATCACATTCTGTTCTAATCACGCACTCGAAAGTATAGATAGGTAAAAATAGATCGATAAAGATCAAGCACATAGGCTTTCTTGAATAGGATCAAATCGTGGAAATGTTACAGCGCTACCACCACCCGTTCGCTGACTGCTATCATTCACAATAGATGCCAAGGGACATCGTTCAGAAGTCGACTGCTTTAAATATTGAGATCCATCTTCTTGCTCGCTATGATAGCTCGGTATCATTGGATCATATGCATCATCCAATGTATGCTGGTGCTGATGCTGCTGATGGTGGTGGTGGTGGTGAGGGTGGTGATGATGACTATGAGCATCATCTTGACTTCCCGCACTCGAGCTAAGATCCAAACTCGGCACATGGCTTTGAATACTACTACCAGTACTTCCTGAGTCTCTCCGAAGTGAGCTACTATCGTCATTGTCATGATAGCGGCTGATATGATGCGATAAGCCGCCATCGGTGGAATCGTGGCCGCCAATAGCGTCAGGGAACATAAGTTCCAATGAAGCGTCTGAGGCTGAAACTAGTGGACTGATTTCGGCTGAATGATCCATTTGCCCAAATTGTGAGTGCTGCTGCTGATGATGATGCCGTGACATGTCTCGATTATTGCTATATTGGGGATCACCTCGCTGAGAAGAATCGTACAGGAATGACATATTTGAATATGATTGGTGATCAATGGATGAAGACAGAATCGTACGACCTGCATCCCCTGGGTCCCCACCGTCGCCCGTACTAGCAGAACTACCTCGCCGGCCATCCTTGTAGTGCCCCGGGGACCGTCCCCGCACAACCATGGGGTCTGAGATCTTTTTTGCAACTTTCACCCACTGTAGTCCATCCTGCCGCTCGACTTTCGCATGAAGCTCCACAACAAGGTTGTAGTACTGCTGTTGGGCTCGTCGTTTTCCGTTATTCGCGGTCGCTCTCTGAAATTGGATGCGCTCAAACGTATGCTGGGCCGGCGGATGCGGTGCTTGTAGGGGATATGGGTAGTCCATTTGTTGTGCCATTCCATACATTGGTGCATGCTGTCCTGGAGCGGCAATATTTGAATTCAAATAAAACGGCTGCTGTGGTCGAAGCACCACTCTGTCTGGTTTTTTCTCAGATTTCTTGTCTCGCTTAGGAGTATGTTGAACAAGTTCTCGAGTTTCATTATCCGAGGCATTCACAATTGCTGAGATAGACATGGCAAATCCACTGATTGGTTCCATGTGTTGGCCCTGCGTTGTTTGCAGAAAGTAAGTTGCATGTGGTATGTAAGGCTGTAAACTGTATGAACACGTCACAGAAAAGTAGTTACGGCGGTAACATGTCCATTTCTCGTCTGCTTGAAAAAACCCTTTGTGAATCTTTGCCTCGATAGAGGGCGTTACTTTCTGGTTGTTCACTGTAATATGATGGAAATTCTCGCACTCGTTGAACGGTGGGGCGTCAGGATGTATCTGTCCCGATCGATGCTGTTGCACATAAGGATACATTGAGTTAACTGGGTCAAGAGGGCTCCCAAATCCCGGTTGCATGCTTGAATTGTATGGAAAACGTGAAAAGTCGCTAAGAGGTGTTGGTGGTGACTGAAAAGCGTTCCTGCCCAGGGCGTACGCGCCAGGATAGCTGTCTCTGCTCATGATGGAGTTATTTGCTTGAGAAGACCCACTGCTCTGTAGTGAGCTTGTTGGCGTTGCAGCAGGGTGTCTGTGGGATACCAAAAAATCAGTTCCAAGTCCGCCTTGAACAGAAGGCTGTGCAGGACATACAAAGGAGGAATTCGAGGGTGCGAGGAATATTCCGACATTCTTTGGGACCAAGGATTCACTTGCTGTGGGAAGATCGATGTATGGTTGGAAGCAAGATTATCTGCCGATGTCCCATCAGTTGGACTCATAAGCAGTCCGCCTGGGCTTGGAGTAAATCTATTGAGGCAGATCGAAGTTAGTCAGATGTATTTCCTGTTGCACTGCTGGTGTCTTTTTCTGCTTCTGCTAAGGACGAATCGAAAAGAAAATGCAGAAAGCGAAACATGATAGAAATAGCAGCAGCGAGAAAAAGTCCTGAACGTGTGCGTGTGTATTCACGAGCCTTGGGGAAATGTCATCCAATTACATTGAGGTGGTCTTCTACACGTTTCGACCCAACAGTCGCAGCACTGTTTCGCAAGTTGTATGTCATGTGATTCAATGACGAAGTGGAAAAGGAGGAAATAATAAACACAACCACCTGACCCACGAATGTCGTACTTAAAGAGATAAAAAGAAAGGCGATGCAGAAAAACCAAGGCTAGGCAACACTTACGGAACATCCTGCAGACCAGAGTTTCGTGGGCTATAGGGCAAGCCGTTGGTGGAGTTCGCAACACCTGGATTCGACAAACTATGCCCGATGGACCCGATACGACGGCAATGATTTTCTTCGTCACCTGTGAAGGCGGCTGAGGGCGAAAAAATGCGTTGGGACCCAATACAGTCGCTCCCTGACGACGAGGGTGGGTAGCCTAACTGGAAAGGCTGGCTATGCAACACGGCTGTTGCCAGATGGGCGACGTTAGTCTAGAAGGGCACATCAAGCTGCGGTGTAGAAGGAATGAGGGACGAATATGAAATGACAATAATTAGAACTGTTGGCATGTGAGCCGAAATAAGGAGGGTAATCTCAAAACGAAAGAAGGAGCGAAATAAATATCAATAGCAGATAAAGAAAAGTAGAAGGCTAAATGGGGCAAATGCCTGGAGACAATGAAACGAAAGTGCTCGTCCTAATTGGAGTCGGCGTCAGGGTCCTTTGTGTGACAAGGATGTACACCGGGCTCACAAACTTGCAGCGGCTTTGGGACAGGGGTCCAACCAGAGCAAGGCGGACATGCAACTGCACGTAAGCTGCGATGCTCGAGGCGACCAGAATGACCTTCCAATCAAAATGGGGCATTGCACTGGGAAATCACGCGCCGATATTGCATTGGTAATTTCGACAATGAAATAAGCTTACCTGTGGCGGAATGCATGAGGGCGAACGGGTGTGAAAGTGTCTGTATCTTAAAACGTCTGAGTGAAACTATGCCGGCACAAGGAAAAGGAGGCGTAGGTGATACGTCTGCCGAGAACAAAAAGAGCTTGTTGGGACTTGTGTGCGAGCGGAACTCCGGGTTGTATCTGTGACAAGGCTTGAAGCCTCCAGTGACCCCGTGGTTAGATTAATACTTCATTCGCTTTGATGACGAGTGCGTAGTTTGTCAGAAGCACTTCTTTTCTCTTGGAAGTTGCTGTCGGATGAATATTAGCCATCAACTTTTCCTAGTGGCCTGCAAGAAGAGAGAACGAATAATAAAATAAGTAGGGAACAGGTGCGCAGCGAGAGTAGCAACTCCCCATCAACCCCTCAACAACAAAAAGCAATGAAAGTTCAATAGAAGATGTAGGGTTAGGGTTTGCTGTTGGTAAACGAACAAATAAGCTTGCTTCAAACCGGAAAGGCACAGGGGAAAAGTAGGTGAATATAATGAGCACAATGGAAAAACATAAACACTCCTATTAAGCGCATGCTGCTTCGAACACCTAGGCAATCAATGAAGAATGAAAGTCAACGAACATGCGCGCAAGTCTGCTGTAAAGTTGCAGTTCTTCCACTTCTCTTTCCTGGGCAGCAAGAGACAGCAACAGACGGTAGCTTCTTTTGACAACGGAACAAGAGACCGAATATCAATTGCACATATGGATAAGAGCAGTTAAAGTGAAGAGAAAAATGTACAATTGAAAGGAAAATAAAAACCGGGCTATGCAAGTACACCAAATTACGTGCAACGGAGCTTGGAGGGGAGATGGCCAACAAGGACCGGCAAAAAAAAGAAAAGAAAAGAAAAGAAAGAAACAGTGGACAAACAAGCTGGAAGGACTCGATGGCATACTTACAGTAAACGAGGTCGAGCAATGTAACGACAAAGCGCTCTCTGCCAGGGGCTAACTGCCCAGGACCGGAGATTTTGAACAAATAGTTGTACTCCAGCTGTTATCAAGAGGATATCACGATGTTACGTATGTTGATCTTGTTTCACAAGGTATCGAGGTAAACGGGAAGTGAAGACCATGTAGCGAGAAAAAGTTGTTAGCAATGCTGAAGCTGTTGGTGAATGAGACGGGAGAGGAAGAGGAAGTATCGCCGGAGAAAAAAAAAAATCGAAGTCGGACTTCTGGGTATATAAGTGAAAAGAAAAAATGTTTCAGGACCAGTGTGTTGTCTCTTCGGAGAAGGTCTTGAGTTAAGAAGGAGGGACTCTACGGCCCTGTTATCTGTTTCCCCAATATTGATGGTGGTTAAAGCCTAGCTCCCTCTCTCTTCATCGGGCCCTTGTCCTGGGAGAATAACATCTTGTATGTGACCTTCTAGACACCGTCCAACCCTACGGGATTACCACCATTGACAATGTATTCTGCACGTCAGGAAAGAATAAACCAATGCGTTACCTTCGGTGCACGCACCACTCTCTGAACACACTACATGGATAGGGTAGCCTATGGGTGAAGAATTCGAAAACAGCCAATCACACTGTTCCGTGAGATCAACCCATAGATTTAGAATGGCTTTTCCACACAGATACGGGACGCATATCATCTGGCGGAAAAGAGCAAGGCACCATCCAGGTAAAAGCTGTGGAGACCCGCCAGAGTTGACTGAAGAAGGAAATATCGTGGACATTCGAGAATCCGGCTGTAACAATAAGATGTCTCCGCCTTGACCATGAGTAGCAAAAAGACTGGGTATTATTAAACGGCTAGGCTGCAGTCTTGCAGCTGGGTATCCATAACCAAGAAGTTACCGCGTAGTACTCCATATTCCGGTTGTAGACTATGGCCGGTTCGCTGCAGGAACATGGCTTACTGGGAAGATGGCCTCGATCTGTGCTGTCCAATGGGGACACCGGACATGCAGGAAAATTACAAAGCGTTAGGGGCTATTTGTAATTTCAAAAGTGCCAATGGTAACGCACACCCATGTGTGTGTATGTGTGTGGGAGAGATTGAAAGCGTCAGAGATGGGGAGTGCTATTTTCATTGGCACTGGTGCAGTCACCCGAATGATCGCCCATTTTGGGGCCGCCGCGTGATCGTGAGGAATGCCGAGTCTGCACGTCCCACGCAATTGGAGAGAGAACTGGCAGGCGTCTTGAGTCTCTACCATCGGTGGGCAGAATTGAAAATAATCTCTTCCGGCACCGCCCCCTCCGAATGAATGTTCGATAAATGTCTGTCTCCTTGGGCCCAAAATTCAGATTGCAAGGACACACCACACGCTCATTTCCCCAAAACTGGACGCAAGCTTGGACCGTCGGAACCTGGCGCCTCTCCTCTTTGGGAAAGGGAGAAGATCATCGGAAGCCCGGGTCCAAAGGCTTGTTGACTCTCAAAGTCCAAGAAGTCTAGGACGGGCAAGTATCCGTGTATATTCCAGAATAGGCAAGTAGACATATGTGGTGGCGCTTTGTGACCGATTACGCAACAAACGGTTTCATTACGCTGACGGGGATCTTCGCGCGGTGAAGTTTACCGATAACTTAATAGAGCAAATGCGCACGCACCACTTCTAGGCTGTGTGGCCCGTGACCCGCCATCTATCATTCAACCTTAGGTGCGTGTGTATTATAGATTGCCAAGAAGGAACAGTAGGCTGACATGCTCGTAATGTTTATTTCCCCGGATAGGCCTGCTATTAATACTCGTTGTTATTCTGGGTTCCAATGGGCGGCGAGAAAACGGGTCCACTGTCGGGAATACCAATGACAAAAGCCTTGTCGCAGCAAAGCTACAGTTGTTGCGGGTCTTTTGGTTCGTTCTTAATGACAAATGTTCCACTGGACGGTACAGGTCTAGTGGCAGGCTCGTGCAAATCAGTGGGGTACGGAACGAGTGCGGCTACAAGCTCCTGAAGCTTGATGGGTCCGAACGGCGAAAGAAGCCCAAAATGTTATAGCCGCGGAAGGGCAGCCAGTGGTAAGGCTTGAGACAAGACGCAGAAGCAGTTCTGTCCAATAAAGGGATACGTAGTCGAAGCCTGCAGGAGGTCTGAAAGGCGATACTAGCGTCAAACGAAAAGCGGCAGCATGTGGGTTTGTGTGCCAGGGTCTTTGAAGACTACTCCTTAGACGAAGCGGAGAATGAAAGCATCAGCGATCCACAATACGTGGGAAATTAAGAGTAATAATGTATGATAATTCAGCGGTGGCTCTTCCTTAGTCAGTGCTAACTCACTAGGGCAGTAAGTGACTGCGTTGAGACTTTAGAGTACTTAGCTAGAACTCGTCAATATAACAGATCGAGCGCGAGATTTGTCGTTGGGGCTTGGGAGTGATCGGGCTAGGCTAGGCGGATGATTAGCTTAGGTCAGGGTCTCAGTGGATTCATGCGATGTGGGGGGTGATTTATGTGAGCCTTGGGCCCTTGAGGCAGGGATGGTATGGAGTCGAGGGTGAGTAGAACGCACTGAATATAGAGCACGCCGAGAAGTGGCTGCAGACGGGCGGATTTTCTTCAGTCTTGCAGAGCTAGCGGCTGGTGACGAAGACAGCGGGAGCCACGGTGAGGATCTTCCTCAGGCAGAAGATGATGTGTGCGTGCTGGGGGCGGTGGTGGTGATGCTTGGTTTGGGAGTTGTCGTTGGAGTCGAATTTGGAGACGTCGTGGTATACGAAGGGCAACAGCCCGTAGTACCGACTAGGCAAGTACTGATGGCGAGAGCACCTGCCACCGCTGGAACTTCCTGGATTTAGGTTGGCGCCTTCCTTCCCGCGCGCCGCAGAGGATTTTTTTGATGGGACCGTATGGACCTGCTACTGCAGAACCAGAAGGTGCGGTGCGGTGCAGTACGGTACGGTACGGTACTATCGGTACGCTATCCGTACGTCACGTCACCAGCGGGCCGCTTTCCGGCGCTACTCACTAGCAGCATGTTATAGATCGACGATCGTCGATACTAGTCGATTTGCTTTCTTACGGTACGTACGGCCCTGTATCCGTACCCTCTCCATACTACGAGATCACGTGTCTGTCCTGAACAGACAAATCACAGCAAAGGAAAAGCTACGGAGCATTACTCCTCAGTCCCCAGCCCCAACGACTCAGGTTCTCCTCCCCCATTACACATGCTTTTTCTTTGATCCTCCACCAACTAACCATCCTAGCATAAGCCTTGGTCCCAAAAACCAGAGACTGCTGCAGCTGCGACTGGCCCTTTCTGCACCAGCACAACGGGTCTGCAACGCTGCTGTCTAATGACCAGAAACTCGGACAATGTTCATCTCGGTACATAGTCCGGCCTTCTACTTCCCCCGATCAGATACACTAGTGCAAGCGTTAATTAAGCACCTAAGGCGTTCCCTTTTTTGCCTGTTGATGAATGATGATTGACAGCAAGTGCGTGCCAGAGTAAGTTCCTGTTCAGGCTAGAATCGCCGTTGCTATCCTCTTCGATAACCCGGTTTCTTCTCTCGAGCGAAGCTACTACGTACATACATCCTATTTCTGAAGAAATCGCAATGCCGACATGGGATCCTAGGGTCAAAGATTCAAACTATTGATAGATCAATTTTTGGTTGGGTTTCTTTCTTTATCAAGCCCTCGTCATGACTTGCTTTGGCGTGGGACCGCTAGTTGTGTTGTACCAAAGACACCGCACAATGCAAACCCCCGAGCGCATTCCCTAGCCTACCAGAAAAGCCACGGCTGCCGCAAACCCTGCTCCCCAGGCAGCTTTGCCATACTGCTTACTTGGTCCGCCTATCAACCCCAAATATCGATCTTCTTTTGCCGCGTACAAGGACACAACGGGTGCTACCGAAATGTCCAGAAAAAGCTTTGTCTGAGTATCAACCAACGTGGGCATGACGAACAATCCGCGAGGGAACTGTCATTTTCTTCCCTTCTTTGTTGAAACGAAAATTTAAATTTACATGCAAAAGGTTGCTTCATCTTGGCACAGAGATATGCTTTTTGGAAAGGTTTCCTGTTTGGTTCTACGTGCTCACGTCAACGTGCAGATGGGGTTTGCCTCTTTTTCCTTCTTCTTCTTCCTTTTTGGAAAACGTGCCAATAACCACTAAGCAGGTCGGGATAGGGCGAGCTTCATATCAATCAAGGCCGCCTGGGAGCTATTAGTTGCACGTTTATTGGCTTTGTTCAAAGGCCAACCAGTCGATATTGAAATATTGTCTTAACCACATCAAACATGCTCCTGACGTGCAACGATCTGGTTGGTTTACCTTCTGCAGCCGCAACAGGAACCTTTCCTAACCTATCCTGTAGGATTAGAATATTTGATTTGGTCATGCTCTCGAGCTTCAAAGGAATGACAAGTTGCGGTGAACAATTGACAGATTGTGCAGGTCCTCAACGGCTTAGAACCCAATACCAGAAAGTATCCAACCAGTTAACTACCAATGCCAATCAAACGTCAACCACGGCTTCAAGCCAAAAACGATCCGTTTAGTTTATTTCATCTCGCACTCAATCCAACTGTGATGATACGGCGTCATATTAGCTCCCTCGAACAGGGGCTAGAAGTTTGATAAACAAAGCCGTGAGTTTTTCAAGCTAATCAAACGCGGATGAACAGTTCCGAGGTCAAAGCTCTAGAAGAAAGGTAGCATACCCGCCTCCCTGCAGCGCACAGTGTAGGGCATGAGCGGTGTAACCCGACAAGGCATGAGGTAAAAAAAGGGCCTAACCTATAATCTTTCTTTGTCTGTCCAGAGAGAGCTGGACGTTATTGACATGCTTGTCTTAATGGGTAGGGTAAGCCCATACCAAAACAAAAGGCGTCACGCTATTCTGTTCAGGATTCCAAATTCGAACAACCACTAGTATTCTATTTTTGAGTGCTCTACACCGTAATTTCAAAGGCGAAAAACAGGAACTTCAACTTGGGTGTACACAACGCAAGATCGGAAGATTAATTTCATGCGTGTCTAGACATGTGTGACTCTGACCAACATGAGTTCTAGTGGTTACACGCCTAGATGTCTCCGTCCGTTGAAAGACATGACTCTCTTCTCCTATAAGAAATTGTTCCTGTCAATGGCAATGTCCTAAACCAAGCAACCTGTGTGACTCTGCTGTCAACCTAGATACACGAGCAGCACAGCAAGGTAAGTATTCCATGTGTTTTTTCTTTTCTTTTTATCCCTTTAGGTTTTAATTAAAGTAATGTAGCACCAAATACAACTCAAACTCAGCCTCCGCGGGGGGAAGCAGAGGCATAGTTAACTAGTCTTTCTATCGCTGCTGAGGAGAAAATAAAAAGAACCAAACCCTGAACGTATATAATTCGTTCTAAATAGGCAAAAGGAGCCATTTTTCTCAGCCAAGAAGATTCAACAAACTCCATTTTCTCCGACGATGAGGTTGGCTTTAGGTTCGACCAAATCTTCTTGACGTATCAGGCAAAAGAAAGAGCCATACATATGTCTAGGCACATGGATCTCATCACATGCCAGTCTATTTTTGATATGCCAAAGTAGATTGATAATACTACGTACTTCGGTTCGGGGCTTGGACGGAATAATCAGTCGATCCGTCTGTCTGCCTAGCTAGATAGATAGATAGATAGATGACTGGTTGGATCCATGCATCCGTCCGTTTTTCTTGTGCGGCTTGTTCAGAATCTCGTGGAAACAAAGATGTTGATTTCTTTTCAACCCATGGCAAACTTCTAGACATGACTCAGTCGAGACTATGGCTAGGTAGCCCTTGGTTTCATTCCTCTTACCGCCACATACTGGGCAAGACAATATGTGAATCCTGATCCATGTCAGAAGTTGAAAAAATGGTATGAATTCCAAATACTTTGCCTCGCCTTTTCTTGCCTTGCCTTACTTTGCCCAGGCAAAAATATTGTCATCATTCATCCTTCCAACTGGGCTGTGTTTTGGATCAGTCTGGATCTTTTAACTATGTCTACGGATTAATCTACTCCGAATTATGAGCATTTCGTTTTATTCCCGGAGCTGTGATATGTGCTGTTGGAGAAGGGATTTTGAATGTTTCGGGTGTCTTGGTAGATACCTAGATTTGTAGTATAGGAGGGCTCCGAGTATATCAAAGATGTACCTAAGTAGTAATAGTGGTTATGCGAGGAATAGTAGCTCCATGTTCAACGGTATTTGATATACGCAAGACTTCGATCTGCGTATCTGCCCCAAGGACTAGCTAGGTACGTAGCTAGTCGTTTTATAACGTCTAAGGTTATCTGTAGAAATGAACTGAGTGAGAGACAGATATATAAAGTTAGAGTAGCTGATAGCAGTCTTTTATGGTGGTGTTTGATTTCTACTTCGTGATTTCACGGCGGACCAACCCTTGCACCAAAAAGCATACAAAAGCCTTACGGTGGTTGCACGATATATAGGTACTACTTCAACTACAGTACTCAATATGGATACTATATAGGCATCCACTTTCCTCTACTCAATAATAATAAGTTGAAACCTTTCAGCTTAAGCAGCCAGCTAGTTTATGTGTAATATGGTCATTAATCAAACTGTCTCTGGATCTCGGTCTTGTCCTTCAAGCCAACAACTAATCACCAATGCCATGGACTTGCTTTGCTATAATTATCTAACGTTTTCGCCTCAAACTTGACGCCGTAATCCTTACATGCATTCTCCACTTGATCATAGACTGGCTTATCATTGTCCCGGGACTCCCGCCAATTATCCAGGGTAATTTGCGAAAGATTTGGAGCATGCAGATATGCTCTTGATACGAAATCCTGTAGTTGCTGACTGAGAGTATTCCTTAATCTTAGCCCTCTATCATAGTAGAAACCCAGCAATTGAATATTCGGCGGTAGGGTGTCTGTCAAACTACCTTCATCACCCAGAAGAACGCTTGATTGAATGTAGAGGCGCTCCAGGCGCTTGAATCCTCGCAGGGAACCAAAATGTGAATTATCTGGATCGTCCAAGACTCCAGCTTCAGCTCGAAGGACATCCAAATACTCGATAGAACCTTTATATTTTCGTATGGCGTTCCATAGGTCGGTATTAGAGAGCCGATAGCCTCTTCTCAAATAGACTGACAGCCGAGTCAATTTCTTCGGCAAAGCAAGAAGGATGAATGAGTCAGGAGTTCCAAGGCAGTGGTCAGATTCGGTGTTGAGGACCAGATTCAAATCCGTGACGCTGGACGCTTCGAAAATGTTCCCGAAGTCTTCCGAATAGTCAGCTCTTGAGGCCCATCGTGCGGTTTGAAGTCAGAAACCGACAACCGTCGGATGGCTGGCAATTGGAATATTGGCCACAGTAAATTGACCTGAATATACTGGGGATATTTGCATTCGTAACATTTCCAAGGAGTACATTCAAGGTAGACCTCACGGAGGTTTTGCAGAGGATAATGGCCATTCCCACGATGCTGGTTTCGTTGACATTCAACTGCGACTCGAAGGACTCCTGCAAGAAACACATCCGTATGTGGGAGACTTGCATGGAAGATCCGTAAATTTCGTACATTTGCCAACAGAAGCGCGGGCAAAGGCTTCGGGTCTGCATTGTTGATGGCGTTGATGACATCAGGCTTGATATGAGCAAGTCCTGCCGAGCAAATTGCCTTTCGGATTATGTCGCGATCGCCTGGAGATAGGGCAAGATAATTGAATAAAAATATTTATCAAGATCAAATGTCGTGTATCGAATCTCCTGAACAGTATCCGCAATCTGCTTATTGCACAGTATGGTGCGAAGAAATTTCCATAATGACGAAACGGAATCATCATTGCAGTTGTATTGCCATGCTGAGTAGATCTGTTCAATCAAGAAGGCGTGCCACCGGCTAGAAACAAGTGAAAGATTACAGAGAGCCCTGTAATCTGTTCCATCGTCTCGGTCCTTTATATGGCTTATTATCATAAGAAGAAGTTCATCCGGTAAATGCATAGGATCCGGCATTTGGGGTTCGTTTAGAGTTCTATGCAAATGTAATAAAAAAAGAATGTAAAGTGGGAGAGAATAGGTATCATACAGAGGCAGCAACCGGGATATATATATAAATCTTGCCGACAAAAAGAATCTGAATAGACAAGAGATACTGGGCACAGATCTCATTGTACTCTCAGTTAAGGCTTTGTATCTGATAACTTCAAAGATGCACATTGTACCATTTAAAGAGACGGGAATAGATAAAGGAGAGAAAACAACCCTGAAAGAGTGTCTTACCCTTGCAAAAAGAAGTCTTTTCACCTAGAAACTGATTCTCCTTTCTTTCAATTTAGAAGATCTCGCCGCTACATACCAGCTTGGAAAAAATCTGGTATAGATATAGATATGTTATTGAAATGTGAAACTGCTGGAGCCTATTCATACACAACAAGGAATAACTGATGTAGCTGCATATCAACCTAGCCATCATTTAGGATGTTCCTTATTTTTATGGCGTGTAGGTCTGAGGCATTCGATTATAGAGCATGGAAAACAGATCAGCCATTAAGCCACGCGCTGGCCGGTTAGTGAGCAGGAGTAAGCATGTTGATAGCATTATGAAGTCTCGGTGATTGCCCAGCATTGCTTGACAATGGAAGATGGTTTTTTACATAATATCAGGTAAAAGTAAAAGGCGATGAATGCTAGGGGCTGCACATTTCATTTACATATAGCATACCTAGGTACATATAATTTGATTAAAGAAAACTTCTAAAAGGTCATCACCAGTCTCAACCTAATCAACAGAGACCAGTTTCATACTCATAAGCATAATTTATGTGAGCCATTGCAAAAGAAAGAAGAATTTTGTGAGAATGAAAGAATGACAAAAAGCTTTTTTTTTTATGAAGTCCTCTTGGCAAATTCCACTCGCAAAATGAGATGGCGATATCCAACTGAAAGAAGGAAATATGTCAGCAACCATTTATATAAAACCAGCAAGACTGAAGGGGGAAACTTACATCCGTCCACCTTTTCACACGCGCGAGCTGCATCACTGCGGTCTGCAAAACTGATAAATGCAAATCCCTTTGCCCGTTGTGTATCTCTGTCGCGTGCAAGGAAAACTCTGGTGACACGGCCAAATCGTTCGAATAGATCGCGGAGTTCCTGCTCCTCGGCCAATTCGGAGACCTACACAGATATATCAGTTTGCTGCTGAAACTAAATAAACAGGGGGAGGGGGGGAAGAAAGAGATCTCACGTTTGTAACTCTGAGTGTAGCAAGATCGTCTCTCTCGTACTTGCCACCGCCGCCACCTGCAGCAGCGGCCGCAGCAACAGCGCCGCCTTTGCGCAGATGAGGAGGAACATAACTACCACCAGCCGTACTCAATCCACCCGCAGCAGGTTCATCCTCAACATCCAGACCTGCAGCAACAGCTGCTGCTGCACTGCCAGAGCCCTCGTCGACAGGCGCCATAGTATCCTTGAAGGGACACCGAGCTGTGAAATGCTCTCCCTGACAAATACGACATTTGACCTTCTTATCCCTCAGTTGATCCTTCACGCCTCCCTTCTCGCCTTCCTTCTCAGCCTCCTTGGCATGCACTTTCCAGTTGACGCTAGGACGGAAAACAATGTTCTCGCCAACAGAGGTGGTATCAAATGAAGGTCCTGGGGCGTGTCCCTTCTCGAGTCCGAATTTGCTCCATGATCGGCGCTCTGCGACCTGTGGGTTGACGTGCTCTTTGACTACTGTTGTGCGGATTCGGCGTGTGACTTTGACTTTTTTCCCGTCGTCATTGAAGCGGTATGAGACAATGGTCTTGGTGCCATCCTTGTTGGTTGTAATTTGTTGCGCGGGGAGTGCGGAGGGGTCGTCAAACTCCTCGTCGTCGGCCCAGTCAGCGGCGCGGCTTTAGAGAAAAAAAAAAGGTTAGTTCTCTTTCCTTATACTTAAATGGGGGTTCAGGATATGTGATGCATACTTCTCGAGCTTCGACATGGTTGCTGCGTGGAATGCTGAATGTGATGGTTTCACGTCTCAAATTTCTCGATGTCGGAGCGGAGGCGTTGTGGATTTCATTTTCTTAGCACTAGCATCGGTGGCGCGGCTGCTGTGGCTGGTGCTAGCGAATGGGCACGTGATCTGCCCAAACTTTCTTCAAACACCCACCGTTGAATCTAGCCCTAACTTGAGAAGCAGATATGTTCGCGTGAAGCGTGTCTCAAGTAGTGGTTTCGAAACGACTATTTAAGAATAAGTAGCATTTTTCCTTATCCAAAAACAAATGCATCTATCGAGTCTCTACGGGCAACCGAGTAATTGGAACAGCTGTTGAAAATCTACCTACGAGCTATGATCTCAAATCTGGAAGGTTTAATATGTTCCGAATGATTATGGATAGAGCTGACGTGACTGCTTTTGAAATGATGAAATTCTATTGATTACACGAATATGGCTACGCCATGTCTAGGGTATAACTTGTTGTTATATAAAACACAGATAACGGAAAAGATATGCAAAAATATTATATATTAACCCCCCTCATCATCATGCCTTACCGCCCAAAATACCTGATTTCAAGAGGACGAGTAACCAGATAGGCAAAAGCGGCAAACGCGAAACTCAACTCAAACCCAACATCTCCACCATACGGAGCCTCACCGGCATAAAGTGCAATGGGGCCCACCCACCAGGTCTGACTCATGCCAGTAACCATACCGGCAACTCCGCAACAGAAAGAAAACGTGGCAGCGATTCCGGGTGGTAGTTTGTCGGGTTGGTCGTAAATATCCAAGTCGTATCCAGAGAATCCACGCTTGAAGACGAAGTGGTCGGTTATAGCAATGCCTTCGTAAATGGCGAGCCAGTAGCCAATGATATCCATGAAGTTCTCCAGCACGGCTTCGTAGTGTGAGTAACCGGGGATAGCTATGGCAATGGTAACACCAGTACAGATGATGGTCCAGATGAAACGCGGTACTTTGCGGGTCCATCGGGCCAAGACCATGAGAGTAAGACCGACAGAGTAGATATTCGGGCAGTTGTTGGCGATAATAGACAGGGACAGGATGACAAGACAGAACTTGCCAAAGCCGCCCAAGGGACCAACAAGCACGGCTGCCATAAGACCTCCAGTTCCAGAATCAGCATAGCCTGCGGCATATTTGTTATCACCACCGTTGATGGAAGTGGCAGTCATAACGGCGACACCCAGCATCTCCACGAACAGCAAAGGGAACAGCAGACCGAGAGCCGTCGCGAAGAAGAGCTTGGCTCTGCTTTGTCTCGCCGGTTGGTAGACGGTGTAATCAGCGGCATAACTAGTCCAACCAGTCGCATATCCGAAAACAGTTGCACCGTATGAGAGAACGTCACCCAATTCAGCCTTCCCAACATCCATGGGGATATTTCTGAAATCTCCAGAATGAGCAAAAACTCCAAGCACAATCATAAAAACAATGAAGGTTGGAATCCAGCTCCAGAATTCGTAGGCGTGAACAACTTTGTAGCCGAAAAAGGTGATCACCATAGTACACACGGCAATGATAATAAGACCAGCGTAGCCCGGAACGTCATCATTCACTGCGTGGAGTAATTGGGCCCCGACAATCGAGTTCGCACATGACCAGCCGATGCAAGCAAGCACGTTGAAGCAAGCGACTGCAAGAAAAAAGCCATTAGCACAGTCTTCCCCAGAATTGACCGACAGACTATATGGTACATACTGATTTTGACGCCCCACCAACCAAACCAATACCGCGAGACGACCATTTGACGCAGACCAAACTCAGCGCCGTAGATGGTGAAGAAACAGACTGTCAAGACACCGAGAATGTTGAAGAATAGGGTGGTCAGGATACCATCGACAAAGCCCAGGTAGAAGAGCGACTGTGCGAGGACACCGATTGCGAACGAAGTAACGACCATGTTGGCGGCGAGCCACTTTATGTCAAAGAACACAAGTCTCAGTATGTGACTGGTCAAACAGCTGTATGCTGTCCGAGAGCTTTTTTTTTTTTTTCACTTGATTATCAAATTCAAACGCACCATGCTTCCCACGTTCAATAACGAGGTATCCGTCCGCTCATTCTCCGGCACGCGCTCGACACCTCGCTGCTCGACATCGAGTTTTCCAGCGAAACGCTGCAACCTAGCGTACAAAGAATCGCCATATTCGAAGCTCTCGCCAGGGACGGCGCCCGGGTGGTCCTCGTAATAATTGTTGGCGGGGTTCTTCTCGACGTCGCTTCCAGCCATTGCGGCGGTATGTACGGAGAAAGGGTAGGGGAGGGAGAGAGAAAAAGAGGGGCAATGCAACCTGTGCAGTCCAATGTCAAGTCCAAGCAAGAACGAGAGGACACGGAGCACACATTCACAGAATTGGCTAAGGACGAGAACAGAACAGAAGACGAGGAAGGAAGAAGGGCTTCTGATTTTTTTTATACAAGTCGCGTGTGTGCCATAATTTTCCTGGCGGAACAGCCAATTGGCCCGTTGGTATCAGCAGGGCCCACGAGGGTCCGAGGAAGGTAGCATCCCAGCCCATCTAGAAGGAGCGGGCCATTATCAGCAAGAAGTGGCCACCGCCGGCGGCAAGCCAATCAGCGGTCGCAGCGGGATCCCCTGTCGCGTGGGCGTTCACGGCGCTAGGCTCGTCCTGGCCGGGGCAGCCGATGCAAGCCGGCCGCTGATTGGTGGCGCATCAAGCGTATCGACTGTGGCGCTGATAAGGCCACCTTGAACAATCCGGCCAATCGGGGCGCGGCTATTGTATTAATAGGAATGACAGAGATAACGTACACACTGCACAGCTTTTAGTTATCTGACCAGTTGACAGCTTCGGCCGCTCCCGCCCCTCTGCTTCGATTCCATCTACTATGCACTATTTAGTACTTAGTCCGTCCTAGGATCGATGTCGACCTATATCCATGCCGTGCTGTACGGGGTACGCTGCTGCTGGAGTGACGCAAGACGTCGAAAGAAAGAACGGGCCTCACCGATGTGCTACCAGTTCGTTGTTGACGGCGACTTGCTTCGTTTAGCTTAGCGTTTCTATGTGCGCCTCGTGTTTGTGGGGTTCAATATATTGTTGCTTGCTCTGTATCTTCAGTCACCTGATTGAGGAGCATGCGTTCTATTTCCGACTCAGTTCCAGCCTGACTCTGGCTGTTTCAATGCTGCAGCGTCTTGCTCTCGCTCTCTTGAATAGAGACTACCGTCCTGAGAGCTATGTTTGCCAAAAAAAAAAAAAAAACTAAGAATGGCTCTGAATCGTTGAGCTATTGACCTGAAACTCTTGCGGCATGCTGATCAGAGAGCATGGAGCTACAAAATACCAGGACAAGAAGAGAGCGTTTCGACAGGTCACGCATATGCATTTAAAGCTTATTAGTGAAGACTTCCTATGTTGGGATGTTACGGCAGCAATAATTACCAAATGCTGTGGACGGCATATGGCTCCGTTGCGTGATGGGCGGCCATTGACCATTATGAGCATCCCATGCGGCAGGCCATTGCGTACCTCGAAGCGCTCGCATGGCTGCTCCAGATCATATAGCTGAAGGGACCACAAGAAACCTCTTTATCAAACAGGGGCTGATACGAGGACTGACCACCAACGTTAGTCATGCTATTAAGTAATTTCCGAATTCCTAGTCCTGATCCTATCTGAAAATCGTCGCCAATGGCTCAATGTATTCACTAGCTCCTACTTCCAGCCAGTAAGTTCCATAAATATCTTTAATCCTTCTCTCACAAGTGACAATTAATCCACGAGGCATCACAAAGCTTGCGCTTTACCAGTCGCTTTCCCATAATGCCGGCTGCAAAGACCATCTTTCCTTACATTATTCCTTTTCTCAGTAATCTGGAGACCCATGAATATATGCTCAATAGAAGTTATAGATTAGAAGTTGATTTAAGCCGTCAACCTTTTGGCTCAACACCACGATTTGGATCGATATTGCCAATCTAGGCAGGCACCCGGGCTTCGCCGAGGAAGCTTCACTGCAGCTTCTGCTTGGGGATAGGTTAGGCAAATAATATGACAGAAATAAATGAGAACTATATCATAATATGCTTTCTCTATACACCCATCCTAAGTGTCATAGCCTTAGGGAATGGAGACCTAGTAGCCTAATGATAGATACGCACGTGGAGTTACAATTGCTTGCATCAGCCACAGGGATCGACACCATCTGAAACTACCCAAGATCTCCGGCAGATCTCGCCACAACAGCGGCCGGCTCCGTGTTGTTATACATGCGCTGTAGGAGATCCATGACTCAGGACATAACTCCAGCATGCCCAATTTTGAGGCATCACAACTTTAGTTATTCGCGACATGCGCTAAGATGATGCATACATATCATTATCGCATCCAGGAACTAGATTCTGTAGATGAATGAAACAATTTGATAACAATATCTGTCAATCTGGGGACTTCCCCGACATTCCATGAAAACAACGGAGCAGAGGCTGCTACCCGAATAGGAACATTCTTAGGGCTCCAGCCCTGTTCCGCCCCACGTGACCTACTAACCCATTCCGGGACGCCAGTTCTCGCTAACCCACTGATTGGCAAAAGCCAAAATGCCAAGACCAATCTACAAATGGGGTTAAGGGCACACACAAAACTCTCCTCGCGGTTAATGCTTTACCGACTCTTTCCACGCCGACTTCAAAGCAAACCACCCACGCCAGTTCGTTTTCCCTCGTCCTCGTTCCTTACGGTCGAAAAAGAAAAAAAGAACACCGGTCAACAAAAATGTCGCACGAGTCCGTCTGGTACAGTCGCCCACGCACATACGGCAAGGGCAGCCGTCAATGGTAAGGATGCCGATTCCTTTTTTATTTATACACTTTTCTGCGCTAGGATGTTCTGCAAGAGGAGGATGGGCATGATGAAGAGGCAAGAGATGGGAAAACTTCAGGGTTTGGAATTGAAAGAAAAGGAAGGAAAAAAATACATTGGACTATTGCCAGTGCAGAAAGAGCATTGCATATATACATCATGTACGAATGTACATGTTCATATATACAATGGGGAAGGAATATCCCCCAAATCCTATGGACAGCGGCAAAAGTTCTAAAATACGGGAACAAATTTGGGAATGAAAACAGGAAGGAAACCAACACGTGGAAATGCATAAATTGCTAACATTTTCGTTTTCTCAACAGCCGCGTTTGCGCTCACAAGGCCGGTCTTATCCGCAAGTACGGTCTTTTGGTTTGCCGTCAGGTCAGTTCTTTCGCCCTCTGATCCGCGATGGTCATGGATTCATAAATAATGGAATGGGATTGACAATAAATATGTATAGTGCTTCCGTGAGAAGTCCGCAGACATTGGATTCGTCAAGTACCGATAAACGCATGCGCTTTCGATGAATCAATTAAAAAAAAGAAAAAGACACTTCAATTTCTGAAAAAGCGAACGGGGGATTATTTAAATCTTTCTTTCTACTTCCTTTCTATTGCATGCGTATACGTCCATGCTACTCGTGCCGATGGATGAATGATGGGTGATGGGTGATTGATGAGGAAATCTTTCGCTCAAAATATTTGGAAATGGAAACGGAAAATAGAAAATGGAAGCTAATTTATGGGATGTTTTTTCCTTTTTTTTTTAACATACACTCTGTGGTCAAATTTCACCTGTTTCATGACACGATAAGAATATCAACACATGTTATGTTATGAATCTAGTAGGGCAAACATCCTTCTGACTTTCTTGTTATTATGACTTTTAAGGATCTCAATTTCTGGTCTCGAAATGGAGAAATGATATAAGGAAGCTTGTCTTTTATCCTAGTACATAACACCTGTTTTCTAGTAGATCGATTGGTTTGAATACCTATAGAGACAAGATAGGCACATGCGTGTACGTTACGAAATTGAATATGGCAACTTCCAGTTGGTCGTAAGTCACAAGACTGCCGTCGTTGTATGAACCATCGACTTTGCACGACTAATAATTATAACATGCAATACATACGTATATCAATACAGAAAGAAAAATGTTATTTACAATTTAGCAATTAGTTTGTTTCCCTTTTGTAACCAAGCAACGGCGTCTGTGACAAGTTCATCGACAATAGCCTTTGCAGGCTTCTTTTCGGTGACAACCGCCGCAACCTTGCCCATGAGGAATGGACGGGCATTGTCCAAGGTCTCATCGTCGACGTCGTCGGGAAGATTTTCAAGGTCGTGCTCGACGGGGACTATGCCCTTAGAGGTCAGGTCTTTGATCTCTTGGGTACGGTTCTCTTCCCAATTCTGGATGTATGAGTTGTTACGCACACGCAGAGGGCGGCCCTGGATGTACACGTTAGTACTGCTGAAAGAATATAGGAAGATGAGTGTTAGATCTCCATACAGTGAAAATAATCGTTCGGATGTTGTCATCAAAACCAGCAGTGCGAACAGCTTCCTTGTGAGCCTCTGGAGCACCAGCCTCGTCACACAGAATGAATCGAGTTCCAATCCAAACAGCAGAGGCACCAAGCATCAAAGCGGCAGCAACGGACTGGCCGTTGAACAGACCACCTGCGGCGATGACCTGCACAGGCTGGCCAGTGAGGGGGCTCTTATGGCCCTGCACCAGCTTGGCGACGGTAGGAATAAGGACGGTGGTAGGAACATCACCAGTGTGACCACCACCTTCACCACCTTGCGCGCAGATAATATCAGCACCAAGCTCGAGGCACTTCTTGACATGCTTGGGGTGTCCAATCATGTTCATGTATAGGACACCGCCCTTGTGCAGTTTCTCGACAACGTGCTTCGGCGGAACGCCGACGGCGCACACGAAAAGCTTAGTGCCGCTTTCAACGATAATATCAATAAGCTCATCAAGCTTTCCCTTGGTGTAGTCATGGCTGGAAAACAGAGTAATTCCGAATTAGTAACCCGCGCGGCGTTTTGCATGTGATACCAACCAACATCGGACAACATACTTGGTCTTTCGCGCATTGCCGCCAACTTGCGGCAAAAGAAGGTCGACACCAAATGGCGCATTCTTGTCCACGAGATATGACTTCAATTCGGCTATTTGCTCCTTGAGCATCTCGGGAGTGTACCCCAGACCGCCAATGACGCCGAGACCTCCAGCATTGGTGACGGCGGCCGCTAGCTTTGGTCCTGCGGCCACGTTCATGCCTGCCAGGAGGATGGGGTGGTTGATCTTTAGCAGATCGGTGGTAGTAGTACGAAGTTGCTCTAAAGTCATAATTCCACATATCGTCAGTTTGTTTCATACTGGAAAGTAATAGCTAGCCTAGTCTTTTGCCAGAAGGCGGGGAATATACTCACGTGGAGAAGCCATGGCGAATAAATGATATGTGATAAAAACGGCTTGACTAGGTGATGTTGGGTGTATTATGTCAAGGAGGATATGTCTGAAAAGGAGATGAGAGAATGTAGGTATACGAAGGAGAGATGTCAAGTCGTCCGACGGCCGAGGCACTGTGCTTGGTTGAGCTACTTCTGGCAGGTGACGCTTTGCCTCGGCAAGTTTCCTGTGGAGAAAGCTGGGGAAGCGCTACACACGTTTTGATTGGTCCTTGCTCAATTTAGAAATGTATTATCTAATCAGTTCTAACTGGTCGCCTCAGGCATCAATTTGATGGCTTCCTTTCAAACTTCCGAGGCTTAAGACAGAAAGCTACCGTTCAAACCAGAGATTGACGGCTTGAGGAAATAAGGATCCTCATCTATCCGTTTCCGAAGCTCGCCTGTAGCCAGCTCTTCAACATCCCAGGACGCCCAAGCAAACCGGCCGTGCAAGAACTGTGCCTCATCGCTGGCAGCCCAGACTGCAAACCCACCGCAGAGATCGTCTAGATAAATTTTTAGCATGTGGTAAAAAAAAAAAAAAAAGAAAAACTACCAGCAATATTTTGGAAAAGCACAGTACTAACCACTCTCGAAAAGATCTCGGGGAATGTTGAGACCTGCGGCTGCCCATCCAGTGCTGTAAATCATGCCTGGATGAAAGCTAATCACCTGCATCTTCTCTGGCGCCACACTCTGAGCAGTGAGTTGGAAGAAAAAGGTGCCCGCCATTTTTGTAAGAGAGTAGGCAGGACGGTCGCTCACTCCTGGATATGCCGTCATGTGAATCACGGAAGATGACACATTAATCAAATACTAGCAATTCAAGAGCTTAGCCACGCAATCTGGTTGTCTGTTGTACGTAGCCTGGAGAGATTACCTTTTTCTTGTCACTAGGTTGGGAATAGAATTTCTCCGTAAGATAAATGGAAGCTTTGACGTTGACTTCAAATCTGGACCAGACCTCGTCTGCTCCAAGTTTCAACATCGACTTTGCCTCCGTGCTCCTTCCCACATTGGCAACAAGAACGTCGACTGTGATTCCCTGGAAAGCAAGGTACTCCCAGAGGTAGTTCACCTGAGCTAAATCGACAATATCACATGAGCGGGTGATGATCTTTGTAGTCGTGCCGACCTTTTTGGCTTCTTCCTGGAGATTCAAGGCGGTCTCTTCCAACACCTCCAAACGGCGCCCGATGATGATAACAGTGTCTGCTGAAGCTCGAACAAATGACTTGGCAATATGGGAGCCCACACCCGTACCACCACCGGTAATAAGGACAGTCTTCCCAGCCTGATTCAACTCAGGTCTTGAAGGGGAGATGGCTGGGTATACATCGCGATGGACGGTCTTGGTGACGTTTGTATCAGTGAGCCCTTTGAAAACTTGGAGCAAAACTCCTGGGTCCATCTTGAATGATTGCGAATAGTGTATTTATCCGGTATCGAAATGCAAAATGATAGAACTTGTTAACCAGCGAACTTCGTACGCAAGTTAATCATGCCGGCGGGATGGCCGTAGTACTTATAGCACTCCCGCCTCCAAAGGAGTGCGTTGTAGAATTGAGGCAACTGACCCATGTCTGAGCAATCCGCACTCCATGCCGCCGTACTTGTAATCATTGTAAAGGCACAGCGTCCGCGCTCCGCAAGGAACAGACGGACAAACTTGGGCCGACGCCATCTACTTTGCGGAGACTAACCCAGAATGATTAGCGCCCGCCAAAGCTTCGATCTCGGATGATCGGATCGCGGCCTTAGTAATGATTAATTCGACCGCAGGTGAGGTTTCCTTCCCATGCTGCAACGGATCTTTGATACTTTCTTTGCGGAACCTTTCGCAGAGCTCTATCAGAACATGGAACAGAGGGCATGCAAATCCTGTGCTAGGGCAAAGCGGAGGTGTGACAAGCAGGGACCACAGTGCTCGAGGTGCCGCAGGCGAGGCATCCAATGCACCTACCCTACAGCAAAGCGAACTGCCTTCGTCCTTTGCAAAGAAGATACTACTAGTAGTAGTAGTAGTGGCCATCATCATGTGCACGATGTCTTTGGTCATGAAGTCATAGGAGATTCCGCTAACAAACTGTCACAAAACGAAACCCAGCCAGTTTCTGATTGGCTCGACTCGTCATCGCTGGACACGTGGAATCTAGGGTTCCTCAGTTTGCCGGTTTCGCCTCGATCAGTACCTAGCGAGCAATTGGTGCGTTATGTCGCCATGCTCCGTGAGTGGCTTACTCAATGGGTGGAACAAGGGAGCAATCCGTTTATTCACGCTTTTCTGTATCGGACGTACATGCCGCCATGCGTTCAGGATGCTTATACAGCATTCTCATCGTATCATCATAAGAAACTGTCCAACGAGCAGATGATATTTCGAATTATTGAGGACCGTGCTAAGCAGCTAATAGCTTCTGAGGGCATACCCGCCCCCAAGGCTTCAAATTTCAATCTCAACTCCCTTGAACATCTGGCTAGGGTACAGTCTTTGATTGTCTACCAAATCATAGGACTTTTTGATGGAGACATTCGACTACGACATTTTGCAGAAAGCCAGATACCGATGCTTGATAATTGGGTACAGGCGATGGTTGCGCATGCCGCTGAAATGGTCTCCTCAAGTGGCGGTACGAATTTATGTTCTCGCGAGCAGCTCCAACAGTATATTGGCACGGATCTGGACATTACCAGCCACGAAAATCTCGACTGGTACTCCTGGATACTCTCTGAAAGCATCCAGCGTACGTGGATGATAGCCTCGGGCATTCACGCCATCTACTTGATGATGCAGCAAAGCGTGTCGCGCCCCTGTCTTGGTTACACGGTGTTTAGCACGCGACCTGGCATTTGGGAGGCCCCTTCAGCTGTGACTTGGAGCAAAGTCTGCTTGGAAAGAAACACCGGCTTGGTGCAGATGGCAGACGCAGATCGGCTATTTTCGGAAGCGGCACCGGAAGATGTCAATGAGTTTACGAAAGTATTCTTACAGGCGACATTTGGTGCGGAGAGGATGGAAAGATGGATTACTCATGCCAAAGACCAGAGATGAGCTATCGATTGCGTTCAATAAACCCGTGTTTCGCTTGAACTATGCGTTCTTCAACATGGTACAGCTTGGCTCTTTCGGACCTTCTCCGAAAGTAGTAGGTAGCCTGTTTCCACGGTTGTGTTTCATTGAAAAATATCACTACGAACGGCACATTTCCTCTTCAAAAACGAAGGTTTTCGCAACAGACCTTCTTGCAAAGGCCAATATTTCGAGCTGGTCGCTCGTTCATTATTCCAGTCTTCACGTTAGCCAGTTCCCCCCCCTTTACCAGAGCTCTAGCTAAACTATTTACCTTTCACACCCTTCTCCTCATCTTCAGGTGGGTGCGGCGTCTCGTCCGTCGGCGCGAACTTGGACCGCGCTCTGATCGCGGCGCCGTACTTGTAGAATACGAAAGGCATGGGCATCAGCAGCACGCCCACGCCTCCAATGAGCGAGCCAGCCCCGCCCACGCCGAGCGCGTCGAACATGTACTGCGTGAAGAGTGGTGAGGCCGCGGCGCAGGCTGACCGCAGCACGGTGTTCGCTGCCATGGCGGACGCGGCGTACATCAGGTACGAGTCGATGACATAGTTGATGAAGACAACGAAGATGAGCAGAATTGACATTGCGAGGAATATACCCGCCACGGTTGGCACAGCCCAATGGACCGACTTGTATTCAGCCGTCCAAGCGAACCAAAATATCGTCACGGCGAATATGACCCCGCCGACCATTGCGGCAGGAAGGCGATCTTCTGGTACTGGTGTGCGATTGTGGAAGCGCTTTTTCTGGGTTACTTGGCTAGTGATGAACAGTGCGAGGCCACCGAGACACGCACCTAGAACTGTGCCGATCAGTGGCAGTTCACCGACGCCGGCGTTCCAACCTCGTTTTTGCTGGAAGACAGTCGGGTAGATGCTGAAGAGCATGTACAGCAAAGTATAGACGACTGCGTAATATATGGCGACAAAGAAACTGATTGGGTCGATGAGCAGTCTCCAAGGCCTCGTTAGGGCGACCTTAAAGATGCCTCCCAGGGAACGATCCGACGCCTCGACTGGAGCCTTGACGCTCTCCTGGCCTGGTATTTTGCGTATGCAACGGGCCTTGTTGCGCAAGATCATCATTGGAAGTGTCTCCGGAAGAGTTATGAGCAGAAGCTCGATGGCACCGGCCATCCAGAGCAGGACGTAGAAGGTCCAACGCCACGTCTCTTCTAGTTGGAGAAATCCACTGATCACTGGGCCAAGAGCGGGTCCCACGAATGTCATTGTAGCAAACAGGATCATGGCATTGCCACGCTCGACCGGACCCCAGATGTCAGCGAGGATGCCCGGCGCATTCGTCAGGGCAGCACTAGCAGCCGTGCCAGTCAGGAAACGGCCGAACAAGAGACCGGTGAAATTCGGCGTAAAGGCGCAGAGGAAACTAAAGGCGAGGTAGATGGTGAAGGAGATATAAAAGATCCAACGACGGCCGTAGAACTCGGACAGAGGTGCCCAAAAGAGCGGGCCTGCGCAGTAGCCTAGAAGAAAGAGGGTGGTAACAAGGCCAGCGGCTTCGGCAGAGACGTGGAGGTCGTCACTGATGCCCTGGAAAGTTCCGGATGGTGCAGACGAGCAGAAAGTGGCATTGATTACGAGAGAGATAGCAACGGCCGTGATGTAGCACTTGCGTCCAAACGAGTAGTTCTTCGGGTTCTCGGGGTCGTCTGGTGCAAATTCGAGGTAGCCATCCTTGTCGAAGAAGAGCCTCTCATCCAACCCTACGACGGCTGTCGAGGAGAGCATTAAGAATTTACGCCTGATAACGTCCATTGATCGCGCTGTTCATCAAAAAAGGTGACAACCGCACTTCGGCAAGGTTCGAGTTGTTTCGAGGACAGGCGTTTCCTGTACTCGAAATTATAATCGGTGTATTCCACAAGATTTCTACTGCATGCATTTTGAGCGGCTTATTACTACATCTGGTAATTATCTCTGGTCCCGATGTGGTGCCGATGCCCAAATGCGGTAATTCTTGGCTGAGCCCTATACCCGACCAGCGAAGTCAAGGTTGGCACACTCAATCATCTTCATTCTGCAGCTGACAAATTCTTCAGGAAGCATAACTATTACTGTATCTGTTGATTATGCTTTTTTGGTCAGCTCAGAATTGGGCCAATACGCCCGATGCGCGAACGGAAATTGGCTCACTTCCCGGACACTATACAGAGTCTCTGCCTCCTCTCATTGTCGACCATCTCATCCGCTGCTGACGAACTCACAACATGTTCATGAAGTTCGTCCGTCTCACCTCACAACTACCAAGATCAACCCACGTAGTCTTGGCCTCTCTCGTCCTTCACTCGGCTTCTCGAGCCTTGGTCAAATCTCCAGCACCATCTAGTCTCGCCAGTCTCACAATGGCATCTCCAATCGTCACAATGAGCTTCACCGAGGCGACCGAGAAGCGTCGCAGCATCCGCGCCCTCGACTCCATGACCACGGTCCCCGACAGCACCATTGTCAAGCTGGCCGAGGCCGCCATCCTGACCGTTCCCTCAGCCTTTGACAGCCAGTCGACCCGGCTGACGGTTTTATTCGCGAACGACCACAGAAAGCTCTGGGCCCTTACAGCCGACGCGATGCTGGCGAAAATTGGAGAGGAGCGCTGGAACGGGGGCACCAAAGACCGCATCGCAAACTTTGCTAACGCCTACGGGACCATCTTGTTCTGGGACGACCAGTCGTGCGCGGCTGCGATGAAGGAGCACGCGCCGGATATCTACAAGGACAATACGGAAGAGTGGGTGCATCAAAGCAACGGCATGCACCAATACTACCTGTGGACCGCCCTCGAGGCCCTGGGGCTAGGGGCTAACCTGCAGCACTACAACCCCCTCATCGATGCCGAGGTGCAGAAGACGTGGAGCGTCCCGTCAGACTGGAAGCTGAAGGCACAGATGGTGTTTGGCGTTCCCAGGGAGGGTAGCGCGCCGGGAGAAAAGGCGCAGAAGCTTCCCTTGGAACAGAAATTGCAAGTGTTTGGAGCGAATGCGAAGGTGTGAGGGTGACAGTTGAATTGATGGAGAAGGACTCAATTGAGGAATTAGCTGCAAGACCCCAAGGCTGAACTTGGCTGATCTAGGAGCCCAGGTGTAGCCCCGTCCAACAAATTCCGTGTACACACTATATTGATAGACTAACTAAACTACCTATACTCCCGGAGGTCGGTGAGATTTGATGCTGTCGACACTGCATGTACCATCTACCAGTCCTCTCTCACTTACATTGTGCGTTGTGAATTGCGAATAGAACAAGATCAACGAGGCTGTTTATGTCAATTCAAAATGCGCTTGACCCCAAGTGGAATAGTACATGTACATACAACTTGAACCGCGTGCTTGATAAGCATTCTGTAATTTCTAAGCCGATACCTAAGACTTGCAACCCGCGAACGACGTCGATGTATACATAGTCTTCCTGCAGGGGCTCAATCATGGAAATCGACGAGTATTGCGTATAACGTATAAAACGCAACAGAACCTCCATGTTCCACAGATTCTCTGCAACGCCTGCAAAGGCACGTAGCCAGACTAAAGGCTCCGGGTCGGCTCGCGCCAGAAACAGGAACAACGACGCAGGCTCCAAGTCCAGCCTCGAGCACAGGCCCAAGCGGCAGAAGACTGCGAGAGCCTGTGACCGCTGCTGCCGGTACCACATCAAGTGCGACGAGCAGAAGCCCTGCACGCAGTGCGTCATCATCAAAGCAAAGTGCATCGTGTCCTACGCCGCTCCGCGCTCTTCTCAGACCAACAACATCGACACGGGATGCGAGTCATCGTCAGTATTCCCTTTCATAATCTCCTCGCTCTCGTCTACTCACACTGGATGTCAGGTGCTCCCTCCGCCCTCCACTGAATGGCGACTCGAGAGACTGCAACAGTGCCAGCCCATCCATCCCGCTTCCTGTTATGGGCACGAGGCAGGAGAACACAAGAACACCGCCGGATAATGGCCACAAGGAATACTTGGATCTCGACTGCACCCTCCAGGGCATTTCTGCCAGCGGACAGCCGGCCTTCTCACATACTTCCGCCATTGCTAGCTCTCTCTTCCCTCAGCTCCCGCATGTTGCGGTCCCTTCTGGGGAATTTGTTCTCGCATCAAACACACTGCTCAAAAGCCAGCGGAGCTACTATCTCCGGCTTTTTTGGGACATTTGTCACCCGCTTCTAATGATTATAAGCGAGGCAGAATTTGGCGAGCCCGAGACCCTGCAACCACCAACCATGTTTGAAGAGTATTCGGTAAGGAGCGCCCTGATTGATTCCATGATCGCTCTAGGCATACAGCACAGCCACGTTACTGGTCTTGCCGGGCGGATATTGGGTCTCCCACAGCCACCCCGACAGTATCACAACGCAGACCCCCTACCGGACGACAACTGGCCCGGCTTCGAATACTTCCATCGCAGTCGTGAACGCATGAGAACTAACAAAGAGGTGACCTTGGAGGCCATACGATGCCATGTTCTCATGGCCCTTTACCTTATGAAGGGCAATGCTATCCGCGATGCCTACAATCTTCTCGGCATCACTGTCCGCAAGGCTTACATTGCCAAACTCCATCGACCGCCACCGAGTCATCTGCCCGAAGCCGGAAAAACCGCTCGCATGCAACTGTGGTGGATGCTCTTTTCCCTAGATTTTCAGTGTTCGTTGCAGCTTGACCTGCCCGCCGCCTGTCAGAAGAGCCTCGTCAAATGCCCCTTTCCTGCCGAGGAAGCCCTTGGCCGCTACGTCTACTCCCCGAACCATCAGAAAAAGGGCATTAACTCTTACACGTACTCCACTTGTCTGGTCAACTTTGCTGTGACTATGACCGATATTAGTGCGTGTGTCTCGACTGCTGATCTCGACGACGACGGCAATAGCCCGGCTGCTCTCGAACATCACGCACTTAGGCTCTCATCCGCCCTACAAAACCTCGAGATCTGGCGCGACCAGTTACCCTCAGAGCTGATACTGAGCCGGCGTGAAGATGATTCTGGCAATACTGACATGCTCGACGTCAATCTCGACCTAGCCCTACCCGCATGGCTGCAGCGGCAAATGGTCCTCTTGGAACTCCACTATCACAACGCATATACGCTGGTTCAGCGTCCCTTCATCCGTCTCCGCCACGCCTCCTCCAATGACGCCAGCAGCATGATAACTTCACCCGGCTCGCGGCAGCCGCATGCGGAGCTGCACATTGCCGGCGCCCTTGACCATGCAAGCATAATCATCGACACAGTCTTTGCTGTGTGCTCCACGACAGACGTCCTCTACGGCTGGTCAGAGGTCCTGCAGCCGCTCTGGAACGCGGTGCTAACAATCACGGCCTACGTCTACGCCAACCCGCAGAGCCCCGTGGTGCCGCGGACGCTCGACTCCCTCACTCGGGCCCTGGCAGTTTTCGAATCCTTCTCCTCCACCTGCCCGGCCATCCTCTTCGCAAAGGATATTGTCCAGTCGCTCACCAACAGCCTGCAGAACATGATGGCAATGTCCACCATCGACCCAATGGGCTGGGACCTCCTCCCATCGCTGCTCCAGGAGCAACAGACGGCCACTACCGGTCTTGAGAGCGCACCCTCATCCAACGACATCCATGACAATGTGCTCTTCCCATCATTCAGGCCCTCGGCTTCGCACTTCAATCTTGTGGCCATGCAGTCCGGCAATTCGTGACGCTTGTGCCGTCAATGAACACCCTTTGAAATAGGAGTATCGGACTTACAACTGGGTACTATATACGTAAATGAAAGTGTTTTATGCTCTAGAATTCTCCTCGTTATCAAAGCCCCCAGTTGGAAGGCTTTGCAAAGCAAACAATAGAACAAATATTTTTGAAGAAAAAAAGAGATGAATGTAGGTGGTGAAAAGTAATAAAGTAATCGGCGTGGGTCCCCACGAAGCAATCCCGATTGGCCAACCACAGAAGACTTTCCATCGCCGGCGAAACGGCGAGGCGGATACATCATCCATGTATAAAATAGTCGTCGCGCCCTGTCCTGTTTCGCCGAAAAGGATCATGGCAACTCGGAGAGCACACTGCTGCCAGCTTGATCTGAATATAGCTCGATATTCAAGACGGCTGCCCTTGTGTAGCAGGCAGTATTCCGGGGCGGGCTTCAAAAGGCAAGGAATATTTTCTCTCTCTTTTTAGTCGTCTGCTCCTCTAATCCGAATTATAGGTTCCATTCTGCGACGAATGTATCGAGTAAGCTTCTCCTCCATCTCTCTTGGCTTGCTGCTGTATGTGAAAGGCAAGGCATCGCATCTACGCCACCACGCGTGGCAAATTTCATGATCGACTAGTGTTTTGGTGATGATCTTGTCAAACTGAGAGGTTTTGAGTAGGACCACGTCAGAGCAGTGGACGACTTGTACAGCAACTACCGATCAATGCGCATGTCGCCACGAGACTGCCGGTGTCATCCAGAAACATCCCTCTGTCCAGGATGATAGCCACGCAACCCGTCATCACCCACAAGGCATACATTGCCTTGGGGAGCAACCTGGGCGATCGCATTGGAATGATAGAGCGAGCTTGCTCGGAAATGAACCGGGCTGGGATCAAGGTCAAGAGAACAAGCTCCCTCTTCGAGACGGCACCTATGTATGTGCTTGACCAAGAGCCTTTTCTCAATGCTGCCTGTGAGGTATGTATTTCCCACCCTCTCTAGACTTCTTATCTGGACTAACTGGTCCAAAGGTAGAAACAACTCTCGATCCGATTGAATTATTGGATACTCTGCAAGCTATTGAAAATGGCCTGGGGAGACATAAGACCATCGATAAAGGGCCGCGTAATATTGACCTTGATATTTTACTCTATGACAATGAAACGGTATCTCATCCTCGATTGAATATCCCACATAAACTGATGTTGGAGAGAGAATTTGTCCTTCGACCACTCTGCCAGTGAGGCCCTTTTCACTTTCCGTCAAGTACTCGTACAAGCTATGTTAACGCTATGTATGATCCAGGCTGATTCCACATGAGAGAGTTCCCTTACCAGGAATGAATCTCACCTACTTATCTGCTCTCCGTTCCTTGCCGCCATCGGAGACAGTACCAGTCGTCACCAGCCCGTTATCACCTCACATCCCACCACTGACACCAACCGACCCCAAAAAGAAAACCATCGTCATGGCCATTCTAAACGTAACTCCCGACTCCTTCTCTGATGGGGGGAAACACTACTACACCCGCGAGACTTTCAATCCGCACCACCTAACCACCACAATCCGCGAGTTCATCGCCGCTGGCGCAACCATCATCGACGTCGGCGGCGAGAGCACACGCCCCAACGCGACGAAGCTCAGCGAAGAAGAAGAACTGGCGCGCGTGATCCCCGTCATCGAGCATATCCGAACGCTCCCCGAAGCCGCCCACGTAGCCATCAGCATCGACACGTATCGCGCACGAGTAGCAGAACTAGCCTGCCGTGCCGGCGCCGACATCATCAATGATGTATCAGCCGGCACCCTCGACGCAGCAATGTTAGACACAATGGCCTCAAGCGGCAAATCCGTGATTCTGATGCACATGCGCGGCGATCCATCGACAATGACAAAACTAACCTCCTACCCCAACGGCATTATGCAAGACGTCAGCACTGAACTTCTCGCTCAAGTGCATGCGGCCGAAGAAGCGGGCATTCCGCGCTGGCGCATCATTCTCGATCCCGGTCTTGGGTTCGCCAAAACGCGGGATCAGAATCTCGCGTTGCTAAGGGGTCTGGGCGAGATGGCTGATGGTCAGGTGAATGAAGCACTAGGCAATTTCCCCTGGCTGGTGGGCACTAGTCGGAAGGCGTATATTGGTCATGTTACGGGCGTTGAGAAGGCGGATGAGAGGGTATGGGGCACGGCGGCGGCTGTTACGGCGAGTGTTGCCAATGGGGCTGATATCGTGAGGGTTCATGATGTGAAGGAGATGGGCCAGGTTGTTAGGATGGCGGATGCTATTTACCGGGTTTAGCTTCGTCACAATCCAAATGAATGCGTGCCTAGGTAGCTACTTCGGCCTGTATACTGTCTGTATCCCGTTGTGTAATAAATGAGGAATATTGGTTCTATATATATCTATTTCAATTTTGATTCTCATTACTAAGGCAATATCTCGTTTATCAAAGGCAGGCGTAATGGTCTAGCATTAACTTTTCAAATCTGCTAGAACCACAACCGACATCAGAAGATAGGAAACCAACACGTTATTTTCAAAACGTGCGTGCTGTTAGACATGTCCACTATCCCCGTAACGAAGAAAAGAAGAAAGGACGGACAAACTGGTATCTGCAAGAAAGACGGTCGTGAATCATTTAACTGTCAAGATAGCTACGGATAGCGCCTGAAATAGTATTCCTTGATTAGCATGCATAAGATCCATCTCAGGCAGTATACTACTTACCTTGTAATTTACTAGCACCCTCACCCAAAACTTGGGTCAAATTTTCCAGATCATCGCCGGCTGTGATTCCAAAGCGGCGAACGAAATCCTTAGCTGCGTTCTCAAGGTCGCCGTAGCCGTCATCGATGGGGGGATAGTCTTCTTCGGGTCGTCCAAAATACGCATTGCTGGAGATCGAGGTGGCGCCCTCAAAATTACCTAGGCGAGTCTTCGCCTCGGCTTGTGCTGCAGGGTCGAATCTATCTCGCCCGAAGAATTCATCTGATGAGATACCTTTCTGGCTACCGAATCGGGATTTTGTCTGTGCAATTTCTTCTTCTGTGGTTGACTCAATCAGTGTCTGTCCAGGATAATAGGGCATAAAATAAATAAAAAAAGGGAACGTACCTTCAGCGGCTGATCTTACAGCAGGAGCAACAGCGCCGAATCCAGCCTTCTTCGCGATCACAGGCTTGGATACCTGTCCAAAGCCCAAACGGCCCATACCCATTCCAAGACGCTCCATTTCACTCGCACTTTTCTCGGGAGCCTTGCTTGTTGCCCCGAGTCCTGCTCTGCTGGGGCTGATAGGAGTAGGAGAGGCAATAGTTGTTGTAGCCGCGGTCTTCTCCTTTGCATTGATTTCTGCCTGTTCAGCTTCCGGGTCATAACCGAGTTTCTGTATGCGTTCCGCCTCTTCCTTGGCTTTGCGCTCGGCTTCTTCGAAATCAATCACATCACCACCTGTAACTTTCTTCGCACCAAGCTTCTGGGTCTTCTTGGAACCCAGTATACTGCCTTTCTTCGCACCCGCACCCGAAGGACCTTTCCTGACCACATTCCCTGTTCGGACCGCAGCAGGAGGCGGCGATGATGTATCATCCTTGTCACTTGCTGAAAGGGGAGACTTGGACCGCGCCGCGTTTCCATTCGAGCCTGCGTTTAAGAAAGGCGATGCAGTGCGGCTGTTATTTGACGGCGTACCGACTCGCGACGGGGTGTTACTGGGTCGCTTGATGACAGGCTTATCCCAAGAAGAGAAGAAATCATCGTCCGGTTCGCCGGCAGGAGTTGCAGCGCCATCACCAGGGGTGCCGGCGACATCTGTAACTACGACTTCACCAGGGTGTCTAAATCTGAATTTTAGTCTTCCACGAAAACCCTAGAACTAGGAATGAAGACTAACTCTTGCGCATCTTGGGCAGCTCTCCGCTTGAGTTCCTCCTTGTATTTAACGGCGGCGTTTGATTCGTACTTGACCTTGGGGTCTTTGCTGGCTAATGCGGCGGAGCCTCCGTGGGATTGGAAATACTTCGTAGCTGACTCATTGCCACCAACTTTCATCAAACGAAGTTGCTCCCATTGCCATTCTATACATTCGGATCAGTATTAGAAGTCGACAACTTAGACCTGTGGGGAAGGCTGTAGGCATACGGTCGAGGTTTGTGGAGCGAACGAAGGAAATGTGGACACCGAGGTTACGATGATGGGACGAACAATCCAAGCACAGATAGATACCGAAGGGCACAGACGACCATGTTGGGTTCTTAGAGCCGCAATCAAAGCATAGCTATATACCAACGCAGTCAGTCATGCTGTTCCTAGCCAGAAGGCAAAGTAAAAGGGGGTTCCTGGTGGGGGGTGACTTCACCCTATTTGCCGGCTTGGTCTTCAGCTTCTCGAAGATCTTCTGCGATTGCGCCTTGGAGGCACTCATGATGGTTGGCAAGGCGAGTCACACAATGTTTATGGAAGAGGCGCGCAAGCAGGAAGGTGTCCGAGATAAACAAATCCGAAAATGTTTCAGGGTAGATTATTTTGATTGAGCTGCAGTGGCGCGGAAGAGCGAACTCAACGTGGTCTAAGGCTAAGGCTGCACATTGCGGGCCCCATCTGGATTAGCCCGATTGGGCAGCCATCAAATTTGCACTTTCCGTATATGGGTTAGTGTTAAGATTTGCATATCTACTCTTCAGTAATCTCCGACCAGTCCTACTACATTTCTAGCCATTAACTACAGTACATCTTTGGATTTGACTGTTTGAACCTTGATGGCATGGCATACAGACAGCTTGATGGAAGACTTTTTTGAAATGCTGTGTAGTAACGCCAATCTTGCTTATACACGGAAGTACGCCGTACTACAAGACATGCACCCAGGAGGCACGTGATTGCATGTATATAAATTCGAGACGAGATGAACGCAATAAAAAAAGGAAAATGCCCATTTCTGCAGAATGAATATGTAGCTCTCAATAGTCAATTCTGAGTAATCTTACTTTTTCAGATTACACCTCCAAGCCATTGGTTGTTTCTTGCGTTGTTCTATTCCATCACGTGACATGACGCTGCTCGCCGCCGCAAAAACGTTCCCTCCGCAGTCTCTCCGCATCAAACCAAAGAAAAAAAAAACTCGCCCAAAGCCAAATCAAAGCTACAACCGCAGTCAAGGAGTCCTGGCGTCAATGTATCTGATGCCAGTTCTGACCAAATATGAGAATGTATCGCTCACTACTACATAACCCCAGCATCAGCACTTCCTTCCGCGGGCTACTCACGACGAAATCAACGCCCCTGCCAACGACGGTTGTCATAGCTTCGACATCCGCAAATCTTATATCACGGAGCAATTATGCGACACAGAGCAGCCTCGGCGGTAATGGCTCCGGGGGCCCGACAAGGAAACAGATCTCCGTCATGACGGATGATGGGCGGTATACCTGGTCAGAGTTGAGCGGGAAGGAGAAAGTAGCTCGAGCTACTCAGCAGTCGTTCAATTTCTTGATTGTGGTTATTGGTGTGGTTATGACTGTATGATTCTCTATACATTCTACCACAATTATGCTTTCTCTAGTATAATTCTAATTGTTCCATGGCATAGGGCGGTGTCCTAACCCTGCTTTATACCGATGTGTTTTCACCGAATAGCAAGACATGGCAGTTTGAGAAGGCAGTCAGTCGCATCAAGGAGGACCCACGATGTACAGCTCTGCTAGGAGATAGCAAAAATATCAAAGCATATGGGGAAACAACTGGGAACAAATGGACCAGAAACAGGCCAATTGCGTATGCTTTCTTTCCCTTTTCCTTTCCATGCGCCTTTGCTGTTGTGGAATTTCGCTAATAGCAGAATAAGTACCACTATTCAAAAGGACTCCCTTGGTAGGGAACATATGTACATGAATTTCCATGTAAGACTCATCTTTCTTGGTCCTCTAATCTAGTTCAGATCCATAATTAACGCAGAATATAGGTTGAAGGATCCTTGAACGAGGGCACTGTGCACGTACATATGATTAAACCCGTGGATGAATCCAGCTTCCAATATCGTCTGCTCGCACTGGATGTTAGAGGTGAGATGGACGATTCATTCATTCTCTATATGATGATAGTCTGCTAATACACTTTCGTGCAGGTCACCCACGAATAGTCCTTGAGCAGACCAGTGATGTAGCGCTTGGTGGGAAGACAAGTCCGTTGAAGATCCTTGGTATCAATTGGCGATGAAGGGAAAGTTACGATGCTGCAATACCGACTTTAAATGTGTGCCACTCCGGTTTAATGGCTGTCGGGTGTGCTTAGGTAGATACCACATATAGTTACTTCAGCCATCAATGCAAATGACTGACTGGACATATATTCATGCATTCAATAATTAAATGGGCCAAAAGTAACCGTCTAGTTATATCCTCACGTGATTACCTTGGAGTGAAGACTCACGGAATCAGATCAGGCACATCCTTCACCCTCGCCCAGCCCTCAACCGACCTCCCGGACCAAGTCGCAACAGCCTCCACGGCCTGCTGCACACTTTCCGTATCTGCCTCACTCACGCCCAACCTCCGCAGCCCTCTCAAATGCCAGATTGTCGGCGCACTGAGTCCCTGACACATGATACTCGTCAGAATCACCAATTCAGCCTCCACAGCCGACAAGACCTCATGATCAGAGAGGAAAAGACCGTATATCACGGAACGCTCCATCCACATAAAGTCGCTCGCAAACGAGCCCCAGGATGAGCAGATAGGCGCTAGGTTTTTGCGATAGAGTTGTTGTAAGAATTCTGTTCCTCTGTTGGGGATTTCGTTGTTGATGTCGATGTTTTTTCTGTTGGTGGTTATTAACATTAGTCTGTCCATTTCTCTCCTCTCGTCAGATTTGTTTTTTTTTTTCTTACCTCTTCTCAGGAAACTCCAAAAGCCCATCCTCCGATGGCTGCTGGGCCGGCTCAACTGTGATACCCCTTTTCTCGTACAATGCAGTTTCTGCTTTCCCCAATGCAGTAACAGCATATACTACAGGCGGGATACCGACAAGCGTCCATTCTTTCATCAGCACGTCACTCAGTCTCTGCTTGATGCGTTTTTCTTCCGTGTCATCCACGCTTTCTACGAGGCTTGTGTAGAGAGGCCCTACTTCTGAGGGTTGGCCGCATCCGACTAGGGCTGAGGCCTAGGCTTTGGGTCAGAATATGGGACGTACGAAGAAGGGGATTGTTTTGATGCATTTATGTTCTAGTACATACAACGATCAAATACCATGCATCTTTCCGGAATCGTTCTGGTACAATTGCTTGCACCCGCGTGCAGAGCTCTTGCAGTGATTCGGAATTGCTAGCGGCCATGCTGTGTGAATGGGACCTCGCGTGTGTATGGTTGAATTTCCTCGCTGTTTGAAATGGAAATAAAAGAGCTTGTTGTTGTCGTCGTCGTCTCAAGCTTGAAGCAATTGTTGATGTTGGCGAGCGAAGCAGAACGGAGTTGCTGTTGCCGGCGACGCGGAAAGCCACGAAGAATGAAAAATTCATAGGGGTTCACCCTGATAGCTCATTATATACGTAGGCGCTCTGTGTTGTCTATTTGTGATCTATAGAGAGGGCTGCGCGTGAATTTGGCTGCATGGGGTGCTTGTTGATCTCTTGTCGGTGGAAGCTGGCGAGTGATGTTGCAGCGGTTAACGACGCCGAGATCGGCCGGCAGCGTCGTCTTGCATGTACACGTCGACAGCTTGACGCTCTCTGCACTTGAACTAGCAAATCACCAAAGTATCTTGTTGATACTCATCTCAAAGTCCAATTCGCAGTAACGATATCCTTTATGCGTTGTGTAAGAGCTTCCAGCCGTGGACTATAACAAGCATTCATCGATTTTGATATAACACAGTATACTGACAACTTGAGCACAAAAGGTACATTTGTATGATGAATGCTCTAACCGAATAAGCGGAAATAGTAATAGATCTAAATAATTCGCGGACCATCCAAAATGACTCTAGCAGCATCGGTTGTCCACCAGCTCTTCCCTGGCTCTCCAGGAAACGAAAACTCGTCCATGCTATCCCCTTTCATCTGCACACTATAACCAGGCTCCATGGGCGTGACGATATATCCATCCTTCACACTCGCCGGATGCTCGAAATGCTCGTGCAAGTGGTCCACATACTCCAACAAACTCCTCTTACCGCTAATCACAACGTAATCAATTGTGCTCAGGTGCTGGGTGTATTCGGGCAAGCCAACCCCGCCAGAGTGAGGCACAATGGGGACGCCGAATTTGCGTGCGAGCAGCAGAATAGCCAGACATTCGTTGACGCCACCGACACGGCAGGCATCGGGCTGCAGGACGGTGAGGGCGCCGGCTTGCAGGAACTGCTTGAATATGACTCGGTTCTGGCACATTTCACCGGTAGCAACTCCAATGGCTCCGTAGGGAGTGTCGGAGAGCGCCTTGCGGATGGCAGCATGGCCGAGCACGTCGTCGGGCGATGTAGGCTCTTCGATGAACCAGGGCTTGAACTCGGCCAGCTCCTTCATATAGGCAATAGCGTCTGGAACCGACCAGATCTGCAGGGCAACGAGTTAGAGGCAAAGAAGCAATAAAGAAAGAAGCAATACGGCTTACCTGATTGGCATCCACCATCAGGACATTGCCCTTATCATAACCAATAGCCTCGCGAGCAATCTTCAACCGACGCTTATCATCCTCCAGACTCCCGCCAACCTTAAGCTTGAAATGCTTGAAGCCATCCTTCACACTCTGATCCAAAAGCGCCCTCAGCTTCTCTTCCGAGTAACCCAGCCACCCGGCACTCGTAGTATAAGCGGGCACTGCCTTATTCTGCTCCGCATCCTTGATGCGATCCTGCTTGGTCGGCTCAACCTCCTTCAGCAATGCCACCGCTTCCTCCGGCGTCAGCGCATCGGTAATATATCTGAAATCAATACATCGCACCACTTCCTCCGGCGTCATATCGGCAATGATGCGCCAGACGGGCTTGTTGAGTGTCTTGGCCCACAGGTCCCAGAGTCCATTCACTACGGCGCCCAGGGCAAGGTGGATTACCCCCTTTTCGGGTCCTATCCATCGCAGTTGACTGTCTGACACGAGGTAGCGCCATGTCTTGCCCCAGTCGGCGGTGATGTCGTCCAGATCCTTGCCTACGATGAGCGGGGCAATGGTGCTGATTGCTGCGCAGACGATTTCGTTGCCGCGGCCAATTGTGAATGTCTGTCCCAAACCTTTAGTTTTAGTGTTTGCTTTCTTTCTTCTATATATATCTTATGTATATGCAAGCAAGACAAAGTATTCTCACCATTCCATGGCCCTCGTATTGCGAATCGGTTTGGATAATGCAGTATGCTGAGGAATAGTCTCCGGCAGCATTCATAGCATCAGAGCCGGTTTTGTCGAGAGAGGTCTATGTTCTCAGGTCATTATTAGTACCTGGTAGTATTCCATGAATGATCAATTTGCGCAGTATAAGCAGGGCTCGACTCACCGGAAACCTCACGTCTCTCGTGACGAAGCCCGTGATCTTGACCATTGTTGTGTCTGGTCAATGCGAATAGAGGTACAATATAATATATAATATAGAAGATTACCCAGGAGCCTGAGGATAGTAGGTATATGCAATTGAGGTCACTGCAAGAGAGGAAGAAGAAGAAGGAGAAGAAGCAGAGAAATAAATTGGAGAAACCCAGAACAACTGAGGGGTTCACCCCAGTCTATTTATTTACTACCTATTACTGCTGAACCAGGCATCTTCTAACAAGCTAGATGACCCCCAGAAAAAAAAAAAAAGGGTCATCCCACCTTTTCTCCCAGGCTCCTTAGTCTTTACTCTTTAGTATGGTATTCGACAATGGATACATATATCCCTCCAATTAGTGAGAGTATTGCGGGGGGTTGTTCTTTTGGTCTGGCCGGAACGCAGCTTGCTGATTGGCGGAGAAATGTCGGTCGTGGTTTTCCCGCCAGTCAGAGAGCGCGGGATATGGGCTCGGTGTTTGGTGCGAGGTTGCTCTCGCTGTTGCTCCGAGATAAAATAACTACGGAATCGTCATGGAGATATCTTGTTGCTGTCTAACTATATCAGTTGTGGCCGTTAGACAAGACAATATACATATTCATTGCTGCTGCTATCTAGGTTGCAACTCATCTAGAAAGCCCTCGCTTTTCGCTTTCCGAGAAGAAAATGATCATGCGCCACAGCTTCTTGACCAACACCTCTGCTTCCTCGTCGAGAGCCTGTTCAATGGACAGAAATGATTAGCCAGAGCTTGCACTAATGCAGGGTGAGAAACGGGTTATACTGACCTCGGCGAGCTGCTCGACCAACTCCTGCGGCTTACCGTGGCGGCGAATATGATCTTCAACCACGTCAACCAACATTTCCTCCTGCACCCCAAGGTACTCCATGATCTTCTTCTCCACAAATGGTTTGAGCTGCTCTCCAAGCACGGACTCATCGACAAATTCCCACTTGACATCCCATTTCCATAGCCCGTCCTTGTCCGAAGGTATCTCGGCAGCAAGCTGTCGCGCCGCTTGGGCCCTCTCCTCGTCCGACAGACCAGATGCTTCGGCAGCTGTATCGAACTTGATTGGGACAAGGGTACGCTTGGTCGTGGCCGCTCCCTCTTCTTCGTCTTCCAACAGTCCTTCGACTTCGGCAACAGTGCGACGGGTGACGGATGCCTGTGCTTTCTGCTGTGCAGCTGCACCCAGAGAGAGCTTGAATCGCTGAGGTTCGCGTGGCGCCTGCGCAGGCTGCGTTTCAAGTTCTTCGGCCTGCCGAGCAAGGAAGTCGTCCGCCATACCACGCGCCTGCTCGCGTTGTTGAGCAGAGCGAGCCTTCTCTCGGCTCTCCGCCGCTCGGTCAGCGTCGTCGGCTTTCACTTCTCGTCCCCGAATAGTTGCACGGCTTCGAATCCAGGCTCCACGGTCGGCGTAGTATTCTTCCGCCTTGCGGCTAGCCTCAACATCGTCATCCCACTGACTAAGGAACTTCGCCATCGCCTCTTTGGCTTCCTCGAGCTTGTCGTCTTCTTCCCTGTCACGCTTCTTCTCACGCTCAACGGCTGCAGCTCGACTGCGTTCACGGTTCAGCCATCTGCGTTCCTGGTCTAGGAATTGCTTCTCCAATTCAGCTTGCCTCTTTTCTACCCGCCTGCGCTCAAGCTCGTCGTCACTGGCATCTGTATCCTCATCCTCTGGTTCTATAGAGACTCCATGCCCGTTCACAAACGAGACACCTTTCTGGTAGTCCTTTGGAATCTGCACGCCGAAACCTTTAGGACCCGCAGGCGCATTAGCTATCGAGCGATCGCGTGGTCCAAGAGGAACACCATTTGCTCCGCCAGCAGGCCCACTGGGAGCTGACAAGGGTGGAGATGCCAGTCTACTAGCACGTCCTCCCGCATTTCTTGCGCGTTCCATTGACTCGATCTCTTCTTCACGGCGAAGACGTTCAAGGTCTCTGCGGTTGCTCCTCTCTCGGAACGCTGCAATTTCCTTGGCTACTGTCTCACGCATTTCAGCTGGTATATCGGACAATTCATCTTCGGCAGCTATTGGGATAGTGACCACTTCCGCTGGTGTTTGTTTGCTGTCTGCATCCGACAAAGTGATATCACCATCACGGTCAACAGTAGATATTTCCTCTTTTTGCGGTGGTACAGCAGGACGGGCTAAGTCTGCTAGAACGGTGGCAAGGGTTTGACGCGCAGCCTCAACACGAGCCTCGCGTTCAGACCCATCTTCTTCGGATTTTGTTGACTGGTACTGGTCAAGATATTTCAGAGTGCCTTCGTCGAAAACAACCTATAGAAAAGTTAGACAGTTGGTTAATGAAAGCAAGGAGGGGGGTGGGGGGAAACCATACTAGAAGCTTAGTTGTGTCTAATTCATCACCCTCGTCATCTTCTCGCGGCATCTGTCGTTTTACCGGTACCTCAACATCCTTGAGAACTTCCAGTGCCACACTTAGACTTTCAGGATCCTCGTATTCGGCAAAGCCAAACTTGCAGGGCTTTTCATCGGCGTCGGTAGCACGAATCCAGCGTTTGAGATTGCCCGCACAACGTAGAATGCGCTCTACCCCATCGTCGCCTCCCGTGCCTTCAGTGATACCGCCAACGAATATGGTTCTCAGGATTTCCTCTTTAGTCGGCGGTTGAAGCTGCATCATCGTATCTCGTATAGTCTGACGCTGCAACTCGACGCTCGCAGCGCCAAGTCCGGCGCGCCGATTTGTCTCGCTGGATCGTCCCGTACCCTCCGGGGTCGATGACTTAGGGGGACCCGATGTGCCGAGTCGAATTACAGGTGCTGAGAAGTTTATATTCGGCATGTTCGGGGGCGGCTGGAAGTTGGCTGGAAACGCGCCTGGGCGGCCAGGCTGTTGCATGTGCATTTGCTGCATCCCCGGCGGCGGAGCAGTGCCAGGAGCGGACATACCTGGAGGAGCGCCTTTGAGAGGATCATATTAGTCCTTTATCCTCAACCTACATTTGTCGAACACGGAAGCGGAATACTTACCCATGCCGGGAGGCGCACCTGGGTAGCTTGCATAGTCTGGAGGCCGGCCATAGAGATGAGAGCCTGGGGACACTGGTCAGTGGCAGATTCTTTCCTTCCAATGGGTCATCAGTATCAGACTTGCCTTGATAAGGATTATACATTTTGTCGGCTTCCAGCTGTCACCAATCAAGAAGCGTATGCAAAAGGGGGTGAGATTGCTCAGTGACTCTCAGCGTGAAGGAAAATAGTTGAGTTCGTTCACTCTCACTAGTTAGTAAACTACGGGGAGAAGAATTTAGTAAGCGCAGCTTCGGGTTTAGCTCGCAGTGGCCCGTGCGCCCTCCGCCTGGCCAATGGCGAGGCCGCATGTTGAGGCCTCAGGCCAGCCAGTAAGAACAGAGCTTTCTTTCACATCTGCTGCTTCCAACTTCAACTTCCGAAGGCTCTATGGTAACTATTAACCACTATGACTCCAGTAGACAGGTATAGGTGCGATATAGAGTCGGCCTGTTGATGGACAGTAAGCGTGACCTCCCAGGCTAGATGCTGCGTGCTTGCAAATCAAGAATAATCCAGAACCTGATCTCGGATTCTAACATTTATTAATGTCCTTACTAACACTCTCGTTCCGCGGGTCGCCCGGAGAACCCGCGAAGATTCTGAACTTCGAGGCAGGTTGGGTGACTTGGGTTAGGTAAATGCAATACGTAGTTAGTTAGCCTGGCCGGCCTGAGGCAGCGGGCTCTCCCCACGCGCGGCTGCCCCTCGGACCGTGACGTTATATAAGGTAATTTATCCGTTCCTGCTGTTCCGCCTCGCCTTCCTGTCGCAAACCATCAACCACCCCCCAACACCAGAACCTTGTCTCTCATAGCCATCGTTTGCATTCCGCTGGAGTCAATTGATTGTCAAGTAAGTCGAGTCTGGGTTGTTCGCTGCCGTTGCCCCCTTTGGATAGAGCCTTCTTCAGGAAAGACCCCGCACTGACGTCGAAACCGTCCAGGACAATCCCAACATCAGGATGCCCGGTTTCAAGCAAGCCACCGACCTGGACGCGTGGAAGCAGCTTCAGCAGCACCATGCTACCGTCGGCAAGAGCATTGTGCTGAAGGAGGAGTTCGAGAAGGACCCCAGCCGCTTCGAGAAATTCAGCCGCACCTTCACCAACACCGTCGACGGCAAAGATATTCTCTTCGACTTCTCCAAGAACTTCATTACCGAGGAGACCCTGGACCTCCTCGTCAAGCTCGCTCAAGAAGCTAACCTAGAGCAGCTTCGTGATGCCATGTTCAAAGGTGAACACATCAACTTCACAGAGGACCGAGCTGTGTACCACGCTGCGTTGCGCAATGTCAGCAACGAGCCTCTCCAGGTTGATGGCAAGAGCGTCGTGGAAGGCGTCAACACCGTCTTGGAACACATGAAGGAGTTCTCCGAGCAAGTTCGCAGTGGTGAGTGGAAAGGATACACTGGCAAGAGCATCAGGACGATCATCAACATCGGCATTGGTGGCTCTGATCTGTAAGATGCTCCCTGTCAATGACATGACTCTGTAGACAAGACTAACGTTTCTGCTAGCGGTCCTGTTATGGTCACCGAGGCTTTGAAGCCATATGGACACCCTAACTTGAAACTGCACTTTGTTTCCAACATCGATGGCACTCACATTGCTGAGGCCTTGAAGGAATCTGACCCCGAAACTACCCTCTTCTTGATTGCCTCCAAGACTTTCACAACCGCTGAGACCACCACCAACGCCAACTCGGCTAAGAAGTGGTTCCTTGAGAAGGCCAAAGATGAATCTCAGATTGCCAAGCACTTCGTCGCTTTGTCGACAAATGAAGCCGAGGTCACCAAGTTCGGTATTGATAAGAAGAACATGTTTGAATTCGAGTCCTGGGTCGGTGGACGCTACTCCGTCTGGAGCGCCATCGGTCTCTCTGTTGCTCTGTACATTGGCTACGACAACTTCCACCAGTTCTTGGCTGGTGCTCACGCATTGGACAAGCACTTCCGCGAGGCGCCGTTGAAGGAGAACATTCCCGTCCTTGCCGGTCTCTTGAGTGTCTGGTACAGCGATTTCTTTGGTGCCCAAACTCACTTGGTCGCTCCTTTCGACCAGTACCTTCACCGCTTCCCTGCCTACCTCCAGCAATTGTCCATGGAGAGCAACGGAAAGGCCATCACCCGCTCCGGAGACTACGTCAAGTACACCACGGGCCCAATCTTGTTTGGTGAACCCGCAACCAACGCTCAGCACAGTTTCTTCCAGCTTCTCCACCAGGGCACAAAGCTCATCCCAACCGACTTCCTTTTGGCAGTCGAATCCCACAACCCTGTCGAAAACGGACTGCACCAGCGTATGCTGGCTTCCAACTTCTTTGCCCAGGCTGAAGCCCTGATGATCGGAAAGACTCCTGAGCAGGTCAAGGCCGAGAACGCCCCTGATGACTTGGTTCCTCACAAGACCTTCCTTGGAAACCGACCAACAACCTCCATCCTTGCACAAAAGATTACACCAGCCTCTCTGGGTGCTCTCATTGCTTTCTACGAGCACTTGACATTCACCGAGGGAGCCATTTGGAACATCAACTCTTTCGACCAGTGGGGTGTCGAGCTTGGCAAGGTTCTTGCTAAGAAGATCCAGAAGGAACTCGAGACTGCTGGCGAGGGCGGTGCACACGATGCTTCCACCGCGGGTCTCATCAAGGCTTTCAAGGCCAAGGCCAATCTTGCGTAATTAAGCGCTGCGAAGCTTTCTGTCCGGTATACTGCTGATTCTAGCAACTAGCAAGGGTAATTAGTGTTTCTTTCCTCTTTCCAAATAGCAATGACTAGAAATGAACATCAAATTAATGAGCTTTCTATAAGCAATGGAAGGATCTGAAATAAGCTGATCAAGTAGTTCTATACTTTTATCTTCGTAGTAAGCTGACGCCACAGTAAGAGAGCCTCCGCGGGACCTCCGCAAAAGCAGATACATAGCGTGTTCTTTCCGCCTTCACACACACACAACAACAACAACAACAACAACAACAACAAGAACGCCAATTCACAAGAGCGACGACGGAGAGAGCACAATTGGGCCATGTCTTGATTATCATCTTTTTATGAAAATGATTTCGCAACATTATAGGTCCCACTTATTGCTTCTACTGCTTTCCGGCGGAGGAGTGTTGGCTGATTCTCGAGATGTCGGCGGGTATGTTTATGGACAGTCGATTCCTGTCAGTTGTTTGAATCGGACAATGTGAGTTCTACATAACCCTTGATGTGCGGATGCCATAATTGTTGCTAATTGGGTGGTGTCTTTTCTCTTTCGTTGCGCAGAGATTCAGGTGAACATGTAAGTAACTCGACTGGTTTTATTTCTAGACAACGCTGACTCTCTTCTAGATAAGAGACAATCTCGGTCGACTACAATATATCCCGTTCCCAACATGTAACGAAACATCTCTTCCTCTAGCCCTCCGGTACGGAGTCACCGAGACCATTTCCTGCACCATCAACTCTCTGCCAGACGAGTTATACCACTTATTAGAATACTACGTCCATTCCGATGCGCCTCTTACATGTCGCGTGCCCACAATCCCACTAAGCGGTGCAGGTGGCGGCGACAGCAGCAGCAGCAGTGACTCCAGCCCAGAATACCAAGTAGTCGATGTCGCCGGCGACGACAATAGCAATGGACCACCATACACGCCTCTCACAATCGCATTGCAGGGCACACTCCAACTCAGCCATTTGCATATTTGGACGGACATGAACGTATTAATGCATCGGTTGAGTTCGGTCGAGTCTCCGAGAAAAGAAACCACCTCTTCTTCTTCGAAAAAGCACCTATCTCCCGGCTATGTAGTAGCTGGAACAGCATACTCGCTTCCTGAGCTGCATTCCCAGCCTGACATCAACAAAAAAACATCACTCTCCCAAGAGGAAGAAGACGCAGCCATGATCGAAAACGCGCGCAATCCCTGGACCGCCGGCCACGGCTCGAAAGTTATCCGCGGCGAGCCTCTAACGCTGAAATTCAGAGTCAGCTGGGTGTCTGGCGCGGATAGTTTGGGATGGCTAGACCAGATCCCGCCCCAACACGTCGGGGGGCAGGCCGTGACTGTTTTGGGCGTGTTCACAAAGCTGGTTTTCTTCGTAATGGCTGCTGGGATTGGTGCGCTTTTTGCATCTTATTACCAGAGGGTGGTGCGGAGGGGTGGTGCGGCTGGATGGCGAGGGGATGGAATACTCGGTCGTCCCATGAAGAATGGTGCGCGTCGGGGAAGTGGTGTTACTTATGGGAATAGTGGGAGGTCGAATGGGTATGGAGGATTCACTGTGACGACGACGACTGGAAACGGAGGTGGATATGGATATGGGGCATATGGAAAGAAGGATTAGCTTCTTCATCTCGATATTTGGTTGTTGTATAGATTTAACGTTTGTAAATGATCCATTTCCTGGATTTGAATGCGAAAGGAAACTTGTAAATTGCATGTTCTGGCATGTTTTTTGGAAGTATAATATGACCGAGAAAGAAGAATAATATGCATGTCTTTTATAGTACAGGTTGTCTAATGATAATATTTTACCTAACGAGCCACATATCTTTGATCCAGACATATAATAAAAACATAGTAGAAAAGAAAGAGAAGAAATTCACCATCCCTGATCCCGCATCCGCTGAATCTTCTTCACCGTCTCCTCAAAGGAAAACTTGAACAGCTTCCTCCACCGCTGACTCCTGAGATCCTTACGTCTCTGACCGCGTCTGACATGGAACTTCTGTAGATTAGCCTGTCGCCGAATGCCATTCGAATTGCAACTAAGCTGCAATGTGCGGAGTGCACTAGCGCAATCAACGCCTTTTTCATTCTGGACCAGGACCTGACGACCCAATTTTGTGCCGAGTTTCATGGCTATCGGTTTTAATCTTGGCGGAGGACTGATTTCGTCCACGTCTCTGATTGAAGGAGAAGATGAAAACGAACTCTGTGCCCTTTTCAATAGTTCGGGTCGCTGCTGTTGCTGTTGCTCTTGTGATTGTGATCCTCTTTTCGCTAGGCCTTCTAGCGTCCTTTCCGCCTCGGCCTCTGCACTTGGTTTGCTGCCTCGCAGGCCAAAGAATGATCGACCGGGGAGAGAAACTTTGTTTGGCGTTGTCAATTCTTGCATCTTGCTTCTGATGTCTTGCATGCGCTCTTCGAGCTTCGCTGCTTGGTCGGCGGTCGAGTCAGCAGCGCCACTACCACTGTCACCGGTAGTCGGCTGGGTCGGAATTGTTGTGCTGGATCCAAGGTTCAATTTTTCCAGTATTGAATGTGAGGTTGATGATGAGTCCGGCGTCGTCGATTCCTTCGCTTTCGTCGAGTTAGGCGAATCGTCTGAAGCGAAGCCGGATCGTTGGCACATCTGGTATAATTGTCCGCAAACAGCTAAGTGAGAGGAAGATGTGGAGGATTGAGACATTGACATCGACATCGACATCGGGCGAAGCAGCGTTGACGACGGGGTTGCGCGGAAACATCGCGCGAGAGAAGTTTGCACCGCCATGGCGGGCAGAAGAAAACAAAATATCGATTAAGCTTCTTTCAACAATTGATCCTGGTTCGTAGTAATTATTGTTGATATTGTGTTCTGTGGTTGGACGATGCGGACACCTTTGTCGAGGTCAGTCACCATAGTATTATTTGCTCGGATCAGCCAGGGAAATTGAACAACGCGGAAATCCTCGATCACGTGATCTCCAGCCCGCTCGCGCTCCGCCTCCGCTGCTCCGCATTGATTTTGTTCAAGTTGACATTCTTCAATCCGACAAGAGAACCCTTCTTCAAGGAATTTACTGGAAAAGAAAGCAAGACGTTTTGATTATCTCAAGTTGAAATAGCCTCGAATTCGGAGAGCAAGATAGTACGGTAAAATGTCTTCGCTTACAATTACCAATCTTCCCCGCATGAGTCGAGACGTCCTCTCATCATTGCTCTTGACAACAAGCACACCCAGTAAATTGGCCGTCATAGACGTGCGAGACTCAGGTCTGGCTACCACAAACCACTTAACAGTTTCAGAGGGTGAGGAAACAACAAGGTTCTAACATCTACGATTGCAGACCATATCGGCGGCCACATCCACACCTCAACCTGGGTCCCCAGTTCAACGCTGGACTACCGCATGCCAGAGCTCGTGCGCACACTCAAGGACAAAGAGAAAGTCGTATTCCACTGCGCATTGAGCCAGCAACGTGGGCCATCGGCAGCGCTACGCTATGCCCGCGAGCGCGAACAGACTTTGGGTGTGGAAGAAAGCAAGAAACAGGAAGTATACGTGCTTGAAGGAGGGTTTGTGAGATGGCAGGAGAAATTCGGGAACGATATCAGATTGACGGAGGAGTATGTTGAGGATATTTGGAGGGAGTATTGATTTGGTTTGTTGCAACGACATGCGCTGGCCGCATTCTCTTAGGATTAGTAACATGATACCCAGCATAGACTGAAATGGAATTTAAAAAGAATCTGTTGATACAAAATTTCTAAACACCTATCTTGGAGCGATTATCCCACCACTCCACCTCCAAAGCCGACAGGCCGTCTCCGGCCACCGTTCTCCGGAACGATAGCCAGAGCTTTATACAACTTACCCATCCCATTGGGACCCTTGTCTACCAACCGCTTCCAGCCAGTTTCTATATTCCTTTGCTTCTCCTTATCAGCATCCGAAAGAGCGCTGATCAGCTGCTCCCCACGCTCAGCGATGCCCAACGAATGCAAGAAATCAGCCTGATCGACCGGCCCATGCACTTCAACGCCCTCACTAGCCTCAATAGCAGCTTCAGCCAAACCGGTAAAGTCCACGTCTGCACTGACATCCGCCTGTCCCGGGAACGCGAATGGCGAGACGTTCGTATGCTGTCGAATGCCACGCAGGGAGTTGACGGGGATGGTGGATGATGTGCCGTAATCTAAGATTAATGCGGCGCCCGAGGGACGGGCCTTTTTCTTTTGATTCTCTATTTTCGAGGGTTTGGGAGGTACTTCTCCCGGTTTTCGATTGGGAAGTTTCTTCTTGAGTGCTTGTTCTGACGACGTGCTATTGTTGAAGCCGCCAATTCGGCGCGCAAAGTCCGCGACATATATGCGACTTTCGGGACTGACTTCAATAATAGAACCGGCCTGGGACTTGAGATATTTGTATCTCTTTGAAATCTCGGGTAATATGAGAGAGTTTGGAGTTGATATTTTGGCACGCGATAGTTGGAATTCCGGCTCATCTTTCACGTCTTCGATGACTGATTTGTGGTTCAAGGCGACCATCAACTCGCGCCATTGTGGACCAGAAGAGGTGCTGTTATTGGTCTTTCCGGGTTGATTCAGTTCCACCGGGCCTGTTGGGGTCATGATTTGCTGTTGCTGCTGTTGTTTCTGTTCAGACTCGGGGCTGGGTAGAACGGACTCAAAAGCGTGGATTGGAAGAGCGTCGAAGAACTCGTGCGCGAATATGAAGGGTGTTTTGTCATCTACATCACCATGTAAGTATATAATAAAATAGATCTCTTTGGGATAGGCTTGCTCACTGTATGGCAATAACCGTATATCTTCCACCCACACGATAGGCACACCGGTATGCTTGTTAATAGCCCGGTAGCCAATATCAATTTCTTCGAGAACCGCATCTGGTTCACATAATACCCCTTTTTGGACCTCTCGCAAGGGCGCACTAGCTTCGACGAGGTATATAGTCTCGATAGTGTTTGAGAAGCTCTTAAAATTGCCAATCGTCTATAACAAGATTAGTCAAAACAAAGCTTGCTTTATTATATATGTATTTTCTGTTTCGTTGCCTCTCACTCTTAGTATATCACCCATCAGGGTTCCTTTCCCAGGTCCAACCTCTATCAGTTCGACGCCATTCTGCGGCCTCCCTTGTGCCATCCATTCCGTTAACGTCCATATTCCGACCAACTCTCCAAAAACCTGCGTGATCTCGGGCGATGTAATGAAATCGCCTTTCTTGCCAAACACTTCGGTTTTACTTTGGCTACTAGGTGTCGTGTAATACCCTGCATCTGGATTGGTGAGGACTTGTCGCATGTACGCCGCTATGGAGATTGGGCCCGTTGTCTGTCGGGAATTGAGAGTTAGTTGAGTCGCTACTGTGGATAACTTGTTAGGAGGGAAATTTAACAAACGTACTCGGATCGCATCAGCAAGTATTTTGGCAAGCGGTGTCGACCATTCTTTCTTGACTATGTCTGAGATGTAGCGTCGTGATCGCGCTCGCAAGAAGCGTGGTTGACAACATTGCTTGGAGAGATGTTGCGTCCCGCGTTTCAGTCCATGGTTCATTGTTGATTATCAGCTATTTGTGGTAGCTAGGGAAAAAGAGATCGAAAAAATGAAATCCAATAAACTAAATGATGTAGTTCAATTGGCAAGAATGGACAGGGTTTTGCTTCTCTCGAAAAACTTTTGGTGATGTTCTTTTCACTTTCGTTCTCCGCAACCTCCGCATTCTCCGCAGTCACACGTGATTTGGACATATCTACTCTTCACCTCTATGTGTGTTCTGTACGCTTAGGTAGAACAGATACGGCCTTATTATTACATTTGCTAGCTCCAAGGCCAGCTGGACTCTAATTATTGAGACATATCTACCCACCAAAGGCAAGACAACAAGGATATAATAATACATAAACTGAAGAGTGTTCGTAAAACGAGATATGCATCATAAGTACCCTGGGAACGCTTTGCTTGAAGCTATACAACCTAGCTAGCGAAATCCACGGCCCCGTTGTGAAATTGGCACAGCAGGAGCATCGACCATCATTTCGTCGCTGTACAGTCCAGTTGTTTTCTGATGGGAGCGACCATCGCCTCGTTTGCGGCGTCCTCTGGCATCATTGAACCCATGTCTCCCATCCTGGACTTGAGGTTCTGCCTTCTTGTTTTCTCGACGTTCGCGGTCTGCCTGTTGTCTAAAGGCATCGTAGTTACTGGGAGCAGCAGCACGAGTTGGAGCTGAGGAGTTGAAGTAGGCACTTCCAGCACCCTTGTATTCTAATGAAAGTACCCTGCCATCCGCCTATTCCAGAATGTGCAGTCAGTCTTCGGTCATGTTATGGGAAATTGGGTGACGGCTTGAATGAAGCGAACCTTCTGGCCATTGAATTGTGCTACAATGGCCTCCGCACCCCATTTTTCTGCGCAGGCGATCTGAGCATTGACATAAGGCTTATACGACGTTAGATTAACGCCGACGATATGTCCAGCAACCGGCTCTAATGCAGCTTCAATATCGGCAGCATTTGTGCCCGGAGCGAAGTTTCTTGCAAGCACGACAAAAGGGCCGGTGCCAGAGCCTCTGATTGAAATCTCGGGGTTGCGATTCTTCAAGTTCACGTCTTTTTCGCCATCGATATCTGCTTGCATTCGGTCTTCCCGCGTGCGACGTGAGCTAGCAGGCGCGGGTCGCTTGGAGGTTGTGGCACGAGCGGTAGCGATTGTGTTGGGTTTCGGTTTTGCGGATGTCGATGCAGAGCGCTGAGGGATGAAGTAGCGTCAGAGACATGACACATAGAAATAAGAGAGAATACAAGGGCAGCCAGCTCACCTTGACGATGCCAATTCTGCTTGCCAGGCTTCTTTCAGCGGGCGCCTTCTTGCTCCCAATGCCAGGCCCTGGCGCGCTGGCTCTTCTGCTTCCACTGCCTAAAAGCTGATCTGCCAAGGTCTGGTGTTCTTTCTTTCTGCGACTGAGGCGTTCTTCGAGAATGCATTTTGGTTAGAATAAAATCGAGACCAGTTGAGCTCGCAAAGGGGAAGGTGTCGCAGCATTTACCAGCTTCGATAATAGAGTCGAACGACGGAGCGCCAGCTTTTTTGCCAGCTGCCTTGTTGCCGGCGGCCATGATGAGGCGTCGTAGGGCTCAATGCGCGGTCACAGAGTGGTATCGTTATGATTGGAAAACAGGTATGATGGGGTTATGGGATTCTGCAGGTTCAAATGTAGAGCTGCAGGAGGAGGAGGAGGAGGTAGTTGAGCTGGTTGCACATAGCGAACGACTCGGCGGCGGCAAACACCCGCAACGTCTCACCGCGTCTCTCGCTCCGCATGCATGCATGCATTCATGCATTCATTTAGGTTTGCATGCACAACATAGACAATGGCATTGTATGCATGTCATGCTCGGATGAGGATGCGCGTCTGCTGCAGCCTCAAAGCGGCAGAGTGTAGACTTTGACAGCGTAAAGTCGTGATTGATTCTAAGGTTGCTTACGGCAGGAAGGAGCAGGCACAGAGTCGCTCCTTCCAAAACGCACGGCGCAGTGGCGCCATCTCTTCCATTTTTTCCAGCTTACAGCAACAGTCTTTCGTTCTTCAGTCATCCAGCAGCTTACGCTCGGTATAATCAATCAGCACTCTGGCCTTGAGCAATCTTCGAGGCGTATTCTTAGCTTTCCTCTCAGCCATGGCCAAATTGCTCAGGAAGGTCGCAAGCCGGATCAGGGGATCAAAGTCCCAGCCTGATGTCTCAGCCTACATGGGAAGACATCGCGCTGCCAACAAGTCCAATCCGTTGATTCAAGGAAGGTAAGCATGTGCGTCTCCAGTTCTTGCATGTCCATAAAGATATATTGACAGGTAAACTTGAATAGGGAACCAGACGCATCACAAGCACCAACACCCGTTAGTGAAGAAGATATGCCATATTATGCAGTCACTCGCCAAGATGAGAAGCTGAACAAACTAAAACTCTGGTCTAACAGGCTCAGAAGGGCCGCGCGAATCCATAGGGTCGCTAGTCGGTCGTGGGACCAACCAGTATCAGTATTGCCCCTGGAGAAAATCAAACCGACGAGACTGTTGTCTTCCACTGCTTCTTCGTGCACCACCAAATCAAATCCCGGGTCACCTCCGCCTGGACTGAACACAGTCCATGATGAAAACATCATCCACCCCTCGCTTTCTGAATCCACCGCTGACATTGAGTCCGAGTTTGGCTTCACCATACAGCGTATGAGATGTGCCTCAGGTCAGCATCCACCACGCTTGTATCTCGATATGTCGCGTCAAAGCAACACTTTCTCCCCTTTCAGACCATTCAGTCCCGGTGTCTTGCTACCAAGCAGTGGTTGTGATCCGACAACAGATGCTCATCCCTGCTGTGTCAGCACGAGCTCGTTTGATAGGTACAGAAATCCATCAGATACAATCGTTGGCAGTCGGTTTTATTCAAAAGCAAACCTGGATACTATCGGTGTGAATCGTGCTCCCACGGTCAATTCGGGATTGTCAACAGCCACCACGGCCGCATGGAACCCATTCGCATCAGGCAGTGGCCATAACACGCCGTCCTTCAAATCTTCGAATACAAACAGATCTCTGTCCGCGGGACTTACCAGTTTGTCGATTATGTCGAAAAGCACAGTCGCTTCTCGAAATACGACGCCGTCGTTCTCTCTGGCATCGCCGACATCTTTCTGCTAGTTTAGTATTATTGTTCATCCGCCTTTTTTTTTTTTTTTTTTCTTGTTTCCATGGGTTTGTGTTATTCTTACTTTTCAAGAATCAAGGTATTTTCTCTTTTCTTAAAGGTCTCCAATATAATGGGTCGTTGTAGAACCAGGACAGAAATGAAGATTTGAAGTATTCTGGCTGGTAACTGAATCAGTGATCGATCAGGTCTAGGTAATCCTTCAGAACTGTGCATCAGAAGGTGAAATCAAGCCTTGAGTGCCCCTTGATTGATCACTAATTTATTCCAATTTCTACCACTATAAGTTGCCTTACAAAACGGAGTCTTCCAGGTCGTTGTCTTACCGTGACAAGTTTCTCGCCCCCATTAAATCCAAATATTCCATACATCTCATACGTACATCCTCTCGTTGCTCCGACACCGTCGCCAGCGCTACCACCAACAACCTGTCTTCCTCTGCACAATCTGTCGTCGATATCTGCTTCTCCTCAGCATCCGATACCTGATCCGCATCATCCGGACTCCCGTTCACCATAGTTCTGGCATCAAGGAAGAATCGATTCACAGAATCCTCCAGCAAACTTCCAATCAGGAATTTATTCTCGCGGTCTTCACGGATAATTCTAGCTGTTAGGTCCTTTTCCTGTCTATCAAGCTCTTCTCGTTGTCGCTGAATCTTCTGGAGCTCCTGGCTTAGTGTGTCCTCTAGAACGTTCTTGTTGAGTTCCATGGCTTTGATCTTGCTATCTATATCAAGCCGGAGATCTTCCAGCTGTGCGGTTCGCAGCGGGTCTTGGAGAGTCTCGGCGAGGATTATAGCTGACTTTATGAGTGCTTCAACTCCGCGGCAGGTGGTTGGAAGTCGATGAACAGCGGTGTGACGCAGCTTGTGCGTTGCGAAGAGGATCTCGTTCAGAGATGCCTCACCAAGTTTGAATGCATAATGGGGGAACTTTTTGGAATTCCTGGCAAAGATCTTTGTCCACTTTTGTCAACTCGACAGCAGCAGCACAGTCCCACGCATGTTCCTCCAAGATCGATGGTTCCCATTTTCGCGTGAACTCAAAGCAGCAGTCTTCTAGAACAGACTGTACCTTGGACAAGATTGCGTGTTGTGCATGGTATGGAAAATACATTGGGTATAAAGATATATCATCCGATGACTTCTTTATCGGTGGTGATCCTTGAGCATTATGAACTTGTCTGTTTCAGTGAATCTGCCAGGCAGGACAGGGGCTTACTTACCATTAGCAGCATCGTGAGCCAAATGTACCACACTTGTTGGTCGCTCGTCATCCGATTCATTTCCTTCCTCTCGCGAAGCAACCTCTTCTAGTGCCTCAGCAGCTGATCGTGCAGCATCGTTTTCCGATGCAGCTCGTTGAACATCTCTTGCCGGAGATGAGTGAGAAAGCTCTGGAAATTCAATCTTAGCCTCAACATCCGATTGGAATATCCGTTTTTCAAGCAAGGTTCTGATGATATCGACCACCTTCTCGAACGCGAAGTCTTGGAGCAATGGACGAAGAGATGCTTGATGTATAGACACGAGCTTGCGGATTTTCCTCGTTTTTCGCAGAAATGCGTTGTTCCCTGCGAAAATAGGTCTGCAAGCTAGATAGACTCGGCGTATGTCTGCAGCTGAATACGCCATAATGGGCTCTTGTGTAGTTTTTTCGGCGCTGATATTATTGAATATGTGGACGTTCGCCGCGAGAAAAAAGAGGAATGTGGAAAGAATTACATTGGTGACCCTCAAAGTTACGAATCCCTGCATTTTACTAGATGAACTGTCATAATATGCAGCAGGACACCTACAACTCATCGCGCATCTTCGCCAACATACCCCCACCAAACTCATGTCCAGTGCAAGTGGCTGTTCCATCGAAGAGGTTCTGGCATTTTTCGGTTGGAGTATATTGCAGAATTGGTTGCTTTGGTGGATATTGATGTCCATATTAACTTTAACACCGGCCATAAGAATACTCAAATGTTAAGCATGGCAAGCGGTCATCCGATACGTAACACGGGCAGCAGCTTGTACACTCGTTGGAGCTTCAAGGGCCTATATATTCCATCAACACGTTTGACTGGATTGACATGAATGTGTAAATGGGTGATTGCCATCGATATCCCCGTGAAGAGATAGAAGAAGCTCCTGAAAGCAATTCATGGTGAAGGTGGAAAGATCTTCCACTGTCTGTCCTGCCGAATTTGCTGCGAAGGCACGTGTCACGCATAACTAAGACGCTGCACATTAGTTAGGGCTTCCTTTCCTAATTAAGTTAGCATTTCCCATTCACTAACAAGAAAAAATGCTACTTTGGAAGAAGAAGATGATGCAGAAGAAGAAGAAGGGTTGATATGATGCATTCTATTACATAGTTTGTCTACAAACACCGATTTCCTTTTAATATCTCTTTCCCCCAAGATAACATATACGATCTAGCCAAGCCTGAGTGTGAAACCAGCGCCAGTTTCTCCCCCAGCACCAGCACCAGCACCACCGCCAAAAACATTCGCAAAATCCAACTTGGGCGCTTCCTCGCCATGTTTGGGCGCCTCTGGCGTAGCTCTGCGCCGTCTCCTTTCCTGACCAGCTTTAGATGGGAAAGTGGGGAACATCTCTTTCGCCTTGGGGCGAGGGTCTTCCCTGAAATATGGATGCTCAAGGCATTCGGCGGCTGTTGGTCGAGATGCTGGGTTTAGAGCTAGGAGCAGTGAGAGGAGATGTAAGCCGGCGTTTGTGAGGTAAGGGAAATTTGAGCGTGGGAGTAAAGGTGGGTTTTTCGTTGATGATGATGTTGTGGACGACGTTGAAGATGCTGGGAGACGCAGGGATTTGGCGTTTGGCAAGGAGCGGAATGTTGGCCAGACTTGTTGTGTTGGGGGCCCGGTAATGGCGAAGATCTATTCATGCTCGTTAGATTGCAACTGGAGAATGGGGGGGAAGAAAGATGGGGAAGAGAAATAAACTCACTTTGGATAACTGATCAACTTCGTTTCTCCCTTGGAAAAGAGGTTCCTTCTTCAGCAATTCACCAAATATACACCCAATACTCCACATATCAATTTCCGCCCCATACTTTTCTGCTCCAAGAAGCAATTCCGGCGATCGATACCACAATGTAACCACCAGTTGAGTCAATTGGGTCGGCAGGGGATCGCCATAATATCTCGCCATGCCAAAGTCGGCAATTTTGATTTCCCCGCGATTGTTCAACAGCAGGTTTGAGGTTTTCAGATCCCGATGCAAAATCCAGTGCGAATGCAGGAATTCTGTGGCTGAGAGGATTTGTTGGAGGAGAGTTTTGATTTCGGAGGGTAAGAACGGTTCTTGCATGTCGTCGAGGAGCGTCTTGAGGTCATGTTCAAGAAAGTCCATAACTAGGTAGACACTAATAATAGAAAATTAACCAGAGAAAGAAAAAAACGTCATGAGGTATGCCGTAAAATACCCCATGTTGTTTTTTTAATTCACGGTTCATATGGTCAATAATCTTCGTTGCACCTCGAACTTCTCAGTGTGACGATTTGTATTGGAGAATGGGATGTACTCACTCATTCATGCTATTTCCCATAACAATCTCGCGCAAATACACTATGTTTTGGTGTCTTGCGCGTTGCAAGGTCTGAATCTCACGCAAGCCCGTCACGGGGAATCCATCGGGGGCATTGTCAATCTTCAATTTCTTAAGTGCAACGATTTCGCCCGTAGCCAGATCTTTGGCGCGCGAGACTAATCCATACGATCCTTCTTCGATATGGTTTAGTCGTTCGTAGTTGTCGACGTGTCGGCATGGCGCCCATTCCGGGGCTGGGAAGCGCAGAAGCTTCTTTCGCTCAACAACAAGCTCCTGCTTGTCTGCAGCAGTTGCATCATCATTTGAGAGCCGTCTTCTTTTCGTGGGCCTTGTGCCGTCTTCAGCTGCTTTGGACTGTTGCTGCTGCTGCTGCTTCTCCTCTAGTTGTCGCTGTTTTTCTGCCTTGGCGCGTTTCTTCTCCTCCTTTTCGCGTTTGCGCTGCGCAATGGCTGCTTCTTCTTCGGGGTCTTCATTGGCCCATCTGGATTTCGAAGGGGCGGACATCCTGGATTGTTGACGTCGGTGGTAGTAGTCGTTGAAGCGGAAGATATTTATCGAGCTTAGCCTTGGGCGGGATGAGCGCATGCCGAGGCCGCATCGATTTCAAAGCACCCCTCCAATCGGCCACAGCATCATGGAATGCGCTCCCCTCGCCTTCTCTCCTTCTAACAATATTTCACCCGTCACTTTTCCTCGTTTTTTTTTTTTATTTTAATACACCTCTTTCTTGAGAGAAAAAATTCATCTTTGCTATCATGATCGAGCCATTTCAAGTATGCTCTCTCCGCATATCTGATTACTTCTTCCTACTTACTAATACAAACAAGACTACCTTCGCAGTCCCTATGACTTGCGATGGCTGCGTGCAGGATATTTCAGGGTCTATTAAGAAACTCTCGGGTAATTCATTCGATATATACTCTTTCTTGCAGCAAATAAGCTAACTTCAACGTGAACTAGGCATCACCAAAGTCGAGGCCAGGCTTCAGGAGCAACTAGTTGTAGTCGAGGGCACAGCAGCACCTAGTTCTATTGTTTCCGCCATTCAAAGTACTGGACGCGACGCGATTCTACGAGGGAGTGGACTTTCGAATAGTTGAGTCATACGTCTTATGCAAAACCATGAGACATTATAAGTCTCTCGCTAACAGGTTTTGGGATGATCAGGTGCTGCCGTCTGCATCCTAGAAACGCATAATACCACCGTCCCCGAGAAAATCCGCGGATTAGCACGCATGATTCAAGTCTCCAACAGTCAGACTCTAGTCGACCTCACAATAAACGGCCTTTCGCCTGGAAAGTATTGGGCCACAGTCAGAGAAACAGGCGATATTTCGCAGGGCGCAGGATCAACCGGTGGGATATGGGAGGCTCTGAAGAATAAAGTATTTGCCGGTGGCGAGAAACAGCAGCAGCAACCACGCGGAGTCTTTGGGTTAGTTGAGGTTAATGAGGCGGGCAAGGGAAATGTCTTTATAGATCAACCCGTTGCCATTTGGGAACTGATTGGACGGAGTATGGTTGTGTCTAAGAGCAAGGAAGGCCCGTATCGTACGGAGGATGCTGACACGCTTGTTGGGGTCATTGCGCGCAGTGCGGGAGTTTGGGATAATGACAAGATGGTTTGCTCTTGCTCGGGCAAGAATGTATGGGAAGAGCGTAAGGAGCAGGTTACCAAGGGCATGCTCTAGGATGGATCTGACCTGGGAAGCTTGGATTCACTGATGACACGCTTAACGTCAACCAATCTTGTTATATGTTAACCCGAGAACTTCAGATCTGAAACCTGACTCAATCTGAGATCTTATTTATACCTCAGTTCTAAACCTGAGACGAGCTCATCGTACAAAGCATGAACTATCCAGGCCGTAAGGCTGTTAGGTCATAATTGACTCTGTTCTAATCTCGAAGCACAAGATGGCACTATCAGCTCTTTTGCACCTGACACGAACATGCTGCAATGGTACCTCGGTAAATCTGCCAAGAATCAGCAATTACAACGACAATAATCAACCAGTTCACTAACCAAGTATGTACACTACATAATCATCTACCGCATACCGCACTCCCTGCCCTCGCCAAGGCGAAGTGCATGATGGGGCACGAGCTAGGTCCAGCTCGATCGACATACAACCTAGCTAGGTAGCAACTGCTACTTGCAGAATATTCTAAATAAAGAATACAATCCCAATCGAGACAATTTTCCGAAGGACTTGCTTATGCGAGATATACGGACACGGGAACTTGAGGAGTCATGATACGTACCTAGACCCAATCTTTGAAGCACATGCCACTTGAACTAACTAGCTCAACTAGCTATATGATGACTGCAGGTCCGACAATCCGGATTACTTCTAGGAAAAGAAGAAACAAAACGAAAAGGAAAGAAAAAAAGAGGGAATTATGCAATGAAGTGTGGCAGGTAGCACATGGCGGCGCCAGTTCAGCGGGTCCTCACATACTATGTACATACCTGCATACTCATAGTGATACATATATCCATTGATAATAGACTGAACCAGAACTAGACTTGGTTGGATTTAAATCTCCCTTTGCGAAACAAACCTGTATCAAATGCGTACTCCGATTACCTAGGTAGGTAAGTATACAAGGTTGGGGGAGAAATGCAAAACGCAATCTCTAACATATACAGCCTCAGAAGCGCTGTGGCGTATAACTTTTTGCTCACTCTGAGCGTATCAGAGTAGTCAATCCACACCTTTTTTCCCTTTTTTTTTTTTTCAGTCGTTATTCGGAATATTATTGAACGCAACCTTCCAAGATCCTTTGGCAGTGGCACTGACATCCTAAATAGTGAATATGCAAGATAGGTCACACATAGGCGCGCAAAATGAGGCAGTTATACGGCGTAGCACGTACTACGCCGTTTGGATAGTTGCGCTGAGTTATTAATAGATTGACCCATGGCACGATGTTATTTTTATAGACGAGACATGACATGAACAGGGTGATGTGATTGGCCAGGAAGTCTCCCCCCCAAAAATCTAGATAGGGCGGCCCGCACGGGGTCGCCCGTTCCATATTTACGCCCTGATTGGCTGCTGCGGGTTTAACTTAATTGCTAGCGGCGGTTAATTTTGGCGATGTGCTATCAAATCAAATCAAGGTGAACGTTCCGACAGTTAGTATTTTGGGTTTGGACTTAGTACTTAAGAATTCTTTATGAAAAAGGTGCGAGTATGGAGTACGTAGTGCTTATGGATTAGCGTTGTTTTCGAGCGCTATGATCTCATAACTGATCCTTCGGACCTTTGCTACGGATCGTATGATATAGTCTCGGTACGGATTTGTAGTTAGTTACTGGTAGTATATTGCTGACCCAAATCAAAACCATGTGGGTTTCTTAGACGGCAAAAATAACATCCCTAGGAAGTCGCCACAAAGATGAGTCTCTATCTAACACACTTGGAACACCAACCCTGATACCCAGTCAGGACTCAAGAAAGTCAGATTCTGTCCTAGTCCTATAGTAGCTGGTCCTATAGGAATAGGCACATGGAATCATGGACAGACGCATTGACACTTTGCTTCTTCGGCCCCTTACCTACGGAGCTCTCGGCTACCTCCTGGATCTCTGTTGTCCAGACAGTACAGAGCCAGCCTGACAAGACAAGACAATATTGATACAGAGCCATTGCCGAGTCTCTCTATGCTATATAGAGCAATGAACGCTGCATCATAGAATAAGCGATCTATAAGATCAAATACTACCTGCCTGATTGATCCAAGAATTAATCTTCTTCCTCTTCGTTTCTATTTATATCATCAACCCTTTTTTTTTTTTCCCTCTCATTTTATTTTTCTTCTGTGCACATAAAGTGCCGTTCCTTGGCGGTTGGTCCTGGTCCAGTCGATGCTTCTAATAGCATCGTTATTACGACTCGAGCAGCCTCTTAATCATTCCATCGGCGAGGAAGACTTCTTCTTGGCCTGTTGACCTTTTGTCTCTGGTGCCTAAGAACAAGGCACTGACTCGTTTAGCTGGAACCCCCTTTAATAGTCGGAAACTCGATCAACCGATGCACATTCGCTAACGACAACTAAATACGTGCGAATGTACTCCGTATACAACTTCCACCGTATGAGTGTATTGTTAGTTAGTTAAGCTTTCGGTTTTAACTACCACTACTCAACTAACTGCCTATAGTAGCTACATACTTTTCTAAGTGACGAGTTGCTGCGACGTGCATGAAGCCCCGCACTAATTGGTTCCTCGACTAACGAAACTACATAAACTGAATTCTGACTCGCCAATCATTCGACTGCATGAGCAAATCCCAGCCATTTCGATTTAACTCCAGTGCAGTGTCAGTGCAGTTAGGAGGAAGGGGTGAGCGCCCATTGCTACATAACGCACGCAACCCGGCGCCGGCGGCGGGGGAGATATCCATTCATAAAATTACTCTGCATTTCCCACTTCCTTTCTAATTCCATTTTCGGCTTTAATATTTATATGAGACACCGCTCTGAGGTTGCTTTAGAAGGTTTGTCAAGAATTGGAAAAAGGTAAACAGAGCGAGATGTCGTTGAAGCAGGTGAGTTTGCACCAATCTATTTGGAATGAGTCTGTCTGTCGCTGACCATCACTCTGCTGGAAAGGAGATTGAGACTTGGGTGCAAGCTCTCGCTCACTACGACAATAATGAATTCGATGAGTCGTTGAAGGTATTTGGTAACATTGCCGATACGTCCAAGATTCTGTTCAATTGCGGCGTCATCCATGCGACGTTGGGAGAACACGACAAAGCAGTATGGACACATACAATATATGGATAATTAGTATTAGCACTAACCAAGGTTGCCAGGTGGAACGCTACCAACGTGCAATCTCGCTGGACAACTACTTAGCCGTGGCCTACTTCCAAGAAGGCGTGTCGAATTTCCTGCTCGGTGATTTCGAAGAGGCACTGGCTAATTTCAACGACACATTGCTATACCTGCGCGGAAACACGTCTATCGATTACGAACAATTGGGGTTGAAGTTCCGGCTGTTCTCGTGCGAGGTTCTGTTCAATCGGGGGTTGAGTTATATATATCTTCAGCAGATGCAGCCGGGAATGCAGGACTTGCAGTTTGCGAGTAAAGAGAAAGTCACGGCCGATCACGACGTTATTGATGAGGCAATTAGGGAGCAGGCGGAGGTAAACGAATCAGTCCTTCGAACCAACAAGATTTTGTATCAAAACTGACGAAAAACCAAAAAATCCCCCAGGGGTATACCGTCTTCTCAATCCCAGTCGGCGTGATATACCGACCAAACGAAGCCAAAGTGAAAAACCTCAAAACTAAAGACTACCTTGGCAAGGCACGCCTGGTCGCAGCATCTGATCGCAACAACGCATTCACGGGCTTCCAGGGCTCGGAATTGAAAAAGGCGCTGGCTCTCGAGGCCACGGCCAAAGACGATCGACCACCGGAGAGCATTTCCTACGCCGCCACGAACCTGGTACAGAAGAACCTGTCTAGTCGTAGTCGACAGCAGTCCGAACCACCTTTAAACCGCAACACGTTTCCGCCTACACCGCCGCCAGAGTCGGATAGGACTGCTGCAGGCGGCGGCCTTACGCAGCGCGCTGCATCGGTCCGTTCCGGCCGTCCGCCTCGCCTCGATTTGACCGCTGGTACCAACGGACGCACCGGCGGCGACATGCCGTCCATGGAGAAGACACGAATTGGCACGACTCGCACCGCCTCGGAGCCTCGCGGTCCACATTCACGACAGTATTCACTCTCGTCGAGAGCGCGAGACGTCCGTCCGCGTCTATATCGAGATATGGCCGGTAGTCGCCGTAGCGAATTCGACTTTGTCCCCGAAGAAGGATACGATGGCGAAGTGTTTGATATGTACCGCAACAGCTCCCGTTTGAGCGGATTGGGATTGAGAACTCGACCGCAGCAGCAGCAACAACAACAACAACCAAAGTATATCGACGAAGAGGCAGAATACGCCAGCGACTACGAAGACGAAGCAGTAGACGAATTCGAAATGGTAGGCGAAGCTACTGCTACTGCTACTACTGCCTCAACATCAAATCGTAGACGCACTCAATCCCGACGACCGGCGGAAATTCGCCGATTCCGTGTCAAAGTGCATGCCCTCGAGGACACGCGGTATATCATGATTGAGGCGAATACTGCGTTTGGCGAGTTTGAGGGCAAGATTAGAGAGAAGTTTGGGTTTCGGGGATTCTTGCGGATACGCATGCGCGATGATAATGATATGATTACGATGGGGGATCAGGAGGATTTGGATTTGTTGCTGGGCACGGCGAGGGATGAGGCGAGGAGGGAGAATCAGGAGATGGGGAAGATGGAGGTGAGTTTTTGTCTGCTTACTGTATTGACTTCATAAGAGTGGCTCACTGACTGAGAAGTTTAGATTTGGGTTGAGGAGAGGATCTAGACGATTTGCCTTTTATATTTTCTTCTTCTTTTTCTTTTTGAGCGCGGAGTTTGGGCTGGAATCTTTTGTTTCATGCATCATTCTTGTCGTTTCCTTTTATCTTGTCGAGATATCCTACACTCGCTGTATGATGAAGCCGTGATACTTACTTAGATTTGCATACATATATACACACGTAGCATGAAGATGTCGAGTGGTTACATACGTAGTTAGCAATAATCTCCAGGTAGCGTGGTCTGGAAATGTACAGAATTAGGGCTTGGCCAGGCACGCGATGCCAAGCCCGAGCTAGGTAATGCGAATGTTGTGAGTGACGTTGACATTTTCGGCCTCAACGCGGAGACATCAATTGCTCTTTTTTCTCAGCGACAACCACGACACAAACGCAGTCTAATGACGGACCTTACCTCGTCGGTCCACGACCTCCTGCGCGAGAAGCACAATGTCCGTGCTCCAGCGACAGACGTGCCGCGAGGCGACCAGACGGTGAACGAGTTTCTGAAAGAAGCACATCGAATAGTCAGTTAACTACATCCATACATTCACAAAAGACAACGACATATATCTAACACAATAAAAAGAACACACACATCCAATCCCTCCTCCAATACCTCAAATCAACCCGCCAATCCTACCTTGCCATCAGCACAAGCAGCAGCAAAAAAGCCGCCGTAGCAGCAACATCGACAACAGCAACACCACATAACACCTCTAATCTACCCACAAACACCAAAAATCTCACAGACCAAGACCGCGACAACATCGACTCCTCCACAGCCCTACTACTCCGCGACCTGTCAGCGAGCATCTCAAACCTGCAATCAGCCGAGACCCTGCGACAGGAGACCGAGTCGCGACTCCTACGCAAGAAATACGGACGGCCCGAAGGCGTTTTGTGGCGGTGGGCCGCCGGCGGCGGCAGCAGTGGTAGTAACAATGCAAACGACGACCGGAGCGCAGAGCAAATAACAGCCGAAGAATCAGCGAATACGATTCGAGCTGTGCGCGAGAGTATACTATGGTTTCTGAGAAGGGGGCTGGAGAATGTGGCCGAGGTGCAGCGGGGCATGGTCGAGAAGCGGATTGAGCGGGCGCGCGAGAAGGAGAAGAGTGTTTTGTACAAAACCAAAGAGCAAGTAGCAGCACGCCGAATAAGTGGCGAGCCGGGAACGAAGGAAGAGAAGCAGACGCAGAAAGCATATGAATCGGCGACGATGCTGTCGGCCGAAGAAGCGGCGGCTATTGAATCGCAGCTGTCGCCTGAGCAGTTGCAGTTATTTGCTGAGGAGAATGATACCATGATACGGCATTATGAGGATACATTGAGCAAAGTCCAGTACGCGCCCCTTCTCTCGTCTCTCTTTTCTTTTCTTTCCTTTTTTACCCCCCCGAGTAAACTGATATTGTAAAGAAACGCCGAAAAATCACTCCTCGAAATCTCCTCCCTCCAACAATCGCTCGTCAGCCACCTCTCCACCCAAGAAGAATACATCTCACAACTCGTCAGCGACGCAAGCACAACATCCGAGAATGTAGGAAAAGGGAACAAAGAGCTCAAACGCGCCAACGAGCGGAAGAGTACAGCGCAGATGGTGTTTTGGGCTACGGCGGGGTTGTGTGCGTGGTTGGTTGTTTGGGATGCTGTTTTCTAACCTCGTTTGCTAGGAATATATATACATAGGTACGTACAGAAATACGTGTATAGAAGTGCGTATCTATCATTCCATTTATTCTCTTATCCGCTTGGGGGAAAAAAAAAAAGAGGAAGAAGAAGATAGACGCTGGTTAACGTACAACCCAATTCTCGTAGATAGTAGGAACCATCGTCCAACGAAATTCATAAAAATCATGCAGTCTCTCGAATAACACTGTCAATAGCTTCGGCCACATAATCGATATTATGCGAGTTGATGCCCGCCATGGATATACGACCATTTTTGGTCTGGCAATGTTAGCACGTTTCATTACTTGATCAGAAAGAAAGGAGAAAGAAAAAAAAAAAAAAAAGGAAGGGGAGGGGTTACCATATAAATATGCCACTTCTCCCTCAAAACCTTGACTTGACTCTCGCTCAGCCCCGTGAAACTGAACATTCCAATCTGACTCGTAATATGCGCCCAATTAGCCTGCGAGCCATTGATGATATTACTGCTGTCAGCAAGAATCCTCGCTTCCAAACGCTGGCGCAACCCGAGCCTCATCTCGGCAATCCTCCCACTCATCGTGCGCAGATCCTCCTCCCACTCGGCAAACAACTGCGGGTCATTGAGCACAATACTCGCAATCCGCGAGCCATAGGCAGGCGGATTACTGATTTCAGACCGCTGCAAAATCGCCAGCTGGCTGGCTATATTGCCCGTTGTAACCTGGCTGGTAGCAGCAGCATCGGGGGCCGAAATCCAGTGGAAAGCACCAGCACGCTCGCCATACAGACCGAAATTCTTCGCAAACGATTGAGCCACGCAAGTCTCAAACCCCTGGCTGACGAAATACCGGATTGCCCAGGCGTCGCGCGCCAGGTCACCAGATGCGAACCCCTGGTATGCGCAGTCGAAGAAGGGGAAGTGGCCGCGCTCGCGGATCACGGTGGCGATCTGCTTCCATTGATCGTGCGTTGGGTCGACGCCCGTGGGGTTGTGGGCGCAGGCGTGCAGCACAATGATGGAGCCGGCTGGGGCGGCGAGTAAGGTGCTCAGCAGGCCGTCGATGTCGAGGCCCTTGGTCTGCGCGGAGAAGTATGGGTACTTGGCGATCTGGAGGCCGACATTCGTGAAGATTTGGTTGTGGTTGGCCCACGTTGGGTCGGAGAGGTAGACTGTGGGCGCCGGGCGGAGGGGGTGGAATTTGGCCAGGAAGAGCGCGCCTAGATGCACAGCGCCAGTGCCTGAGATGGTCTGGAAGGTTGCTACCTGTTTTTGATGCCTTGATTAGATTTTTTTGGGAGCGGGGTTATAATCGATTGATTAGGGGCTAGACGAGACGAACCCGTCCGTCGTGAATGGCAGGACTGTCTGCTCCCAGAATCAGCTTCTGCGCAGCGCCTGTGTACTGCGGCAGGCCCGCAATGGGCAGGTATTCATGGTTGAGCTCTGGGTCGCTCCGTAGGATTTCATCTGCCTGGAGAGTGGTCAGCGCAGGCCAGAAAACAGGGAGCAAAGCGGCATACCTTGCGCACAACAGGCAGAATCCACGGCTTCGCATGGTCGTCGCGGTAGGCGCCAATGCCCAGATCGACTTTCTTCGCGAAGGGGTCTTGGCGGTACGCACGCATCAGGCCGAACAGGGGATCCTCGGGGGCCTGGGGCACATTGGCGGCTGAGAAGACGGCCGCCATGGTGTGTGAGGCGGTCGAGAGGTGCGAGGACAGCTGGGAGAGGCGGGACTGTGACGAAGGAGTGTCTGGTAGAGACGGAGATGGTGATAGAGATCGAGATAGAGATAGAGCTGCGGGCAGCGGGTGTGGGGGTGGGGACGGGGCCATTTTGTGCTGTTCTGCTCCTCAGTTCCTCAACAGTCACACGGTGTGCAAAAAGGGCTCGGCCAACAGTCCGACGATGCACAAATTGGGACGCGGTGAGCCGTATCGACTGGCTGTTGGCCTCTATTTAACATTGGCATCCCATCCCATCCCTGCCGGTCTGCTCCAGCCGAGGTCCGGGGGGAAGCGCGCCTGACGTAAGATATCGCGCAAATCCTGACTGAGCAATCAGGCCATCCTGGTTGGTGCTCTTCACGTGCTTGGCTTATGCTGGAAGTAGTAATAGTAAGCAGCGAGATGGTTCATATGTGAGGCTGTTTATTAAATTAAATTAAATTAGAGCGAGCCATATGATTCTGCATCACCTGACCGGGGCCCGAGGATAAGGAGCTTGCTGGTATGTGATATATGATATAAATTGTAGATTGTATGAAATATACACGTCGTGCTGAACAGTCAAGTATCCAAATAGTAAATGAACCCGAAGATATATAGCCAACAACTCCAAGCGTCCGATGCGAACCAAGCCAAGTAAATAACAAAAACAACAAAATCCCCCAAAAAAACCAGTCTGCTTTTTCCCTTCCAGGCTTCTGCCAGAAATTTGTCATATCGTGTCATGTCATGTATATATATATGTAAAATGTGTATGCGTATTATAAGAGAATGATACTATATCACTGAGAGGACGGCTGGCCCGAGTCATCCGATCCAGGACCAGGACTAGGACCGCCGTGCTGCCGCGTCCGTATTCTGAAGCGATCCCGCAACCGCGTGGTCAGATGTCGTCGGCGGCCCTGGCTTTCCCCTGACTCGTCGGCATTCGCAGTGGCATTCATATTCGACTGACGCAGCCGCCGCAGCCGCCGCAGAGCCTCAAGCCGCTCCTCCACCGGCGCATTGCGCGCTCGTCGGATATCTCGAATATCGGACAAGTACCCCGCCAGACCGCGATGATGGTGGACATTGTTGTGTGCTTGTGCATGCGTTTCGGCCTCGCCTTCGACATGTTCGGCCTCGCCGCCGTTGCCATTCTCGTTTCCGTCATGGCCAGGCTCAGCCTGGTCTTGAGAAGCAGCTGCTGTCGGGTCCAGATTGATACGGCAGAGCGGGCATGTCCCGGACACGTTGATTAGCCATGGGTCAATGCAATCCGGGTGGAATTGATGACTGCACGGGAGAAGCCGCACATCTTGGCCTTTGACAAAGTCGTCTGTACAAATGGGGCATACGTTGTTGCCCATGTCGGCTGCTCCTGCTCCGTCCTTGTTCTGGTTATCTGCAGCCGCAGCTGCAGTACTGTCTGTTCCGGCTTCTGCTGTTTCAGACAGTGTATTCTGCTCCTGGGCTTCACCAGGGGCAGCACCAGTAACAGTACCAGTCTCACCAGCATCCGACGACGAACTATGCACCGTAGCGGATGCATCTGGTGCATCCTCGGAATGAGACGCCATCTCCACATCCCTCTTGGCTGCATGCACACTCTCGTCGTGGTTATCTCCAAACTTGACAATGGGGATAGTCTCCAGCATCGCTCTGGCTATCCCGCGCGCTCGACTCTGCCGCGGTCGTCCCGTCACGTTTCTCGGTCCATACCGTTCAGGATGTCGATGCGCACGCACGGCTCCCGAAATGATAATACTCAAAAACAGTGCCGTGATAATGGCCGTGATCGTATACAGAATAATCATAGCAAAGGCCGTTGTTCCCCCGGACCCGGACCCGGACCCGGAACCAGACCCCGACGACGAGCTGGAACTACCCGAGTTGGTGCCGCCAAAGGGCGATGCACCACTACTCGTCGACATGTTGGCGGCGATAGTAGCCGTAGCAGCAGCAGACGTAGTAGTATTAGTATCGTTCGAGGAAGAAACAGCCGTATTGAGATGATCCAAGACAACCTGTGCTGCTGACGCGGTCAGCACGGTAAAGACGTTGGGGTAGGTCAGCGTCGGGTCGTTGACGGTGTAGTTGCAGTAGTCGGACTGGGTGCTGTACAAGACCACGGCGGATGGCCCACCATTGGTTAGTGAAACTACGTCTGAAACGGTCTCTGCAGCATCGAGATAGCCCGCGTAGGCGGACGGATCGCAGCTTATGAGCGCAATGTCCTGTGAGCTGATTGAGGCAGTGTTGGAGGGCGTCGTGTCAACCAGAGCGCCTGTAAAGCGGGAATTCTGCCCCCTCCCCCCGGATGTCAGCGGAAAGTGTATCGCTCAGCCCAACGGCGTATTCGTAGTAAGCAGCAACGAACGGACAAACAAACGAACCTGGAATTCCTCGTAGTCCAACGTGGCCAGCGGCACTGTCAGGGGCGCAAGGTCGATTTCGGTGGGAAAGGCGTCGGTCAGCAGCCAGCGCAGAGTGCCGGCGTGCTGGACGAGAGCGCGCGTGTCGTTGGCTGGGCTGGCGCTGACGCTGGCGGATGCGTAGGCGCGACCGAGCAGCGAGAGCACGAGAAGCAACATGTTATGAAATTACATTAGCCAGACATCAACATCACATCGCATCATATCATACAGAAGATGCCGGGCTGCAGGCTCCGGGCGGGCGAGGATAATCATGACGGGCGATCTTGTGGGGTTGGCTTATCTTGCTTATACTATATAGCCGAGTTCTTCATACACGTGTAATCCATGTCCGCATGCGGAAGTCTCTCAATACTCGCTGCTACCTAGATATTCGTGTACAGTACAGTACAGCAGCAACAGCAACAGCAATGCCGTGGACATCCGTGCCAAAGAAGTTTCCAGCCAGAGGACTACTACCCAGTCCACCTGGGCGAAGTGCTCGGCGATAGGTATCAGCCACGAGCTGCATAGGTAAAACCCGATCTGATCTCATCCTGCAAAAAGAGATATCCAGAGGTTTCTGAAAACTAATGCTCCATCAAGAATCCCATGGTCGCCACTTCTGTCTTGTTCACGGCTTGGTGCAGGGCTTGATGCAGTTGCTTCCGGGTCAGACAATGGCCATCAAGGGGTATGAAGCCCTGTATTAGGCAGCTGCTCATTATTCTAGACTTTTTGCACTCCGACGCGAATGTGATCCATACTGGTATATACCTCGCCTTTCCAATGTATCTATTTAAACAGTGATAAAGCTGATCTTGAGAAAAGACCTCCAATTTCCCTCGCCCAACGAAGAGGCTCTTTCGGCATTTGAAGAACGGCGGCAAATCACAGCACCAACACCGGCGAAGGTACTTGCAGACCGGACAATTTATCCTTTCTCGAGGTTCCCATTAAGTGACGGGATCCCTCTCCTCCGTGACTTTGGCGACGAGCAGCATAACGAGGACATCATGCCCAACGCCTTTCGTAAGTGATTTTGAAAACGAACGGGGACTATACCGTGGATATCTTGAATGTGGCTATGGTTGTGAGTTGATTCTCTGCTCTTGCTTTTCTTTTTTGATAACCTTGCTGATCGACGTCAAGGCATGGAATATTGTTAGTCCTGACACCCTCTTTGACGGCAAAAACTCCGACGGCATCTTCGATGACCGCGTTCATCTTGCAGAAATGGTGGCACGTCTGGGTCCTCTCCGCCAGCCGAGTGTCGTCAAATGAGCACACTCGGCTCGGTGTTTTGGGATGAATCTGGTGTGTCTTAGACATGTTGCTGAGACGAACAAAACCAACTCTATTGTCTAGGAAACTGGAAGGGACTGGCCCCTGTTCCGCATAGAACCTTTGAAGGGCTCATCGCCAACATCCCGGGAGAGGACGAGGACATCCGATGGCTTTGGAGCTTTTGTACGACGAAGGGTTGATGAAAGGGAGGCAAGTGAGGATGAGCACTGATGGTATGTCCGAATACACACATACATGTATATATATGTGTATATATATGTGTATATATATGTGTATATATATGTGTATATATATGTGTATATATATGTGTATATATATGTGTATATATAT